GTCCCTTGGACTAATTGCTTCCATGCGTCTTTGGTTTTCTTCATTCTTCTTTGCTCTGGACAAGGAGAGACCCATCATTGCATTTAGATGGCTGATGGCAAGCTTTTAAGATCCCAGTCACTACTCGCCAAAGTAGGAGGTGGAACAATGTTTTTGTGTAGTATGTTATGCCAACTGAGCTTGAAGTCCCCTGCAACTATGGTCTCATTGGCTGATTCTAGCAAGTAGATGGCCACGCCTTTCTTCTTCGTCTGCCTTAGTTGGAAGCTCCACTGAAACCTGTCCACCATGGTGACCCTGTTGGTGTTTGAAATACCAGAGACAGAGTCTCCAGCATCACAGCAACACGCAAGCCACCACAGTATGACAATATGATAGAAGGGTGGTGGCAAGGGTTAGAGAATGAATATATTAGGCTTGATGGGCCAGGTCTCTGTTCAACCACTCCACTCAGGTCTCTGTTGCAACCACTCCATTTTGCGATTGTAATGTGACAGCAGCCCCAGACAATATGTCAATGAATGATGTGCTGGGTTCCAGAGAAACTATTTGTGGAAGTGGTTTGCTGACATTGTGATCCCCTTAGGCTCACCAGCTCCACCCCAATATACTCCCCTCTGCTGCCCTGAGCCCCGGCCAGCCTCTACCCTTCTCTGTCACCTGCCCTCCCACCCCTTCCTTTCTTCTTGACTACTGCCCCCACCTTCTACAAGTCTGACAGCCAAAGGCTGGGGGGATGGAGGACAGCGGAGGGACAGGGTGGGCGCTGGGACAGAAGAAGGATGGGGCCGAGCCTGCCCAGAACACAGTACCATTTCCTTTATTTCTAATCATTTTGTTGTGGTTTGGGTGAACGTTTACAGAGAAAATTCGTTCCCCATTCAACAATTTATACACATTTTGTTTCATGACACTGGCTGCAGTCCCCTCTGTGTAACAATGGCACTCTTCCCACTCCCTCCCTGGGCTCCCCGTTCCCCTTCTTCCTTCTTTTCTGCTCCTTCCTGCCTTCTGAGCTTTGGTTTTGGGAAAATGCTGTCCTTTTTGGTCTCATATCGCTGACTGCACTGGAGTACAGCCCTCATGGATGTCCTTGTTCACTTTACAGGCCTGTCTATTGTTTGGCTGAAAGGTGGTCACAGGGTAAGTTCAGTTCCAGGTTCAAATGGTGTCCAAGGGCCACAGTTTCAGGGGTTCACCAGTCTCTATCAGACCAACCTTCCATTTTCATCCACGGAATCTCTAGAGCTACAGCTCCACTGCTCCTGAGGGACTGGGCAAGGCTGGCCTCTTCATAAATATAGCAAATGTGGTATCATCAAAGAGAAAGACCAACTCCAGCGAAGCAGAGACTGGCCTTGAAGCGAAGTAGATTCCAGGTGAGTGGTGTGTGATTCTGACAGGGTGCCGACAGGGACTGCACAGTGGGTGCGTGCAAATGACAGGCTCCTAAGTGATTGGAGACTCAGGGGTCTTAAGACAGAAACTGAGAAAGGTGCTCTTGGGGCTGTGTTGTTGTGGAAACAGAGGGTAAGGGGCTCTGAGCCATGTGACTACAACAGGCCAACCCAAATGCATACAAAGAACAGGCAGGTGGCCATCGCACCCTAAGAGGGGTCATGGTAACACACAACCATGTATACGATGTGCTCGGCATTGTGCGAAGAAAGCTTTGACGTGTTATTTCATGTAATCCTCATGACCACTCTAGGAAGTGGGTACTATGAATATACCCATTTTGCAGATGAGAAAACTGAGAAAGGGACCAAGGAACGTACCCCAGGTACACATAGGTGGGTGTTAAGGTTGGTAAGAGTCCAGGTGTCTGACCTACTCAAGCCACTCCCTGACACTGCCTATTAATGCTCTCCTTAGGGCTAGGAGCTCTGGTGGTGCTGTGGTTAAAGCATTGGGTCACTAACCAAAAGGTGGGTGGTCGAACTCACCAGCCACTCCGTGTGGGGAAAAAGTCTCCAACTGTAAAAATGACAGCCTTGGAAACCCTGTGGGCAGTTCCTCCACTCTGTCCTCTAGGGGCACTGTGAATGAATCAACTCCATGCAGTGGGTGTGGTTTGGGCTTTGCTTCTGTGAAGATTGACAGCTTTGGAGACCCTGTGGGCAGTTCCACTCTGTCCTCTAGGGGCACTGTGAGTAGGAATCAATCGACCCCACAGCAGTATGGGTTGGGTCTGGGTGGGGTCACAGGGGTTGTAGGGAAAAAACAGATTCTCCCCTTCCTCCGGAGAGACTGCAGCCCCGCGACCATTTTAGACTGAGCCCCAGAACTTTAGAAGAATCAATCTGGGCTGTTTCAAGCCCCTGAGTTTGTGGTAACATGTAACAGCAGCAACTGGAAGCTGATACGGTAGGTGTGTGATTTGCATTCGCTGATTAACTTCTCAAGGCCTCTATTTTCACATCTGTCAAATGGGAATAGCCATAAGACCTCACCACTTTGGGATCAGGCATGAGGAAGACATTAGGGGATGTATGTACAGTGCTAGGCACAGAGCCTAATGTGAACTGGTGTTTGTTTCTTTTCCCTGTTAAACCACAAGCACCATGAAAATAAGAAATCACATCCACCCAGTTCATAGCCATACCTCCAGCCCTCGGCATTGCCTAGTCTAGCCCCTGGTGGGCCTCACATGTCTGTGCACAGAAAGGGGTGGACACCTCTCTCCCCAGGGGAGGCTCAGAGATGTCAAGTTTGGGGGCCCCAGGCCCCGAGTTCTAGGGAAGGAGCTCATTTAAGAAATAATAACTACCCCTTACAAGGGTTATTATGGGGATCAAAGCAGAGAAAGTAAGGCTGCTAAGAGTCCTACCAAGATGCCAGGGACATCCTGGCCGCCCAAGGAACCAAAACACCAGGCCTGCTGCCGTCACCCTTTGGGCCACAGGAGACTACATGGTTTCCAAGTCTGTAATCTTGAGAGGAGATGGAGCAGGAAGCACTGGAAAGGTTCACACTGCTGACCTTCCGGTTAGCAGTCACGTGCTTAATGACTGCACCTCCAGGGCTCCTTTAAGGAAGCAGTTGTTATGTGCCGTCGAGTCGGCCCCGACTTGACTCGTGGCGACCCCTCCTTGGGTTTCCGAGGCAGTATCACTAGGGAAGTAGATTGCCCAACCTTCCTTCTGAGCAGTGGCTGGTGGGTTTGAACCGCCAGCCTTCTCGTTAGCAGTCGAGTGCCTTAGGCACTGCGCCACCAGAGCTCCTCTCTTCCTCCCTCCTGTTCCTTGGTCTGTCTGTCATGAAGTCCACAGTGGGTTCCCGGCTGTGTGTCTGGGATACTGAGAAAAGGCTGGGCTCCCCAGGATGAAGCTCAGGGCCCTGCTCCCTCCTCCCTGGGTTCTGCAGCAAGGCCTCTTGGGAGGCAGGCACACACCTGCACACCTGGAGTAGGCAGGCCTATCACTGTGGGGGCTGAGACAGCAGCCCTGGGCCTTGCCTCACCTGAGCTCTGGCAGCGCCTGGCTGTCCCCAGAGCTGGGCGGGGCTGGTTACCAAGGCCTCAGGTGGCCGAGGACCCGGAAGCAGGAAGCAGTCTGTGCTTTTCGTCCCGACAGACAGGGACCTGCCTGGCTGGGGGAGCCTCCCGGCTTCCGGGTAGCAGGTAGGGAGGGGTCTGGGGGTCGGACTACAGGGAGGGAGGGACCTGGGGAGGGGGTTGCCCAGACCTGTGTCAGTGTAGGGACCAGGAGGGCCTGGGCCTGAGCCGGGAGCAGAGCAGAGACCAGGGCAAGGGCTGGGGCTTTGGCCGGGAGGGGTCTGGGCCAGGCACCCGAATCTAGTGCAGAATTAAGCAGGAGACATGTCTGGGGTGTATGCGCTGGGGTGGAATCGGGGGGGGGGCTGGGGCTGGGTAGGGTCTGCCTGGGTTTGGCCGGGCCCTCCTGGGCCTCTACTGTGTGGCCAGCCCCCAGAGAAGCCCATGGTTCTGAGGCAGCCCCGCTGGGGGGCCGGGCAGGTGGCACGCAACACCCTACGCAGAGATGGCTCCGTCGGCCCAGGACCTGCAGCAGGAGCTGGAGGCCACGGCCCAGGAAGTGCTGGGCAGACTGAAGAGCCGCCAGCTGTTCCAGTCCGAGTGGGACACCGCTGCCTTCATCGTATTTCTCACCTTCATCGGTGAGTGTGGCCTCCAGCCCCACAGTTGCCTCCATCCCTGCCCCAGAGGGCCAGGGGACATACTCGGACCCTGTCCCTGTCCCCAGGCACCGTGTTGGTCCTGGTGCTGCTAGTCTTCATTCACTGCTGCTGCTGCTGCTGCTGCAACTCCCCCAGGTCCCAGAAGGTGAGCCCTGCGAAGGTGAGCCCGCCGCCTCTCGGGCCGCCCTGGGGGCGAGGGTGGCAGCAGGGGGGGTGCTGGCCCGCCCCCGGCATGAGTGCTACAGGCTCTTCCGTCTTCCCTGCAGCGGAGCCCCAAGGGGGTGGACAACTTGGCCTTGGAGCCTTAAGGGCGCGAGTCCCCACCAGCCCCTGGCGCTGCCTGGAGCTGATCCTTCGGAGTGTGTGCCAGCCGCCTGGTGGGGCGCAGAGTGGGGACTGGTTGCTTCCTGTGGACGCCCGCCTGGCCCCTCAGCACTTTCAGCCGCTGACAGCCGTCACTGGGCTGCCTGGCACTAAAGACTTTAAAGGACATTGGAGGGGGTGTCACCCAGCTACTGGGAGGGGACGCTGGTCTCAGGACCCTGAACCCCCAGGCAGAGCTGACACCCCCGCCCCTGGCCCTAGATAATGCTGGGAGTCAGAGAACCCTGTCAAAGTGGGCTGTGTGCCCTGCGTCACTGGTGTTCCTTCCTAGGAGCTCATCTGGGCCTGGCTGTGGTGGGAAGCAGGGAGGCTCCTGACCGCCAGGGGTCCCTAGCCTGCATCCCCAATCAGACAGACAAGGCAGAGGAACTCCAGGCAAAGGCTGATCTTTTATTTCTCAGAGGGCCCCAAGGGGCTGCAGAACAAACCCAATCAGCAGCATCCATGTTTGGCCAGGCCACAGGTCTCCCCTCCTTCCCTCATAGCTCGTTGGGGCCCCCACGCCTGACCCTGTGATGGGAGGGAGTGAAAGGCCGCCCTAGCGATCCTGTGGGTCTGATAGGGTTGGGGGACAGCTCAGCACAAAAGGAAAAGGAGAGCTAGCCTAGCCTCACCCTGAGTCCAAAGGTCCCTGTCGAGTGCATGGGGCTCGCCCGGGACTATGGGCCTCCTCTGGGCACCCTCCTGACCCCGCTCCTGAGCCAGCAAAGCCCAGCTCCCTTCCTCCCAGTGGCCCTTGCGTCAGCTCCCATGGGTGTGATGTGACAGGACGAGAAATAAATAGTCTGAAGTGCCCAGGCTCTGGGTTCCGTGGCACACAGGGGTGAGGGTGGGGCAGGACGCCCTGGGTCACATTCCGGGAGACAAGCTCCTGGCAGCTCTGCTCAGAAGGGCCTGTAGCTCCAGTAGCTGGAGAACACGGAGATCTGGGGGGGTGGGGGGGGTGCGGCCGGTCCGTGAAGGGGGCCCTCCCTGCAGAGGACCAGGCCCTGCTGCACCCTCCTGACACAGGGGAGGTATCAAGGTCAGCCAAGGCTGATGTGTCAGGGGAGAGGGTGGTGTTGCTTAGCAACAATGAAGCCCACCTGCCCAGATGGGACGAGCAGACATGATGGGCCGTGAGATCTGTGGGGTACTTTGGAGGCGCTGTAGGAGCCCTGGGAATCCTTCCTCCCATCCCGGACCAAAGGCCCCTGAAGGGGCTTAGCCAGCTGGCTGGCTCCATTCGAGTGAGCGTGAGTCCCCCCCCCCAACCTGCAGGCGCCCAGCCCACCTTGTCCTTGAGCTGCTGGCAGAGCTGCAGGGAGACGGTGAAGAAGACAAGGGCGTCGTTCAGCCAGGGGATGACGCACTCCACCTTGTGCACGTGGCTCACCTCCAGTCGCTGCGAGCCCCACTCACTGTGGAGGGCGTGGGGGGCGCTGAGGGTGGCCCCGGACAGCCTGGCCCTCCCCCCGAGGTGCTCCGGGACTCCGCCCACCTACTCACAACATGGCTCCAGGGCTGTGGAGCACGGCGCCTCCAGCAGGGCGGAAGTTCTAGGCAGAGGTGAGCAGCCTGTCAGCCCGGCCTGCCTGTGGTGGGTGCAGGCTGTGTGGGGTGGCCGGGCAGGGCGCTCACCTTGGTGGAGTTGGGCTGCAGGACGTGCAGCTGGTACACGGTCAGGCAGAGCTTGTTGAGGTTGATATAGACGTTCACCAGCAGGTCCGAGGGCAGGGCGGGAGCAAACATGCGCTGTGGGAGGCATGGCGGGCAGGTGCAGTGACCGCCACAGCTGGCCTGCCCACCGAGGGCTGGATAGTGAGGCCACTCCACCCAGTCCTCGAAAGGCTCCTCCCACAGGCAGGGACAGAGCCAGGCTGCCATACTTCCCTTGGGTGCCCCAGCTGTCGTGCTGCGTCACCAGGTACGGGCACCCCGACACAGCAGGGTAAACACATTTGGGGGATGCAGGACGGAAAGCAAGGGCCCCATTCCAGAGAACACGCACAGACACAGAACTCTAATTTGGGGGCTTCAGGACCCCTGTGTCCCTCCCAGGGTTAAGGACCTTGCTTGGCAGGGTCCCTCACCCCACACAGGGGCTGGTTGGGGGCACTGACTGTGAGGCCACTGGCGGCGATCTCGGGCAGGGTGAGGGTGGCTGGGGTGGTGAGCCGATTGCGGGCTCTGATCAGCTGCAGCATCACGGCATCCATCAGCTGTGGGGAAACGGCGGGTCACCTTGCTGTGTGGGCAGCAGGCCCTGGTCCAGTCCCCCAGCCACCTTCAGGGAACTCCCAGTATGAAACAGGTCTGGGCTAGACCCCAGAGACAAAACCATGGAAGTTTCCAGTTCCTGTCCTGGGTGGCCCTGGTTCTCAGGCCCTGACCCCCCAAGTGGGGGCCAATTAAAGATGCAGGCAGTCTGGCCCCAGCTGGTGTGGGGACCATCATTCAGAAGGGTCTAGTGCCTGAGACCCTGGATGCTGGTTCAATGGGAAGTATGTCCCAGGGGCCTATGTGCTTGGGGGAGGGGGTGAAAGTGATAAAGGCGTTCAGAAGAAGGGCCCCCATCTGGCTTGGGTACAAGGAGTCTGGGAGGGCTTCCTAGAGGAGATGGATGGTTGAGTACATAAGGTGGGTGGTGGTGGCAGGTGCTGTCAAGTCATCCCGACTCACAGCGAACCTATGTACAACAGAACGAAACCCTATTTTCATAGACGAGGCTACTAAAGTTCAGAAGCCCCTTGTTCAAGGCTGCACAGCTAGTAAACAGGGGAGCTGTCTGGAGCCCCCCTTCAGCCATGGAGCAAAGCCCTGGCTGGAGGAATGGGGGCTGCATCTCCTACTCCCTCAAGGTGTCACAGTTCTGAAAGGGACCTACATCCATCTGGTTCCAGTCTTTTCTATGAGGACCCAGAGGCCCAGAGAGGGCAGATGATCCACCTGAGGACACACAGCACATCAAGACAGAAAGCATGAGCCTAAGGTGTTTGATCTCAGCTTCCCACCATATCCTGCCAGCTGACTGTATTGATGATGGTCAAGGCTGCTCCACCACAAACTGCTACTGCCACGCACCATCACACTGATCACTCCAGCCCGTCTCCCCTTTACCAGTGGGGGAGCTGGCACGCAGTGTGGCTGAGTAGTGACTTGAGGCCACACGGCTCACAGTTTCAGGTCACGAGACAGGTCATGGCACTGGAATCTTATTCCAGAGCCTAGTACTTTAAGAGGTGACAGGTTACCTGCAGCTGAGCCTGAGGACGAAGGCTGAGGCCCAAGGGTCCAGGCCCCTAAGAGCCCTGCAGGCTGGCTCGTCCAGGGGCCCACTCAGGGGCTCTCCTGTCTCTTCTGGCAGCTCACCTTGAGAACCTCAGCTCCCGTCTTGAACTGGTAGCTCGCGTCCCGGTTGGTGAGGAGGTAAATGGCTTGGCTCACGTGGTTCCTGGCGTCCTGGATCTAAAAACAGAGCCCACTGGGTGGTCACTTGGGCCGGGCCTGGGCAGGGAGAAGCTGTGGCGCTGGGCTCTGGGGCAGCTTACTTGGAACTCTGGGCCTCAGCTTGCCCTCTAGTTTCTTGGAGGGGTGAGGTGGGTGCTGCCTGCCTGGCCTAGTCATTCAGCCTCTCACCCTGCAGCCGTGAGCTCCGTGCCCTCTGAGGCTTGGCCCTGGCTGGCTGCTGGGGAGAGGCTGAGCTCGGGGCCTGCCTGTGTGTAACTTACCTTCAAAGACAAAGATGGATGGGAATCAAGTAACCACACTAAGTAACAAATAGGATGAGGTGCAAGGAACTGGGACACGGGGAGCCTCTCTAGATTGGGGGTCAGAGAGGGTCCTAGTGGGGAAACTCTTGAGCCAGGACCACGTGGTAAGAAAAGCTGAGTGACAAAAACTCTAGCAGAGAGACTCCCATGGGCAAAGACTCTGGGGCAGACAAGGGTTAGTGAAAGGGGGCTGGGAGGGCAGGGCCACGGCCACTGCCAAATCCCACTGGAGCTGGTTAAGGAGCACGGACCTTGATGTCCGAGCTTTGGGAAGCCCCTGGAGGTTCTGCAGGGGAGTGACTTGTTGAGGGGCACTATGAGTGATCACCCCAGCTGCCATGGGTCGGGGGACCTGTGGTTCCCGGGTCCCACAGACCAGCAGCCTCTTCACCTCCCAGATGGCACCGTTCTAGGTCTCCAGGCACCACCTACGCTGGCTTTGCTGCTAGGCAACACCTTCCCCAGGCTTGCTGTGGCCACAACTCCCCACGGCCAGTCCCTCTCCACGGAGACCCCTGCGGCCCGTTCCCGGCTGGGGGGCCTCCTTACCTGCTGCAGCTTCCACTGTTTGTCCTCCCGGAAGGCGAGGTGCAAAGGCTGGTTGTTCCGGGGCATCTTCAGGTTCACGTCCTGCCGGACAGGAGCGTGGGTCAGCTGGGCAGGGGACGCCCCCTGCTTCTGGCCACCCCAAACCCTCGAACTGGGTGCAGAAACGGGCAGTGTGTGGTGGCTCAGACCCACTGCCCCCTGGGGCTGAGGGCCTCTCAAAGCCCTGACCATCTACAGGGTGAACAGGGAGGTGAGGAAACAGGAACTCGGCCCAGAAGGGGCCACAACAAATGAAAGGGAAGAAAGAGGAAGGGCGGGAAAAAAGGGGAAGGAGGCCTGGGCTGGGTGGAGGCATGCAACCGTGGGCAAAGTGGAGCAGCTGGTGAAGCCCAGGAAACTCAGGGTGGTGAGGCAGACCCTCCCCCAGTGGTGGCACTGGGAATGCTGATCTATGCCAGCTGAGTTCCTGGATGCTGTGCCGGGCTATGTGTAGTGTCGACTCTTTCCCCACCCTATCACCAAACCTATGCACCAATCCAGGAGCAGGTGCAGGCCTGGTCATCATATACAAATGCGGAAACTGAGGCCCAGAGAAATCAAGGGCCCTGCTCAGAGCCACATAGCAAAGCTGAAACAAGCATGAGATCCCCATAGCCTCACCCACTGGTAAGGTGATAGGGGCTGAGACTCACCGCCTGGCTCAGCGCATCCCCTTGGAGAGTAAGCACGCCTTTCACCTGGTCTGTGCTGCAACACAGGGGGTCAGAGTGGCACCTGCTGCCCGCCCCTCCCACCGCGTGGTCCTGGTTGTCACAGGACGGACCATGGGCCACACGTGTCCCACCCCACTGCCTCAGCACGTCAGAGCTGACACATCAGCTTGTGGGGAGGGACCGTGGCTGTGCCTCTTACCCTCAGAGGATGTTCCAGGAGACCCCAGTCCCCATCTTCTGGTGTCTGCCCAGCCCAGGCTTACCCACAGCTGCCCAGGATGAAGTTCTCCTGCTTGGCCGGGCCCTCGGTGCCTGTGCCAGACAGAGTGAAGCGGAGAGAGGCCTCCTGCTGGGCAGAGGGGAGCAAGGTGGGGGAAAGGTCACACACATGCTGGGGCAGCTTCTAGCTCCATTCGAACTCCAGAACCTTTCCCTCATCAGGGCTGCCTTGGAGAAGAGGCAGGCTGGCTGGGACTGGCTGGGGCTGGTGGGCGGTTTCCAAACCTTCAGGGCACCTTGTGGTAGCCCTGGCACTGCCCCAAGGCTTGTGTTTCAGGTCCCACAACCTACTTGCTCATTCCACATTCACTTAGCACCTACTGTACGCCAAACGTAGGGACACAGGACCGAGGGAGCTCAGCTGAGGTGCTGGGATGGAAGGAGCAGAACCAGGGACTAACAACGGCGGTGACTGTCACCAGCCAGTTTGGGCCTAACCAAGCTCTGAGCTACACACTTCCGTGGGCTGACCGGCTCATTTATCTTCCCAACAGCCCATGAGGCAGGCACCAGTATCTCCTCTTCACAAATGAGGAAACAGAAGCCCTGAGCGCTCCAGTAACTTGGCTGCGGTCACATTGCCCCAGAGAGTCGGATGGCCTTCAGATCTCACGTTAAATATCACCTCTTCAAGGATGTCACCGTGACTCCTGGGGGGTGACATCAGGCCATGCTGGTCCCTCCCAGTGCCGGCGTTTTCCGGCGCAGGACTCAGCAACCCCGCACTCACATTTGTTCCTGAGCTGGTGCTGAGCGCTGTCCAGTGGGTTTGGACCCACAGCGACCCCGTAGGTTTTTCTATGCTGTAATCTCTACGGGAGCAGATCGCGGGGTCTTTCTCCTGTGGAGTCGCTGGGTGGGTTCGAACAACCAACCTTTCAGTTAGCAGCCCCACGCTCTGTTCTGGCTTGTGTCCCCGACGTGATAGAGGCTCACGCGGGTAAGGGCCCTGTCTGAATACCGATCCTGGCGCTCAGTGAACACAAGGAGGGGTGGAAAGAGCGGAGGAGGAGAAGCAGGGGTCCGCTTGCCTGGCCCAGGGCGGCACGGGCTGGAGCGGGGTCGCGGGACCCGGGGGCGTTACCTTGAGGATGTCCTGGAGCTGCCGGAGCACGGCGTGCACCTCGTCGTGTAACAGCCAGCGGAACTCCTCCTCCTGTTGAGAGAGAACGAGGTCAGCGGCCTGCGGAGGGGCGACCCGGCCCGGCCCCCCGAGCCGCCGCCTCGCCTCACCAGCACCGCGCGCTCCGCCGCCGTCGCTGCCATCGCGGTCGCCATCGCTGCCCGCCGCCGAGCGCCAGTCAGGGGCCCACCGCCTCCGGTGCCCCAAACCCCGCCCCCTACCCTGCCGTCGATTGGCCGAGCGGGCGCCGGCCTCGCCCCCAGCCTGTCTCCCGGCCCGTGATTGGCCGGCGAGTCTCGGTCCGCCCGGCTCACGAGACCTGCAGGCGTCCCGAGTGAGGCTGGCGGCTACGGGACTTGGTCCTCCCTCGGCGGCTGCGCGAAGCTGGCTCGCGCCAGTTCGTTCGGGACGCCGTCGGTGCCAGCCTGAAGCCTAATGTGACGCTCCGTCTCCGTATTTACGGCTGCTGTGGTTCTCAGTGCTGCGGCCGCTTTTCCCGCCCCTCCCAGGCTCTGATAGGGTGTTACGCTTCACTTTCCCCCAGTGATTGGCTGACGGGATGTCTTGGTTTCGCTGCGCCCAGTGATTGGCCCCTGCGGAGGTCTGTTCTCGCTCAGCCTCCCCAACTCTGTGGATAGCAGGGGCGGGCCGCTGGAATGCTAGCAGGCCCACGCCAGCCAGCGTCTGCCTCCAGGTGACGCGCGCTCCCCGCTGGGGCCTGTCCACCGGTCTCGCCGCACTCACCTTCCTCTCCCCACACCAGCAAGAGCTCCATGAGCCGCGCCCACCCCCAGCCCCGTGTCCCCGCGCAGACCAGCGCCCCTGAGGCAACCAAGCCACTCACGCTACACAGCTGTTACCAAGAAACGTTTTATTTTTCTTGCAGTAGCTTTGTTAATTGCACAAAATCATGGTTTTTGTTTTTGCCATTTAAACATTATCACACAATCCTATTCTGAAAGACAAATGTTCATTAAAAACAAAGCAAAAATAAAAATTCACAACCTTAATTACCTAGATTTGTCATTTAAAGGTTTAAAGGAAAAAAAATGGGGGCGTGTAGAGGGGCTTTTCTTACAAGCTTTTTCACAAGTGTCACATTTTCTCCTTAAAAGGGAAGGATTTTAAAATAAAGGTGAAATAGCTTAAACAGAAATATCCATAAAAAGGAACTTTACAGAATTGTCAACAATATTAAGACAACATTGACTACCCAGTTTTATTACAGCACCCCCTCCCTCCCGCCCCCCCTCCCGTGTGGCCGGCCAGGATTAGCACAGGCTTTGTGTTCAGACAGAAATGAGTTCAAACCCAGTGAAATTACAAACGGTGCCAGAAACCCCACAGGTGTATCCCCTGCCCTCCCCCCATGGTCTCAGAGCCTGTGGTCAGTGAAAAAGGGCCAAGGTTGTGGGGGTGGGGCCCCAAACCAGGGTGGCCACATGATTTTTTTATATATATAATTATATATTTCCATATAAACATTGACTGCAAATTGTGACTTTGGGAAAACCAACCCATGCGGAAGGAGATAAAAGCGACACCCCTTAGGAGACTTCTCCTTGTCCTTACGCAGCATTCCAAGTCCGGTCTGGTCCCCTGTCCAAGGAGAAACACTCTAGGCCTCCAGGATGTCCGAGCTCTGCCTTCTGATGGCTAGGCATGCCAGTCAGGTCCAGTTCTCTCCTCCCTGCCCAGAGAGCTCTGGGCCTGACCGGGAATCGCTGGAGACGCTGCTGGCTGGAGGGAGATGCTCGTTCTGGTCTCAGGAGCTGAGCCTAAGAAATCGTCAGTTGGTCAGGCTGGGTGGTCTGGGCCATAGATGGGACAGAAATAAATACTGTCCCAGGGCAGGAGAGGGGCAAGGAAGGGGAGGGGCAGCATGCAGGGACTTGTGCAGCGAAGGGTGGGGGGGACAAGGTGGTGGTGCCTCGAGTGGCCGGGTCAGAGCAGCTCTCCAGAGCCAGTTGAAGAGTCTAGGGCATAACGGAAACAGGAAGGAGCCCACCTCCTCCCTCACGCTTCACTCCTCACTGGCGGCCCTCAGGACCCCTCTCCCAAGGCCTGGAATGCAAATCCAAACACTGAAACAGCCTGGTGAGGCTCCCACTACATTGATGCGAGGAACTCTGATCCCAGCCCAGGGCTCCGCAGTGCCAGTGACGTCGGTAGGAGCAGAATGGCTCCCGTGAGGCTCAGCTGAGGGCCGGCGGCCAGCTGCTCTCCCTGGAGAGCCAGGGCCCTTGTCTCCACCGGACTCTGCCCGTCTCTTTTCAGCTCACAAAGGCATTCACGAAGAGGTGGTTGCACGTTGGTAGCTTAAACATGAAAATCCTCATCAGCTGGTCACCTGGGGTTGGCGGTCCCATGGGAGCCTCCCTCTGGAGTCTTGCTGGCTCCTCTTGGCCCAGAGCCTCTCCCTGTTGGGGATCCAGCAGGGGACGTGCACGTGACCACAGCCTCCTCACTCTAGGAGGAAGCTATGGGGAACCTTCCAGCTCTCACTGCCAATTCTCGTGCCTTGGCTGGAAGGGGTTTGAGATAAGCTTGGAAGAAGAAAAAAAGCCAGGCAGCAGTTTCTGGGCAGTTCTATCCTGGGGTGAGAGCCTGTGTGTGTGTGTGTGTGTGTGTGTGTGTGTGTGTGTACATAACCACCTAGTCCGGGGGGCCAGCACCCAGCTCAAGAGCTTTCCTACAAGCCAATTCTGTGAGCAGCCCCCCTCCCCAGGACTCCAGGGGAGTGGTGCTGCGTGGTGCACTGATGGCAAGTCTCAAGTCTGTAGAAGAGGAAACGGAGGTGGACTGGACCAGAGCAAAGTCCCAGGACCGGAGCCTGTGTGAGGAGTGGGGGTCAGAGGGTGTACTGGAGGGGGTGGGGCTCAGTGTATATAGGCTCGGTACACGGCAGACATATCGTTGTCCGACTGGTCCAGGGCCTTGGCTCTTTTGTACACCTGGAAAGCAAGAGATGAGGGTCAGGCTCTGGCCACGAGCTGGTGCTGGAGGCTGCGCTAGCTGCAGCTAAGCCGGGAGGCTCTGGGCTGAGACTGCCCGTGCAGGCATCCTAGCTCCCCGACTCACTGGCTGGACCTGGGGCAAAGGCCTGAGCTTGTCTCCTTCGGCCACCCCCCCACCTTTGCTGGGCCAGTGTGAGGATGACGCCCAGTAACAGGCACGAGTGCCCAACATGCTGGAGCTGTTGTCTTGGCAGCAATGCCCATCCTCTTAGGGCTCTCCGAGGCCCTTTCCTTTTCCTCTGGCCTCCGTCCTTGCCGCACCGCGCCTGGACCGCTCGTCCCTCTGCGTGCGGCCCCCGCCCTGTCGAGAGCCTTCCTGCCCACCCACTCACGCCAAGGAGCAGCTGCATCCCAGTTGCCTCCCTCGACTCCAGTTTATTTAAAATCCGGCCTCTTACTCTCTGGAATTCTTACTTATTTAAATGTCCATGTGCTTATTTTGTATTTCCTTCCACTGAAAGGTAAGCTCCACGACGAAGGGAAGGAGCTGCACACCAACGTGTCCCCAGAGCCGAGGACAGGGCCTGGCAGCTCCCAGTGCCCTGGAGACACACTGGGTGAACACACTGGGTGAACACACGAGAGGGTAGAGAGTATGACAGAGCCACGGCTGACGGGGCACTATGACGACACCCAGTCGTGCAGAGACAAGGTTTTTGCTTGTCTGTTTGTGTTTTAAACAGAGTCCAGTAGGCACCACCACAACTGTGGGTCTGTTACAGCTCAGGGGTAAATGCTGGAAGAACCCGGCACCTGCTTCTGGTACCCTCTGCCCTCAGGCTCTCGGTGTCTCCTAAGTGGGTCTGAGGGCAGAGAAGGGCAGCCAGCCAGGTGCTGGCTCCCGTACGTGCTGGATCTGGCGACCGTGCCTTCAGTCAGCACCTAAAGTGCCAGATAAGAACCAAGAGGTGTCTGCTTGACCTGGGCTCAGACCCCGTGGGAGGCCACGACTGGGCTGAGGGTGCATCAAAGCTGTTTTCAGAATCCTCTGCCTCCTTGGAGGACAGCAACCAAGTCTTTCATTCCTTCCCCCAGCACACCATCAAGAGAGGCAGCTGACCTTGTACAAGTTCTTTTCAGCCCCACTATAGCCAGGCGGCTGGGATGGTCCACATGCTTGGAATGACTGGGTAAGCTCCCAGCATACCAACCCACTGGCCAATCACAAGTATAAACTCTGTGCCAAACACGAACTCCCCACGGGCACCGCCAGAACCAAGGAGGCAGCTTCTGGAGGGGTCTTGATGCTTGGAGGGAGGCTGCTGCAGGGGTGAGTTCTCACTGCTGTTCTGCCTGAAGGTCAGCTGCAGCCTGCACCGGCAGGGCAGCTGAGCCTGCAGTCTTTTGAGCCTGAAGAAGCAGAGGGTGGCATCTGGGGCAACCACAACCGCTGGAAAACGGGGAAGGGGGTCTTAGAAAGGGGAACACCAGAGAGGAGGATCCTCAAAATTCTGCATGGAAACTGCTCACATCTGACACCTGAACCATTCACACGCAGGACAGAGATCAACAGCCTGCCCAGGGGTCAAAGACCTGAACTGAGATTTGAGTTGCGGCTGAGGAGTTTCCAGTTTGAGTCCAACCAAGGTAACTGCTTGCTCTTACATCAGCAACAGAGACCAATGCTCCTCGTTGGAATAAAAGAGAACCCAGAGTCTCCACGACACAATCTTTACAACATCCAGGACATAATCCAAAATGACTCAACATATGAAGAAAGAGGAAAGCACGACCTACTTTCGTGTGAGAAGACACTCAGTGGAGACTGAGGAGACTCTGACGTCAGGATCAGAAGACAAAGATTTAAAAGCAATGATTATACTCAGGGGCTCAAGGACATAAAGGAAAATATGCTCGCAATGAAGGAAAAGATAAGAAATCTTAGCTGGGAAACAGAAACTATGTTTAAAAAAAACAACAAGTTCTAAAACTGGAAAACAACAGAATCTGAAACAGACAAATTTACACAAAAGAATGGAGACCACAAAGGAAACATCAGTGAGAGATTAGATGATTTACAGGAATCCTATCTGAGAAAGAGAAAGAAGAAGGGGGCGCAGATGTCCAAAGACTTCTCACCAGAAACAATGGAGGTCAGGTGACAACAGACCCAAATTGTGTACAGTGATGGCTGTAAGAAGAAACCCAAACAACATCAAAACAACTGTCTACTCCTAATGAAAGTTCCACAGAGAACTTTTCAGATAATGGAGACTATGAGAATCTGCCACCAGCTGACCTGAAATGGGCATTATGAAAAACGCTAAAGACATTATCCCAGCTGAAAGGAAACACTACTAGATGGAAATGTGATTCTTCACGAAGGGAGGAAGAAGAGCACTCGAGGTGGAAAGTCTAGAGAAACAGGTAACTTTCTCCTAATCTCTTTAGCAGGCCCCCCCAAAAACTGCAGTATTGTCTGGGGTTTAAAGCAGGTAAAGATAATACACAGGATGCATCTCTCTCCACTGCAGAGCAGTCACTCTCAACTGGTGCCCAGGACATGTGGCAATATCTGGGGACATTTTGGCTGTCATAACTGAGGGGGTGCTACTGTCACCTAGTAGGTAGAGGCCAGGGGTGCTGTTAACCACCCCACAATGCACAGGATAGCCCCCCATGACAAAATGCCAACAGTGAAGAGGTTGAGAAATCCTGCCCAGAGGATGGGGGGAGGATGAAAAGATCTGTATGTTTGTAAGGTTTTTCTGTTTCACATAAAATAGTACGATATTAACTTAAAGTACATTGTGAAATGTTAAGTATGTACTTTGTAATCCCCACAGGAACTCGTGATAAAATAATGCACAGAGGCAGTTAAAAAACCAGTAACAAATCCAAATGGAACTCCACAGACTATTCAGATAACCCAAAAGAAGGCTGGAAAGGGGAAGAGCCAGGAAAAAACAAAACAAAACAAAAAGAGAGGGTATACGACAGACTCAATGATAAAGAGGCAGCCTGACCCCAACCACACAAACGGTCATAGGGGATGGTGAAGACCAGTTACCCACAAGATCCTGACCTCGTGGTTCAGGCTCAGAACAGTGGAAGCCTAAATTCGTACTATTCCAGTGGTCCAATCCCCTTTGCTCCACTGAGAGATTAACCAAGCCCATGAATCCTACAGCCAGGGCAGAGGGAATGCAGAAAGTGCCTCACGGGTTGGCCCCTCCTGGTAGCCTCCGAAGGAGCTGCAGCTGGTGGTGGGCCACTGACAGAGAGGCAGATACAGAGCACAGGAGGGAGCTGGTACCTCATTGGCTGCAGCTGCCATTGGAGTGGGGTGGTTGACGGCGTCGCCCAGCGCAATGGCTAAGCGCAGATCCTTCTGAATGTATTTCAGGTAGAAATCAGGCTTAAAGTTCCCCTGTAGGATATCTGAGGAAGAAAACCACTCATCAGAAGAACAAAAGGACCATCAACAGGAAAACATTTGCAGGAACATCAGGGCTAGCCACCTGGCACTCCCAACTCGTCCAACTCTCGGAGCTAAACCACAGCCTAAGTCCTGAGCCCCCAGACTGCACCCACAGCCTCTCTGGAAGTCCTCTGACCAGGGTGTGACCGCCTGGAGAGGGCCCTTGCTTCATGCCCAGGGTAGCCCCGAAGAAGTAAACACCATGTGGCAGGAAGCTGCTGCCTGACCTAGTCCCCACTACAATCAGTCAACTGTGTGAAAAGAAGCCAAAAGCAGCTTTACTTTGGCACTTCTGGTCCAGAAAGATGCTGGCCAACTGTCCCTGATTGAGGATGTCCAAAAGCGTCTGCTGGGATTGGCCTGTCACTTGGGCCAGGGTCAGCCCCTCGGCGATGGTGGCCATGAAGCTTCCCTGGACCATGTTCACGATCAGCATCATCTTGGCTGCGTTGCCAACCTCACCTGCAAAGAGTCATGGTCATTTCCCATGGACTCTGCAGACTTTCTGTCCCATCCTCATCCCTACTCAGATCCACCTCTAGGATGTGGGCGGCCCCATGCGCCTAACCCCAATAGAACTGGCTCTCCCAGTTCCAGTCAGGGGAACCCTCCCGTGGGGGCCCAGCAGAGGTCGTGTGGGGTGGCTGTAGTCACCAGTACAGTCTGGGGCGTGGCCTGAGGTGGCAGAATGGGCAGCAGGCAGTTACCCAGAAAGAAGGAGGCCTTCCCCATGGCCTGGAAGCAGCTACTGCAGTCCTCATACAAGCCCCTGTCTCCGGCCGCTAAGATCACCAGCATCCCGTCGTTAGACAGCTGCTGGTTCCCTGAGACGGGGGCTTCCAGAAAGCGGCCCCCCCTGGACACAATCACCTGGAAAGGAAAGTCACAGTTCTGGAGCCCCTGCCTGTCTCACAGGGTCCAGGTGGGGAGCACATGGGGCAGGGGCACAGAGGGCCTCGGGTGGGGGCCTCTCATCCCAGGGGCACATCTTTTCACCACACCTGGCCCCACAGAGCTAAGGGGTGTGAGCTCTGGGCTGGCCACTGAGGTCCCAGAGCCACAGAAGGGCTAGATAGACTATCATCCAATGGACACACAAAACACATGGCAGTGAAGAGAGAAGCCGGGGCCTCCTCCTAGGCTCTCACTTACCCTGCACCTTCCCGCCAAGACCAAAGAGTGTCACCGACTCTGAGCATGCCAACAGCGTGGCTGAACACTTCATCCCTAAGGATACCTCCCTTCCTGACTTTAGGCACCTGCACAACATACAGGGAGTCCAGAAACCACCGCCCTCTCCTGCGGGCCCAGAAGGTCGGGAAGGAGGAGCACTTTCCTACTTTTCTACTCCAGGGAGTTGCTCAAACCAAAAAGGCGGTGCTAGCAGCCCGGACTCCTCCTCACTGTGAGGGGGCAGGGACAGAGCCCAATGCCTAGCTCAGCTGGACAGTCATCTCCCACCGCCATTCCAACCAGCTACAGCTTTGAAGGCAGAGACTGAAGACAGGCTAGTCCCAAGGTGGCTGGGCTCCAAGATTCACCAAGCTGACCACGCTTGGGTGTGGTCACTCCGGGTCTCAGGCTCCAACTGAGAGGGTGTTGGAAGGCCAGACCGACCAGGCAGCTACCTGGGCCAGCTCGGTGACTGTGTCTGCGTCCACTGTTGACATATCCACGTAGCACTTCCCGGGGCGGATCCCTTGCAACACACCACTGGGGCCCAGCACCAGCTGTGGGGACACACGAGAGAAGCAATAGCCCAGGCTCCCCGGTCAGACACCCAGCAAGCCCTTCAGGACCCAGATCAGAATCCTGCTGCATTTTGGACACATTTCCCGATTAGGAGCTAACCACTAAGACTGTAAGGGGAAGAACAATTTAAAAAGCAATGGAAAGAAAAGTATTTCCAGGATGTTCCCACTGATCTTAAAAAGGATATTTGTGTGTTCCTGTTTCTTTTCATTAAAAACCGCCCGAATAGAAAGGAACCACCGTTTTTACTTTGTAAGGCTTCTCTGGATTTACTTGGATCAGATTAGTCACCAGCTCAATAGGATGACTTTTCTGTCTACGTTTAAACTTTTAAGCAGAGCACAGGACTGGTGCACAGACCAGGCACCCTGGGTCTCGAGCTTCCAGCTCCACAAGAACGCAGGGAACCCTGCAGCACAGGCCTCGGGACGCCAGTGACCGCAGTCCTTGTTCTGAAGGAAAGGAAGCCTGTGCTGGACTGGTGCACACACCCTTCACAAGGGGAGAGGCTCCCAAGGGGAAAGTTGATGCCCACGTGCAGACACTCACTCTGTGTGCAGGGGAGAAGGGGAGCAGGCTGGTCGGCTTCCCCGGCTACAACCTGCCGTGGAGGGGAGGGAGGGCGGGAGGGGATCCTTACGTCCTTGGCCGCCTTCGGATCCGACACGCAGGCAAAGGTGATGTCACAGGTTGAAACGACTTCAGCGGGGGTCCTTCCTAGGCGGGCCCCCTCCTGGATGAACAAATCACACTGCAAAAGTCACAGATGCCAACGTGAGCCAAAGGCAGCGCCCAGCAAACATGCCAGCCAGGCCAGAGACGCCGTGACCCCCGAGCTGGTGCTTCATCTTCCTGAGGGAAGAAAGTGGGCCTCTCAAAGGCCCTCTTTGTGTCTTTGCATACCTGGTGCTAGATCGATGCTCTACTTCACAGTAAGCACAAAACAAAGGTCTGCTATTGGTGTCCTGTTTGAGGAACAGGACATTGAACAGTGCCTGTCCCCAGCCCTGCTGTGGTGGTCTTGGCTGTGCCGGGGCATCACGCTGGCCCTAGACGCTTCCACCCTGGCTGGTGCTCCTTACTGAGCTGTTCTCTGCCAGGCTGGGACTTTTGGGGGCCTAAAAGCGCTAACTTTTCCTCTCTGAGGGTTAAAGTCACTCAGAACGTCCCATGACAAAGCAACACATCCTTAGTAATTAGGCACTTTTGTGCCTACCATTCGACATCCAGTTTTTGTAGTTTGTTTGGGTCATATTTACCCACACTTTAGTAGTCTTTGATAATTAAATATTGTTTATGATGAATGGCTGCAGAACATTCCACTGAGATACACCTCAATTCACTTAATGGTTCCTCTACACTTTGAAATCTAGCCTGACTTCCATTTGTAGTTAGGGACACCAACAAACAGCTCTGCAAAAAACTTCCCTTCTCTGTATCGAATTCAGGTCCTAAATGACTCAAACAGGTGCCACGCTGCTCTAGAGCTAAGACACTAAGACCCAGGTGTCCGTGCCCCCAGGGCTGTGCCAATGTAGAGGGCTCAGCAGCAAGTCTCACCGGCCCAGCACTGAGCACACGAACAAGAAACTACAAACAAGCCTGAGAAATACGTTTTAAACTTGATGTGCTTAATAAAATCAACGTACTACCGTTTTTCTATCAGAAACGGGATGGATCTCTTTGTTGAGTGATTTTGATTGCTTCTAGGCTAAGAAAGAAAGATCAATGTTGTTATTCTATTCCAATGTTTCCTTCTGAAAACATTCATTCAGTAACCTATCTGAAACAGCTACCACTCATCTGTCACTCTGTTGTACTGTGGTGCCTTATGAGTGGCTGTGATGCTGGAAGCTATGCCCCAGGATTTCAAACACCAGCAGGGCCACCCACGGTGGACAGGTTTCAGTGGAGCTTTCAGACTAAGACAGACTTGGGAAGAAGGACGTGGCAGCCCACTTCTGAAAAATTTAGCCAATGAAAACCTTATGAATAGCAGTGAAACACTGTCTGATATAGTGCCAGAAGATGAACCCCTCATGTTGGAAGCATTCAAAATACCACTAGGGAAGAGCTGTATCCTCAAAGTACAGTCAACCTTAATGATATAGATGGAATAATGCTTTTGAGACCTTCGCTGGCTAATGTGACACGACTCAAAATGGGAAGAAAACAGCTGCAAATAGCCATTAATTACTGAAACTTGGAATGTATCAAGTATAAGTCTAGGAAAATTCCAAGTTGTCAAAATGAAACGGAACCCATAAAGATTGATATCCTAGGCATTAGTGAGCTGAAGTAAACGGTATTGGCCATTTTGAATCAGACCATCACATGGTCTACTAGGCAGACATGACCAACTGAAGAGGAATGGCACCACATTTACCATCAGAAAGAATATTTCAAGACCTATCCTGAAGTACGATGTTGTCAGTGACAGCATAATATCCACATGCCTACAAGGAAGACCAGTTATTGCCACTATTATTCAAATATACACCCCAACAGCTAAAGCCAAATATTGAGATACTGAAAAATTTTTAAAACCAATTCCTGCAGTCTGAAACTGACAAACATGCAATCAAGATACATTGATAATTACTGGTGATTGGAATGTGAAAGTTGGAAACACAGAACTATCAGTAACTGGAAAATATGACCTTGGTGATATAAATGATGCTAGAGAACACATTATAAAATTTCCCATGACTAACAACTTATCCACTGCAAATACCTTTTCCAACAACATGGATGGTGGCTATGCACGTGAACCTCACCAGACAAGAGTACAGAGGAATCAAATCGAGTTCATCTGTGGAAAGAGGTGATGGAGAAGTTTAGTATCAGTCAGAGTAAGGCCAGGACCGCTGTGGAAAAGAACATCAATTGCTCATACACAAGTTCAAACTGAAACTGAAGAAAACTAAAACAAGTGTCTGAGAGCCACCACACAACCTCGAGTAAATCCCACCTGAATTTAGAAACCATCTGAAAGACAAATTTGACACGACAAACACCAATGACCAAAGACCAGATGAGCTGTGGAATGACAATCAAGAACATCATACATGAAGAAAGCAAAAGGTCATTAAAAAGATGAGAAAGGAAGAAAAGACCAAAATGGATGTCAGAAGAGACTCTAAAACTTGTTCTTGAACAGACAGTAGCTAAAGCAAGTGGAAGAAATGATGAAGTAAAAGAGCTGAACACATTGCAAAGGCTGCACAGAGAAGACAAACCATTAAAGTAAAATGTGCAAAAACCTGGAGTTAGAAAATCAAAAGGGAAGAACACGTTCAGCATTTCTCAAGCTGAAAGAACTGAACAAAATATTCAAGTGTCAAGTTGCAATACGGAAAGACTTTATGGGCAAAATACTGAACAATGCAGGAAGGATCAAAAGATGGAATACATTGTTACTGTACCGAAAAGAACTGGTTGACAATCAACCATTTCAGGAGGTAGCATATGATCCAGAATTGATGGCACTTAAGCAAAAAGTCCAAGCTGCACTGAAGGAATTGCCCAAGTATAAGGCTCCAGGAATCACTTGGAATACCCACTGAGATGTTTCAACAAATGGATGCGATGTTGGAGGCCCTCACTCTTCTATGCCAAGAAATCTGGAAGACAACTACCTGGCCAACCAACTGGAAAAAATCCTTATTTATGCCTATTCCAAAGAAAGGTGATCTGACAGAATGCATAAATTATCAAATAATATCATTAATATCATGTGGAAGTAAAATTTTGCTGAAAATAACACAAAAACAGTTGCAGCAGTACATCAACGGGGACTGCCAGAAACTCAATCTGGATTCAGAAGAGGTCGTGGAATGAAGGATATCATTACTGATGTCAGATAGATCTTGGTTGAAAGTAAAATATACCAGAAAGATGTTTACCTGTGTTTTATTGACTACGCAGAGGTACTTGACTATGTGGCTCCCAACAAATTACATATAACATTGTAAAGAATGGGAATTCCAGACTAATTAATTGTGCTCATGAGAAACCTGTACATAGGCCAAGAGGCAGTTGTTTGAATACAACAAGGGGATACTGCATGGTTTAAAATCAGGAAAGGTGTGTGTCAGGGTTGTATCCTTTCACCATAGTTATTCAATCTGTATGTAAACAAATAATCCAAGCAGCTGGAGAATATGAAGAACACAGCACCAGGACTGGAGGAAGACTCATTAACAATTTGCAACATGCAGATGACACAACCTTGTTTGCTGAAAGGGAAGAGGACTCGAAGCACTTACTGTGAAGACCAGTATAGATTACCCCTCAATGTAAATCATAATAAGTGAGAAAAGACCAAAATTGTCAAGGATTTAATTTTACTTAAATCCCCAATCAAAGCTCAGGGAAGCAGCAGTCAAGAAATCAAACATATTGCATTGGGCAAATCTGCTGCAAAAGACTTCTTCAAAGCATTAAAAAGCAATGATGTCACTTTCAAGACTAAGGTGTGCCTGATCCAAGCCATGGTCTTTTCAATCACTTCATACGCATGTGAGAGCTGGACAATGAATAAGGAACACCGAAGAAGAGTTGATGCATTTGAACTTTGGTGTTGGTGAAGAATACTGAATGTACAGTGGACTGCCGGAAGAACGAACAAATGTATCTCGGAAGAAGTGCGGCCAGAATCCTCCTTAGAAGTGAGAATGGCAAGACTTTGTCTCACATACTTTGGACTTGCTATCAGGCACGACAAGGGTATCGTGCTGGTAAAGTCAGCAAAGAAGGGGAAGACGCTCAATGCAATGGATCAACACGTGGCTGCCGCGATGTGCTCCAGCATGGCGACGGACGGCACAGGGTCGGGCAGGGCCTGGTTCTGTGGTACACGGGGTCACTGTGAGTTGACACAGACTCAACAGCACCTAACAACAACACTTGGAATATATTTCAGTACGTGGGAGGAAGTAAGATTAATGCTTCTCCAAGTTAACGTATGACCAAGCCTGCACTTTGTTTTCACTAATCTGCAAGGAGGCTGGTCTTACCCGAGGAGGTCCTGGGCTAGCTGTCGGCCCACGTCTACTCCCACCAGAGCATCAATGCGGAGTTTTTGTGCCATAGCTTTATGTTACACTTTAATTTTTGCTTGGGAGAGTCCTCCTCACTAATCCTCCTCAATGTACCAATGTTTCCTATTTATTATTCCAGAAAAACTGGAGACCAAGTTTTGTCAGGATTCTTTTCAGGACACAGGCGCTGTGTTCAGTAATTTATATCACCTCATTTTATCTCCACGCCCTAGGAAGACGTGCTTCTGCACCACGGAGCTTGTATTCACGTCTATGCACCTTGCCCAAGGGCAGAACAGCTGTGACTTGACTTCAGGTCGGCTCTCTGCTCTACTTCTTTCCCGTAGATGAAATCAAGTGACCATTTTGGTTTTTCAGAGACGGAGAGCGCTTACATCTAAGGGGAACAAACTCACAGCACAAACCCTCTGATTTCCTCACAAGCACGTCTGCTGACATTTTCTGGTCACCCTTACCTTTGCAACAACAGGGCCTGATGAGTGCCTGCGTAGCAAGGTACCCAGCCAGCGGGCCCAAACCCTCACTGTTGGCTCAGAAGCCCCCAGTGTGCCCCAGAAGCCCCCAGTGTGCCCCACTGCTTGATGCCCAGCCCCTGTTTTGCCCTTAGAGCATGACTGTTTTTCCCAGAACTCCTTTCAACTCTCCCATCATTTCCTTGTTACTTTGGAAAAGGACTTTCCCCCAGCAAAGTAAGTTTCTCATTCTCCCTGGAACATTCTTATTAATGGGCACTGTCAGCTCTGACACCTCCAGGAAGCATACTTTCCACAAACTCTCCCCATTGTTGGCATCATGGGCTCAGTGGCACTGCCGTGCACCCACAGGTGCTAACCCAGACCCAGGGGCACCTCAGTGGTGCCGGCCCCTCAGCATGCTGGTACCCTCTGTTCTCGCTTCCTTTGTCCTGGCCGTAGGTACAGTGCTTCATTTTCTTAAGTCTGTGGCATTTCTTCTTTTCCTGGATGAAGCCATGATCACCTCAGTTTGAGACACTTCCAAATCTGTGCTGTCCAATGGTGCCACCCCTAGCCACATGAGGCTATTTAAATTTAAATTTAAAAATTCAATTCTTCAGTCATACTAGCAACATTTCGAGTGTCCAACAGCCACTTGTGGCTAGTGGCTACTATACTGGACAGTACAGACACAGAAGAGTTCCCTCACCATGGAACATTCTAGTGGCCACCTCTTTTCAACACAAAGCAGACAATAGAAGACACTAGCCAGTGAGAAGAACAAAAAGACCTGTGTGCACTCCATGTGAATGGTACTTATAACACATGGCTACACACACATACACACACACACAAAAGGGGACTATGACCACCTAACGTCAGCTTCTCAGGTAATGACAGGGAGTGGGGGTTTTCCTTTCACATTTTTTAAATTTTTTTAAATTTTGATTGATTGATTGATTGTAATTTGGGAGAAAGTTTACAGAGCAAATTCACTTTCCATACAGCAGTTTTTTCCTTTCATTTTATACCCTCAGGTATTTTTCAGCGTGTGGTCTTTATAGTAACATCCTCAGCTCACACAAGGAGCCTGGCAGCGAGGTGGATATGGCATCTGGCTGCTAACCACCAGCTGCTCTGTGGAAGGAAGATGGTGCGATCTACTTCCTTAAAGACTGACAGCCTTGGACGCCCAATGGGGGTTGCTCTGAGTTGGCACTGCCTTGACAGCATGGAGTCTGGCTGGTTTGGCACGGAGTGCTTGGCTTCACCTACTCTCCCGCACGAGGAGCATCAAGTGGACCCACAGGATGAGGTCCTCCTCCCAAAGCCCCCACCTCCCCCACCTGGCTAGACCAGCACCACTGTGAACGCTTACCTTCTCTGCAGTCCGGTTCCAGACAGTCACTGTGTGACCCATTTTTAGCAAGTTGGAGACGATGCCACTTCCCATGAGGCCCAGGCCCAAAAATCCTATCCTGAAAGAGACACAGGCTGATCAGTGCAGGGCGGGTGCACCCATGACCTTAGGGTGACGCCTGGTGGAGGGGCATGACCTCAGGCCACCGGGGGGACTGCTCAGCATGGGGACACACCTGCAGAGCCACTGTTTAACTGTCCCGAAATCCAAACGGGCGCCTCTAACCCTGCCATGGCCTCAGAGAGGCCCAGGTCCCGAGTGGCTCAGCGCGGCCCCCACCCTGGCACCCTTGCTGCTTCCGCTGAGGGTCTGACCTATCAGTTCCATCACGGAGAGAAGACGCTCGGTTTTCTTCAGACTTTCAAACCGTTTCAGATCCGCCACAAGTAACTGCAGCAACGTCCAGAGCCAGCGCCTTCCTCAACTAGAAATCGGGGCTGGTTTCCACACCCCTTTTCTGATGCCAGCTTTCCCCAACTCTGCACAACTTTATCATTCTTCCTGCCGTCAGCAGAGACAGGCCTTGTCCTTCTCCAATGCAGAGTCCTCCGCACGAGCTCTGGGGTGGGCCTCTCCCGGCTCAGGGCCTTGTCTCCCTGCCCTCCTCCCTCTCATCTTCTCCCCGTGGCTCTTCCCCTACAGGCCCATTACCACCTTCTGTGATGGAGTGCTCAGCACCCTGCCTGCCTCCTACAGCCCACAGACCTCCCACTACTGCTCACGGCTGTTTGTTCAGACATCACTTCTGGGTTCCTGTGTCTCTCACTGCACAGGACGTGGCTAGGAAATGCCTTCTCCTTCAGTTTTGTTTACATCATGTGTTCAGCTCTGGCTTCTCTTGGCTCTGGGCAGCCTATGTAGTACTTCGGTCCCACACTATCAGTATTTTCAGTTTCCAGGGAGTCAGCTCTAGTCATCTTTTCAAACAGGCTCCTGTCCTCAGAGGTTTACCTACCAGTAAACGAACCTCACACACTCTGTCCTAACCTGTGTGAATCACTGGCGTCAAATGTTGACAATGGAACTTGTCGCTCTCGCCCGTGGGGTCGCAAGTCAAAGCTTAGAACCAAGGAATTCTCTCCTGTCTCTCTGTCATCTGGGCACTGCCATTTCCTCTGATTCTGAGTCCTGACAGGCTAATTCCCATCCCTCTTCCTGGTGTCCTAGCACACTCAGCAGATCTAAGGGGGGAGCAGCTGGCTTTAACATGGGAACAGTCCCTCACAGTGTCCCTGAGACAAGACGAAGAAGAGTGGACTCATATGGGTTGGGTGATCAGCAGCTGGTTTGCACTGTGGGCTTTTTTTTTTTAAAAAAATAAAACTAAACAAAAAAACACCTACACAAACAAACAAAATCCCAAACCTACTGTTGTCAACTTGATTCCAATTCATAGTGACGCTACAGGACAGAGGAAAAACTGCCCCATAGTTTCCAAGGCTATGATCTTTACAGAAGCAGACTGCCACTTCCTTCTTCCATGGAGCAACTGGCAGGTTTGAACCACCAACCTCTTAATTAGCAGCCAAGCACTTAACCACCATGCCACCAGGGTCTTTTCACATTCCCACTAAACTAATGGATGAGATGGATCTTCCTTTTACTTAGCATATAACCTGCCCCATCTTCTCAACTCGAGGGAATTCGACTAAAAACAACTTATGAAATAAATCATTTCAAGAGTAAGAGAAATTATAAAGGAAAAGATGCCCCACTCCCAGCCTGAGAGGGAACTGTATGGAAGACACAGACCAGAAACTCTGTCATGGTTTTGCTGCTCAGGAGACCATGCCTTCTGGTAAAGAAGCTTTTCTTTCAAATTAATTACCTCTTTATAGGTGTTTATTTACTGTGATTGGGGAGAGAGTTAAGTAGCTCTTTCAATGAACAGGAATCTGTCACTACAACTGGCCTACAGACTGAAGGGAAGGGCCACTTAGTAACATAAGCTCAGGCTAAGTTCAGGGGGACCAAAGCCTTGGGTCTCCCACCTGCCTGGGCAAGTGACGAGTGACAGGCAGGTGTGCAGAGCAGTGGTGAGGGGAACAGGGTGGTGAAGGTAGGGCCAGGGGAAGTGGGGTGGTATGTTTTACTCCAAACACCTTTACCTCCCTTCTACCCAGCTGCCCCCACCATGCCTAATTTCAGGGTTGTTGTCATGTTCCAGTAGGGCCAGAGCCCCCCCATCTGCACATTCGTGAACTTGCTAATAGGCCTCACTGAGTTGGAACCCTGGCTGCTTCCAAGCTGCTCCCCAGATGAGTCTGAGAACGTGCAGCAGGTGCTCTCTGCTGCGGACACCCAGGAGTTACCAAGGCAGCCCTCAACTGAGGCCCCGGGGAGCACCCACTGTGGATCCCTAAAGCCCAGTGACTCCCAGCAACTCCAGCACCCACAAGGGTCATCTCCTCCTTTTGGTTCAGTCCCGACAGTGGCTAGGACACCACCCTGTTTTCCCATCCCCGACAGAACCAGCACTACAGGCAGTGGTCCCAGCGTACTTTTTGTCTGTGGGCGTGATGCTGCCGTTCACCGCTGTGCTGTCTGCGGCCTGGATGGAGGTGGAGCCAGTTTCCTAGGGAGAGGAATCACAAACCATGAAGCCAGTTGCCCATGGAAAGGCTCCAGGTGAGACACAAAAACGGGAGATGCAGATCCCACTTACCTCTTCACATATTTTCAACTTCTTCGTGATTGCCTGGTAACAGACAGGTGGCTGGTAAAGAGGGAAGAAGACGACCACTTATTAAACCCAACTCCTAATGGATCTTCATTCTAATTCCCCTAAGACTAATTTCCCAGGGAAAATGCCATTCCTCCCAAGGCTGGATCTAAACTGGAAGGTCACACTGAACACTAATGTGGGGTCTGAGTCCACTGAACTCCAAATGACATGCTAGAGACTTGACATACAGCACCGAAGCGAACTGTCTGCACCACTCTGTGTGGTTCTTTGGCCCATGACAACTCTAAAGGGACACGGGCCCAGGGACACAGCCAGTCAGCGCCAACTGAGCTCAGAGCCCAGCTCTGTCCAACTCCAAAGCCACAAACACCCCACTGGACTCCAGTAAGGCTCAGCCTCACCCATGGCCTTGCTGACAGTTGGGCAACGTTCCCTCCACACCCAAGGTTCATGAAGCCACCTGGGCCACGAGCCCCCGAGCAGCATGAGCGGCCCTGGAGGTGGAGATAGCACACATGCTTGCATTCTGCCCTTACCAGTAAAGGTGTCCTTGACCTCAGCCGTGGTCCACCAAGCTCCAAAAGCCCCTGGGGTTTGTTTTCCAGTCTCAACATCCCCAACTCATTTGTGTGCCCACACCTGACTTTATAACTAGCTGCTCTAGGCAGTATGCAGGCAGGGCCTAACTCTTCAGTCCAGGAGGGTGAGGTCCCCAGGGAGCAGGACTCTCCCTCAGGCAGCCACTGACCAATGGGTAACACCTTCAAAGAACAGCTCACCTTTTCTGTTTGGCTGAGCAGGAAGTGATGGAAATGAGGGTCTGCATCTTTAACTGGCTGAAACCAAAAAACAATGAGATTCAACAAATCACCTTTCACAAAGGTCACTTCCTTCTGCCCCACGGGCAGACTCTCCTCCAGCAGAGACTCTGGGGCCTGACCTCTTTTTCCCAGCAAACGTTCCCTCTGCTGCTCATAGCCTGCCATCCCTGACCCCATCCCAGTCCATCAAGACTGGAGGAGAGGCTGTTCCTGCCAGATTGGTGCTTGGACAACTCCAACCAGCACTCATGAGGAAAATACTAAAATGCGTGCTAGTACTGTTTAACCTCAGTGTACACCAGGCAATTCAGATATCCCGGCAGACCCAGGTAGTCAATTCTCCCTGTGTTCCAGTACAAGACCCCAGAGTGCCTCATCTTACTAAGGACTGGGAGTGACTCAACTCTTTCCCCAATTATCCCACAGGGACACAGGGCAGCTACAACAAGGATAAGATAACATGGACAAATGGACAAAGCAAAGAGGCTTATATTAGTGTGTGTGTGTGTGTGTGTGTGTGTCTGTGGAATGATCCCTCTTCTGTGAAAAAGCAAGCCTATCCCCCACAACAAAGCTACACGTCAGTGTCTAATTGCGTCACTGTTGAATGTATGCACTAAGGGTCTGGGATCAGTTCCATCATACTTAATAGTCGTCACCCTAGAGAACAGAGACACTCACCTTTTATATTATACACTTCTCTCTTAACATTTCAGCAATTAAAAAAGGAAAGAAAGAAAGAAAAAGGCCTCATACATGAGAGAAACAGAAAGAAAAGAGTGCCAATGGCAGCTCCAGTAACGAGCTAGGGTGCCATGGCCAGGTGCGGCCCACAGGAGAGCACATTACCTCACTTGCGGTTGGCTGCCATTTAAAAGCGGCCATTGGTCCGGCCATCACTCCCTTCACGGTACTAGACTCGGGGACAGTGAGGTCCTATAGAGGGAAAAGACGGAGCATCAAGATGCTGTGGCCATCTTGGTAGCAGGTGTCTCCCCTCCCCACCTTGTTCCCTGCAGCCACACACCACCTGAACTAACCCCACAAGCCTCCTAGTCAGCTCAAGTCCAACTCCCCAGGCAGCTTCCAGGGGAATCAGGCACCAACTTCCCATAACCAGAGGGCGGGCTTCTGCCTGAATCTCACAAGGACAGAGGCAGCCAGCCAGGCTCCGCAGGGTCACCAACCGGGGGCAGAGAAAATCCCTGTGGCAGATGGTGACCACTAAGAAACAGTGCTGGCTTCTGAAGGGGTCACCGTCTCTCACTAACACTGCTCTGTCCTGGCCCCTCACTACCACTCTGACTTTACCTCACACCACCCGTTCCCCACCCCCAGTCAGTGGTCCTCCCGACATTTCTATCTGCCCATCTAGGGAGCATCTCAACATGCCTCCACCACACTGCTGGTTTCACCAGCCTAGACAGTTCCATCAACCATCCTCCCAATCATAGGAAGTGGAGAGCCCATCCCACCAGCCAAGGCTCATGGAGTGATCCTTTATTCCACACTTCACTGGCCACAAGTGCAGCTGCACACTTAGAAGTATCTCCAACTCTTCTCACCCCACTGCCACCGTTACTCAGCACAGGGTCCTCACACCTCATGCCAACCGTCCATCTCCCTACTACCACTCTCACCCCAACAATCTAGTCCCTACAGCCAACACCATCGTTTTAAGAATCAAGTCAGACTGTGGGCGCAGGACCATAGTCTCAGGGGACATCAAGCTCAACTGGCCTAACATACTACACAAAACATTGTTCCACCTCCTACTTTGGCGAGTAGCGACTGGATCTTAAAAGTTTGCAAGCTGCTCTCTAGATGCAACGATGGGTCTCTCCTCGTCCAGAGCAAAGATGAATGAAGAAAATAAAAAATATTCATGGATACAATCAATCCTAGCAAATGGTACACCATCCAATCTGCAGCCTATACAACCATGAGACCAGAAGAACTAGATGGTGCCCGGATACCAATGTCAACCACTTGGAAGGGGATCTATGTAGGAGATTCTGGATAGAGAGGAGAACAATGTGGACAAAACTCAAAAATAATTTGAGAAAAAAAAAAAAAGGAGGGGGGGACACACCAGGTTTGCTGGTCCGACAGAGCCTGATGGAACCACTGAGACTATGGCCCCCAGCTGCCCTTCAGGTCTGGAATTGAACCCACACCTGTGGTTTCCAGCCAAACAAAAGACAGGCATATGAACATTTACCTGAGGTAGATAACACTCCTTGGAGAGAATAATCACGGGAGAAAGAAGGACTGCTTATGCACAGGGAGACAGCTCAGAGGGCAGGAGGGCATGGAGGGATGGACATAGGAAGGAGGTACTTATCAGGAGGAAGTGGGAGGGGAGCTGTTGCATTGTGGTAAATTGTGGTCAATGCCATGAGACAAGCAAACCACTGTATGGAAAGTGAATTTGCTCTGTAAACCTTCACCCAAATTGGGTCAGAGTCTGTCACTTCTCAGCCTCCCTCGAACCCCTCAGTGACTTCCTGTCCCATACAGTGAAGTGAAAGGCTTTGTCAGGCCTTGTGGAGGCATGCTCTGCAGCCCCTGGCCCGTGCTAGTCTCTCCCCAGCCCCTCTGGAGCTCTCCAGCACCCCGGCCCTCCGCTCCCCAGACATACCAAGTAAGCGCCCATCTCAGTGCCTCTGCACTTTTCACTCCCTCTGCTGGGAAAGCTCTTCCCACAAGTATTGATTTGGGTCATGCTCTCACGTCAGGCTGCTATGGAAATGTCACCTAATGAGAGTGGCTTTGCCTGTTGGAATGCTATGAGGATGATGTTGACACCAGCAATCAGAGCTTTGGGAGGGTCTATTACGTGCCGGACATCACTGTTAACACTTTGCATGTATGTTTTCCTTCACTCTTCATAACCTCGTGTGCAGGAACTCTGATCATATCTACTACAAAAAAGGAAACTGAGGCACTGAGCTCTTACATAACCTTGCCCAAGGTCTCAGAGGCAGATAAAATTGAAAACCAAGGAATTATGCTCTTAAGGGGAAGTTCTAACAAAAGCAAGAGCTTGACCAATTTTGTTTCACTCTAGACCCCAACGCTGGGAACCGTGCCTGGCACACAGTAGGTGTTCAACATTTACTGAAGAATGGACAAGAGAGCCCTTGTGTGTCTTATGTCACTGTCTCTAGACACTGGCCAAGGCTCAAGGTGTTCAATATACGTCTGTAGAGTTAAGAGGTCTCGAAGAGCCAGTGGCCTGGTGCAGGGCTGCTTGGGATCAGTGACGTGGACAGGCTCTGGATATGTGCGGTCTGCAACAGCAGCCACTAGTGACACGCCACTGTGCAGCACCTGAAATGTGGCTGGCGTGACTGAGGAACTTCATTTTTAGTTGTACGTAATTTAATTCATTTCAATGTCAAAGGCCACGTGTGGCCAAGAGAAGGCCATAATAACAGTAGAGTAAGGAGAACAAGTGCTAGGCCAGCAGTCACTTCAGTCCTTGTTCCTTGCACCGACCAAGACTTGCACCAGAGCCAGGGGACAACACTACCTCTGTGGGTGGAGTTTGTGCACAGAGCTGTAGCTCTCGTGTCAGGACTCTGCACTCAGAACCTGAGACAGGGAGGGATGAACAGCCTGGCCCCACATGGGAGCCTGACACACAGCCAACCTTTGCTGCCTTCATCTACTGGACATCCCACCTTCCTGATCCATCCAAGTCAGCCTTTCTGCCCCCATCTCCCTCCCCCGCCACCGGATTATGCCCCAAGAGACCATCATCTGGGGTTTTGCCCATAGATCAGCCTGTGCAGCGGCAATGCTCTGTTTCTGACGCGTGCTCCAGACAAGGGGCTGTTCTGCTTGCAACACACTTGCTTGAGAACACAGGATAGATTAGACTGGAAGATGCACCCAGAGGCCAGAGCCCAGCCTGATTCCCTGCTTCTCTGGAAGTGTCTAAGCCATCCATCTGAACCGGCACACACCACTAGCTACAGTTGTTGCTCTCCTGCTGACAGCCTCTCGTGACAGGTCAGGCTGCATGTGAAGCCTGTGCAGACAGGACCCTCAGAGAGCCAGCAGCAGGCAGAGCTCTTGGGGTGAGGACTACCTCTGAGCAACAGAAGCAGACAGAGGACTATGCCCCAAGTGAGTCACACAGACTCCAGGGCAAACCACCTTTGACTGGGAGCTTCTGAGGGGCCCATGCAGCAAGCCCAGGTGGCAGCCATCAGGGTGGCAGTGAACAGCTGCCTCAGTCTCACCACATACGTGCTACCAGTTGAGAATCAACGGACCCACAAAACTGGCCCGATGCTTGGTGAGCTGCAGTCACTGTGCTCCCAATGAGCCTGTGAGGCAGGTGCAGTTACTGCTTCTGATGCTCCAAGAGGCCACCCCGGTCACACAGCTGCAACAATCCACACAGCCACGACTGCCCCTTAGGGCCTAGGGCCTAGGCCAGCCTGTCCTCACTTCCCTTTGTCCCAGAAGCAGCTGCCACTTTCAGAGCAGCATGGAGGGAGTTGGTGAGATGCAGACTTACGACATCAGGCAACACCAGGTTGAAAAGAGTGACACCCGACAGGCCAGATGTCCCCAGGGACCCAGGAAGTAAACTCAGAAAACTACATTTTTTGTAGACTGAATCAGAAGAGAATCACATTCCCTGACAAATCCTTTATACACGGCAACTGGCCGTTTTTCCAGGCCCATCATCCATCTTTGGGGTGGTGGTTCCCTGCGCGTACAGCCACCTGGGGCTGTCACTGAGTACATCCCGCTTCATCGAGTGGATGGCTGCTCTGTGGTGAACCTAAGGGCCTTCTGTGACCCAAGGGTGCAGTAGCAGCCCTTAACGCAGAAAAATTTTTTTGGTTCAAAAAGTGTGTTTAAAATTTAAATTAGCTTCTTAACATTTAAAATGGGAACATTTCACATAATCTGTATTTTCAGCTTCTCTTGAGAAAAACCAGACAATCTGTCAACAGTTGGCTGGAACCCCATAGGCTAGAACCTCAACTTTCCAGCCTGCCAGCACCGAGGCAGAGGAAGGTCAGGGCCATGGGGACCTCAAGCTCAAGCTCTGAGTCTTCTGACACCCAGGTGCTTTGCACACTCCCGTTACCTGCCCGGCCTCACTGGCATCTGAATCTGCAAGCCCCAAAGTGACATCTAGGGTTTCATCCACGGCCTCGTCACCCAACTGCTCTGCCAGCCATCTGGCTTCTCTTCCCTTTCTGCTGCTGTGACGATCTTCCCTTGTGCTCTCAACACAACCACCCCTTCATCTCCAAACGCGCTGCCCTTGGCTGCTAAGACCCTTGACCCGTATCTTTTCTGGAAGAAGGCAAGAGGCATTATGCCCCTCTACTGAACTTGGCTGGCTCTTCTGGCTCCTTCCATCCGCTGCCCAAAGTCTCTCCTACGCTGTGCTCTGCTCCCTCCAGGATCTCCCCTAAGACAACATCGTCCAGTCTCCTGGACTCAACTCTCCTTTCTAACACTCAGCTCCCTGAACATTTCCAATGCTGACATCACCTCCAGCCTCCTGGGCTATCGAGACAGCACCTGAAATTCATCGTGTCCACAGGGCTGGCTCCCTGCCCCAATCACACAGAGGCCGGCTCCCTGCCCCAATCAACCAGCTCCACGTCTGCTCCTGACTCCTCTGTTCTAAGAAAGAACCAGAGCCTGGACACCTCCATCTCCTTTCTCACTCATCCCCTAGGTAACCAGTTGCCCAGGCTTACAAACTCTTCCTCTGAAATGTTCCTCCCATGTCCCCTTTCAGTATCTGCTATCACCCCCTTAGAACAGCCCCTTAAGACGGTACGCTTGGCTGTAGCCTTTGAATTGGTGTTAAGCCTTTCTTCTCTGCCATTAGTGACAGCAGAATTTGACAGCTGTTATCCTCACAGCAGCCTGGGACACATGTACCGCTCTCATCCCCACTTGCTTTTGGGGAAACACATGAAGAAAAATCAAACCTAACACATATTTGGGTCACGACGCATCTCAACACCCAACTCAAATGCCATCAAGGCTTCTGATCCTGAGATACTCACACTGCTTAAGTAGGCCTCCTAGGCCCTCCACAATCTAGTTACAGCGTACTTATATCTCCTCACTTTTGTTACTATTATATGTTACTGTGTGCCACTAAGTCAATTCCGACTCACAGTGACACTACAAGACAGAGCAGAACTTCCCCACAGGGTTTCCTGGGCTACAGTCTTCACAGCAGCAGATTACCAGGTCTTTCTCCTCTAGAGCTGCTGGGTGGGTTCAAATCGCCGACCTTTTAGTTCATGGTCAAGTGCTTAATCCCTATGCCGCCAGGGCTCCTTCCATGTACCGAGGACGTGCATGCCAACCTTAGCTGCAGGTGGGCTCCGTCCTCCATCACTGGAGGACCATAATCCTTCCTTGCTGAGCCTCCAGTGCCAGCCTTTGCCTTCTGGCTCAGGTCCACCACTCTCCTGCCTTGAACCCACAATGCTTTAAGGCCTATTATTCCTAGCTCATGTGGGGCATACAGGCCGGGCCTCACCCTTGGTCTGCAAGATTCTTTGGGGCAGCACTGAGCCCTGGACTGTCTGTCCACTCAGTTTGCTGAAGTCCAGCAGCATACTCCACACTACCATCTATCAAAGAAAGCCACTATGCCCAGAGCTACAGAGACCAATCAACAAACCTTCTCATCCTTTGGGGGCCGACCCCGCTTCCGGGGACTCTGCTCTTGGGCTCTTTTCAGAGGGGATTTGGAGCCCCTCTCTGAGGAGCCTGAAGACAACCTCTTCTTTCCTTCACCCACGGTCTTCTTCACCTTCCCTTCAGACAGGCTAAGTTTGCGCTTCTCATCACCTGAGTTTGGCCTAGTTCTTTCCTCACTGGAATTACGTCGATTCTTGTCATCAGCAGAGTTGTGGGATGACGCCTGAAAGTGTAATAATAATAATGATAACCACAAAGGCCGCTGCCGCCACGACTACCATTGCCACGTGCCAAGTGCTGCTAGGAAAATTTTCAGGTACAGACTCCGAACACCCTGGAAAATAGGCATTGCTGTCATCCCCACTTACCTCCGGGGAAGCACATAAAGAAAAATCAAGTCACTCGCCCAAGGTCCTAAAGCCAGGAAGTGGGACTTGAACCCAGGCAGCCTACTTCAGGGGCTGTGCTCCTCATCTCTGTGTGTGTGACTTCCCCTGGGGTCAAGCAACTTCCCTAAGAGCACCACTTTACCCAAGAACGGTTAGCCACATGCACGGTGCTTCCAGCTACTTCCTTAGAACTGACGTAGTTTGCTCTCCAACAACATTTTATAATAAAAAAGTTTCAGGCCGGGGTGACATTTAATCTATAAGCTACTATATAGCACAATAACCAGTCTGGTGTTGGCTGAGTCTCTCACCTGGTCTTTCCCCTTGGCTCTTCTTAGGAACTCCTCCACGGCATCCACAGCTTGCTGGAAGCGCTTGCCCTTGTTAATCTTGATCATCTCCTCTTTGTGTGCATGGTAGGGCTTTAGCTGCTCCACTTTGATCCAGGCACTAGCAGAAAACAGAAACAGAAGAGGCCTGATCCAAGCTGCATACACGACACAGGCCCCAAGGTCCCAGTTGAACAGGTGGCATGTATCCAGCTGGTTTAACTGAATTCTGCAAGAGACCTGCCATGTTTCAAAACATGCCGTCAACCATTCCAAACGCGTGAGCCTAAAAATGCACTTTCTTGAAACAAGTGGAGCAGAACAACAACAAACACAGATCAGAACATTCCCCCAAAAAATCATTTCGTTGGAGGCTCTTCGATTCTTTAGTTCATAGCCTTTGGTGTGTGACTTCCTGTACCCTGCCACTTTCCTGGAGCAGCGAAGAACTGGAGACACCAGCCATGTACCACAGGACAAATGGCTGCACGTGGGCCCCTGGCAAGCCTTTGGATCGTGCTGTCAGACACTTGTTGCCTGTCAACAATCAGAATCAGGTATGTTACCAGGCCTAAGAATGCAGTATCTTCTAAAATTTGCTGCTGTAAGATATCACAGCCACCAAACCTCCATTTGTTCATAAATGATTACATCCGTGGTTACTAAACCACACAAAACACAGGATACATGGTTTGGAATGAAGGCAGCAGTACAAAAGAGGGTCCTCAAAAACCAGATTCTTCTTGAGGATGAAGGCAGAAGAATACACTCCGGCAATATTTAAATTTTAATTCCAGTGTTAATGTGTTTAACACATGAAAGTGAAACCCAGTCATCACTTCTGGGCTATCTAGTCTACCCTCCTAACCAGACTAACACAGCCTGACCCAGCTGGCTTTCTGTGGCTTCCCTAAATGACCTTCAGCTCACAGAGTCCAAGTATAAAGGGGACAGTTTTGTAGGCTTGGCAAGATATTAGTTCATTTATTTATGTTTTATTCTGTACTACTCACAGGTTTCAAAGTGCAACCTTCAGTAAAAGAAGGTCAGGCCAAGGATATAAGCTGGGCTACAACTTAGGGTTCTCTTCTTCAGAGAAAGCTGTGAGAGAGTATTTACTAAACAACCCACCCTCACTGCCATCCAGTGGATTTCAACTCATTGCAACCCTACAGTGCCCCAGGGCATTTCCAAGGCTATAAATCTTTACAGAAGCAGACTGCCTCATCTTTCTCCCACTGAGTGGCTGGTGGGTTTAAACTGCCAACTTTCTGGTTGGTAGCCAAATGCCTTAACCACTGTGCCACTAGGGCTCTTTTTTCACTAATCATAGTTCAGTGCTAATCTCTGCACCTGAAACAATGCTACCAAACAACCAAGAGCAACCTGCACTTTTGAGTGCTGTGCTGATGGTCGTGATGATGGTGTGTCCCAACACAACGGCCTTGGACCATCAGCCTGTAAGCACAAGACAGCAAACCAGAACTAAGCAGGCTGTCGAAGGCTAAACAAGATGACAAACGGGACCCAGACGCTGGCCTCACCGTCACAGGGCTCCAGCTAGGTCAGCTTGAAACCTGACATGATATGGTGCCATGGGCCCAATCACACAGAGAGAAAAATGGAATTCCATTTTGACCCCACTATCTTCTGGCAATGGCATCAATACCTTAACACTTGTGACCCTCCATGCGTTGACAGTGTTTCTAAGCACAAGTGAGACAACCAGGTGCAGAGTCTGACATGCCTGCAGAAGAAGAAGTTGCACGCTTACTGGGGGCTTGAGACCACACACCCACAACCAGTGGTGGGGATCAAAAGGCTCAGCACGCAGGGCAGGATGCTTCCTTTGAAAGCTTCAGGTCAGAAGCCCAGAAGTGCATGCATCCCCATTATAAGACCAAGATGGGGCAAAAGACTCAAAGAATCACTATTCCCCTCCTCTCCATCCTGCTTCTACCACCCCTGCTTCTACCCTCGTGGGCTCACATTAACCTCCGGCTCAGAACGGAAAGGTGAGGGCATCTGTGAAGGAAGCCCCGCTAAAGGGATACCTACTGCTTTGTCTCTGCATTCTAAGCAGCTTAACTTCTGCCTTTGTCAGAAGGAATAGGAGCTCTGGTGGTGCAGTGGTTAAAGAATTTCTCTGCTAACCAAAAGGTCTATGGTTTGAATCTACCAGACCCTTCATGGGAGAAAGATGAGGCAGTCTGCTCTGTAAAGACTTACAGCCTTGGAAACCCTATGGGGCAATTCTAAGTTCTACTCTGTTGGAATTGACTTGATGGCGGTGGGTTTGCGTTTAGAAGACACAGTATACCCAAACTCCCATTCACCCGAAAGACTGGAATTTGAGATATTAAATGAAATTTCCCTCTGTAGTACGATCTCTGAAAAACAGAAATGGTTTGCAAAATGAACCAACACTATAACTAGCATTTCAAGAGGATAACGACAAGAAATGTTCATCTCCTTACTCTGCAGAGAGAAAACAGAAACGGCCACCTCAGAAAAAGTCAACAAAATGTTGGCCCTTCAGAGCCCCCGTAGGGAGGATGACTTCTTGGAAGCAAGCCAAGCTTAAATCATTTTGCTCAAGTGAGCAGAAACTCTTTCTTTGAAAGGCTGTATTGCAAACCCGTCTTTCTTAAAAAGGGCACGTCTTTCAGCTGCAATAATGCACCACTCTCCTCCAGCCACAGAGGCACAGCAGCCTGGCCTGGCCCACCGCTGGTGCTCAGAAACTAATCCTCAAGCAGAAGACACCATTGGGCATGTCTGGGAGGCTGGGCTGTTCGCCTCTGTGGTAACAACTAGTCCCTAAAACCCACCAGCCACTCCTTGGAAGGAAGATAGGGCGATCTCTGGAGGGACACACAAGAATTAGTCTGACTGGGCGCCTGGGGCCAGGGGCTGGGGCAAATGGACACTTTTCACTGTTTACAGTTTCATTTTTTTTAACTGTCACATGTAAAACCCCATGGCCTTTGAGTTGACTCTGACTTCTAATGACCCCACAGGATTTCTAAAGCTGTCACCTTCACAGAAGCAGACTGCTAGTGTGCTCATAGAGCAGCTGGTAGGTTTGGCGCACCAACCTTTGGCTTGGCCACAGTGCTTTAACCATTGTGCTATCAGGGATCCTTCCAGAAACATGTTACCTTTAAAAAACACATCAGCACTAAAGGTCTCTGCTGTTGAGTACAGGCTGTTCTCACTACCCAGGTTCTCCCTTGATTTCCTGGTTGATAGCTTTGCTCCAGGTAGGGAACTACCGCCTGGTTGCTACTGTAACTGTCCCTGTCACAACAGCAAAGGCAGTATGCTCAACCTAGTATCCTGATGCACCTGTTACAAATTCTTTTCATTTGCAAAGACCCCCACCAGGTTGCTCACTCCACTCAAAATGAGTAAAAGGAAACCCACAATTCCAAAAACACCTGTGTTGCTGATCTGCTTCCCTTTAAGTTAAAATCCTACTAGGTACACATCACATTAAAGATGTCTACAAACAGTCTCAATGTCTTCGCGTATGTGTCTCAGACCTCACACAAGCCGCCGGGCACTTTCTCGTTGTGAACAAACTCCTCCCGAGAAAGAAACAAAAGAGCAAACACCCAAGCACAAAGCCCAAACGTGAGGACAAGGACAGGGAAAGCAGACAAGGGTTTGCATCTCCATCCCGGTTTGGTGAGCAGTGCTTGGTAAATAATTCCTATGCTTTTTAATTTAAAATGAGGTCGAGGGTCAGTGAGGTTATAGGTCTAAGTCTAAGCTACTCTGAACTACAGGCACTTGAGGGGAGAAAAGGAAACGAATGAAGAATTTCTCAGTTAATTCCAAGGGGCTATGACCATACAAACACCAACAAAGACCTGCCGGCAGCTAAGACAGAGTGAAAGGACTCCATCTCCAAAGCATGAATGCTCTTCAGAGATATCAGAGATACACATTCCCAAAGGTTTTTGAGTACGCTGCTTACACCAGCACGACCAGCTACCTCTCTCTATGCCAGTTTCTACAATTCCGTTACCCGACACCTGCAATCGGAGCTGAATAATCAACCCAGAAGGGAATCGGCAGTAGGCCAGGAGGTGCTGCTGGACGAAGGGAAATGCTCAATTCTCTCTAGGACAGCTACTGTCCAACACTAGCACAGGAACTCTGCTGTACCAGTCACCCTCACTATCCACTAGGCTCATGTCTTCAACTATTACCTGGTGTCAGGTGAAGGGAAAGTAGGTCAGTCAGGTACCAGCTTTTAAGAAGCAGTGTAGACAGGAAACAAAAATTGACTTTCAGGGATGAAAAAGATGAAAAGGAAAAGGAAGCTGACATGGTCCCAGCCTGCAATGTTCTAATTATTAGTTGATTTTTCTAGAAGAGATACTTTAGCACTGTCTCAGACACTTGACAACTAGCCAGACCTGTCCCACCTAATATCAGGAAGATGGTTTGGTGTAAAAAAATACCCTGGCAGGAATCCTGGACATCTTACCACTTAAATCCTTAAATCCTTTGCATCTTAGTTTTCTGTTAGAAAATACGAGCCAAAACAGCTACCCTATCTCCTTCCTGAAAGGACTGTTAGGATCAGATGTGAAGATTGCTATGGAAACTCTTGGATAGTTTCAACTCGTCTGTTTCTGGCAGCTTCCTGGCACTTGCATATGAAATGAACCCTCCTTGCCATCCACCAAAAAACCAAACCAAACCCACTGCCATCAAGTCAATTCTAACTCATCACAGCAACCCCCACTGGGTTTCCAAGGTGGTGAATCTTTACAGAAGTAGATTGCTCCATCTTCCTTCCATGGAGCAGCTAGTGGGTTTGAACTACTGATCTTCTGGTTAGCAGTCAAATACCTTAGGCACTACACCATCAGAGCTTCCTTTCTGGCATCCATAGTACTGGCAAAACCTTGAAGGCCTGAGCTCAGTTTCTACTGATGGGCAATTCCAGGTGGTCAGACCTTTCCAAGGTGGACCCTCATGCACCTGAGACCTGATCTTTGGATGGAGTCACCTGAGAAAGTTGTCAAAACTATGCTCAAGCTATTTTTCTCTCTGCATTTCCATGAAAACAGTTCTTAAAATGACAGGCCATTTCAGTTTCGGCCATCAGGGCTCTGAGAGCAGAAGTCAGCTATCTTATTAAGACCTGCCCCCTCTCTGCAGGAGGGCTGCTCCTTTCTTCCCAACAGTGGGATGGAACATCATCACAGTGTGTTAAGTGGTTTGGTAGAGGGAAAGAGAAAAATCAGTTTGTTAGAGTGTGGTCACCGTATACCTTGTCTAAGAGCTACCTTTTTCACTTTTTTTGTATTTATGGTTTCTGTTTTTTTCCTACCAGTATGTCAGTTCTGAAATTGAACACTTCTGTTCAAATGCTGTTTCTGAGCAATTCAGGAATAGCCACACTTTCAGACCAAATCTACCCAGGCCAGGGTCCAGTAACACATTGAGTCCCACCCCAGGATGTACCAGGAGTTGTATCAAATAGTAAAGGTGAGGCTGAATCCAGCTTCTCATCTCTAAAAAGTCCACTTGCACTTCCTGTCCACACCATCTCTTAAAGGCCTGGTTCACATATTTGCCCTTAACACACTCCTGCTCCATTTCTTTCACTCGAGGGCCCCACGTTGAAATGTGGGAGGGTTTACCAACAAGTCTGTGTTCACTTCCCGCAGACTTGCCTCATTTCATGAATCCAGAGTGTGTTCTTATTTGTGTCTTGGTTTTTCTACACTAGAGTTTTACGTCTGACTTAGTCCCCTTCTCTGGGTCTTGACTAGTCCCATCAAATGCTTTTGGAAGCATGAAATGAGATCCAGGTAATTCCTGGCCAGACACATTTTTTTTTGTAAAGAGAGAACAGCGTGTCTTGTTTTGCCTTCAAAGGTTTTCTGGTCAAAGAGCACACTTGGCTAACTGATTCCTTTCTTTACTTGGAGGCACCTGCTGGTGTGAAAATTTACGTTTTTCTCCTCTCTCGTATAACCCATTCTAGACCCTCATATCTCATGTTTGCTCAACAGCTGGCACACCGAACCAGTCTACAGGAGGGATCCTACCTCTCCTTCCCCAGTATGAGACAGATGGGCCATCTTCATCTGGGGACAAGAACACAGGTTTGCAAAGGTGAGACAGTCCACCTAAATCACAGAGCTGGTGGAAGCAGTGTCTCAACGCCTCCAGGCTGGTAACGAATCCAGAGCTCTTTCCCTAGTCATCGATGCCACCTGCCACTGCAGATCTTATCTTCAGATAATAGAAAGAGACTAATTAAAATATATCTCCACAATGATCCTGAGGACCTCCTTTCCCTTCAAAGGGAAATCCTTACTATTTCCTTTCTCTAAGTCAGATGCCTACTCACAAAAAGATCACATGCTAGCTCTGGGGTGACTTCATTTTGAAAAAGCTTTTTATGTACAACTCTTTTGAGGGAGTTTAACAGGCTTAAAGATACCCTCTCTAATAGGTGCACTGTATCTACTATGCTTCTGAAACCTCTCGAGTTTGTTGGTTAGAGAACCTGTCATTGCCCGTCACTGCCACCCACACCATTAGGCCATTTTTGTGTCTGGAGAGCCCATCTTTTATCGTTGGCTTCATCTGTTCGCCTGGCTAAGCATGGAAACTCATGCAACTCCAATTTTCTGTGACCTATGTCACCTATGGGAGCTCTGGTAGCCTAGTGCCTAAGGCACTTGACTGCTAACCAGAAGGTTGGCGGTTCAAACCCACCAGCCACTCCTCGGAAAGAAGATGGGGCAATCTACTTCCGTAGTGATACTGCCTCGGAAACCCAAGGAGGGGTCACTATGAGTCGGATCCAACTCGACGGTACATAACAACAACAACAACAACATGTCACCTATGTCAGCGAAAAAGAGGAAGACTCTCAATGAGATGGACTGACACAGTGGCTGCAACAGTGGGCTCAAACACGGCAACGATTGTGAGGATGGTGCAGACGGGGCAGTGTTTCATTCTGGTGTACATGGTGTACACGGGGTCGTTACGAGTCGGAACTGATTCGCCGGCACCTAACAAAAACAACAACATGTCAAGGATTTCTTATACACAGGGACTACTGTTTACTCTCTTGTCTTCTAGCTTTTTTTTTTTTTTTTCAATTATCTTAAGAAAATGGTGGCTTTTACGCCTTGGTAATCTGATCAATTCCCCTTTCTGTGAGTTCCCATTTTTAAGACTGTGTAATTCTTCATTTAGCCAACCAAATGTGGGCCAACCATACTTTCTGCTACCCCAAGTACAAGTTTTCCACTCCAGACAGGGTGCCTCTCCCTGCCCCAAACAGGGCACTTAACGCCCAGCTGTTGCTCACAGCATCCCCACTGCCTGGAACTCCCCTGTAGTTCCTGCGCATCCATATTCTATGCATCCTCCAGAAATTGATTTGACTCCCACTGCTTCCATTCAGACTTCCTTAGCCTCACTGCTCTTCACTGATCCCTCTGTCTTTCAGAATCCTTTAATAGCTACACGCCTGGAACAACAGAAGAAGAGAAGTCAGGAATAACAGGAAGAAATTCAATGTGTGGCTAACTGCCTCCATGAACAATTGCCTCCTTTGCCTTGAGATCTGAAAAACTGGATGATGCTTAGCGATTATTACTGAAAATTTTGCTCAAAGATTCCAGAGAAGAATCCTGATCAAAAAGGGTAAAATACAGAACAGAATTTCAATTTCTCATGGAATCCAGATTTTCTAGAGCCACGTAAGCCAGATAAATGCTCCGAAACTACTGTCCTGAAATAATCTTTACACCTTAAACTAAAAATATTCCTTGAAATCTTCTTAAAACCAATAATCTAGCTTAAATAATAATAAACATCTGCCTTGAACACACTGTGGTCTTTTAAAATCTGTATTAAATCAAACTTACACCAGGAACTTAACAGATTGGATAGGATAAAGTTCTGAGGCACAACTCAAAAAAAGAGGATGAGAATGGTTGAACAACTTGAAGAATGTAATCAATGTCGATGAATTGTACATGTACAAATTGCTGAATTCGTGTATGTTCTGCTGGGTACATTCTCAACAACAAAAGTTACCTGCATCACTCAGTCTGCATGTCACCTCGTCTTAAATGTTTATGTCTTGTCTATCTAACTGAGCTCCTGGAAGATGGGGACCATAACATTCGCTTTAATGGTAGCTTCTGTGTGAATCAATGCAGACTGTGGATGAACCAATGCTTGTTTTTATGCATCAGGATGATCGTTCCTATGAAATTCATATCATTTTAAGAATAGTCTTTCTTCTGGAATGGCTCTGGCTCTCACAGCTGTGGGCTTGTGACTCCCTTAAAACATTGCTACCATAAGTCTGCTAAGTTAGCTTGTGACAAAGAATTGTGTCTGGGTATATCAGTGTATCTATGTTACAGTAAAAGCAGACATACTATGAAAAACTAAACCTGAAAAAGGACTCCAATGTAAAACTCCTGAAGAAGTGAAGAATACTATTTATAAGGGATTCTCACATATACCCTTATATATTGCTTTCTAGGAAAGCATATTAACCACCTAGTATCAGATTAAGGAGCTCTGAGGACAAAGTGATTAAGCACTAGGCTGCTAACTGAAAGGCTGGTGGTTTGAACATACCAGTTACTCTGTGGGAGAATGATGAGGCAGTCTGCTTCCATATAGATTTATCTATGGGGGCAGTTCCACTGTGTCCTGAAAAGTTGCTATGAGTCAGAATTGACTTGATGGCAACAGGTAAGTATTAGACTTATCAGAAAAGTCAGAGACATTTTCCAAACTCAAAGCTATATTCCTCTGTAAGACTTATTAATAGAAATAGAATACTTAAGGAGACCAACCCATCTAGCAAGACCCTGGTAATCAAACTTGATGCAGTGATGAGAAAGTGAAGCAAATCTTCAGAAACTAAGTTATTCACGGTCTTCTCCTCACTGTGACTTTTTACATAGCCGTGTAGAGTCCAGTCAAAGAATCTCAAATAAATGCTCCTGGTTTCCTCAACCCTAAGACAGACCTGGCTAACAAACTTTACTGCTACAATGTTAGAGCAAATCACCTAGTTTTACAAACAAAAACAGAATTAAATAATTACTTGTATTAAGATAAATCAAACTTGAGTTTTCACAGTATACCTGATGCACAAAGCACAATGATGTATAGCCATCAAAAGAAAACCAAACACGGCTCTTATAACAGGTACTGCCTACTGAGGTGGGTAAAGAGAGGTACCAGAAACTCTCTGAATGTAGTTAGCACACTTAGAAAAGTAAAGACCCCAGTATTCACCTCACTGGCCCTAGGACAGTTGTCCAGGGCAACTTCTGCAATAAGAACAGCAGCTTTAGTATGAAACCAGCATGATATACTCTACTTACAGACTATATGAAGACTAAACTAGGATCACTAGAATATTCTCAAAGCAGCTCAGATGCAGTGTAACTTCCCAAAAAAGGCAAAGCAAAACTCTTGGTAAACACTACTCACTGATCTTCTGTTCCAAAGAACTTCACAAAGAAGCATTTCTTTCCACGTGGTTTCTTCAAGTCTTTGGGTGGATTAACAATCTGGGGAATAAAAAGGAGAAAAGGTTTGATGGAAAACACTGTAGTCCACTAGAAAGTAATTTTTCACTACTCTAAGTTGGTAAGAAAAAGAAAAGAAAACAAGAGGAATGTGTTTAAGAAAAGAACTCAGGGCCCAGTATCTGTCCAAATCTGACACTTGTCTGAGATGTGTGAAGATGTTAAAATATTCTAGAAGCTCCCTGTATCTAAGATGTGGCCAAAGACTTGGCACGATATCCCACTGACTGCAATGGCTGCATTTTAAAAGTAGCTCAAACCAAGATCAACATCATTTCACCCCTAACGTGACCCTGTCTGATAGCTATCACTGAAGAAATGTCAAGGACACTCTTAAAAATGCTTCTTGTAGGCAAACATGGGTATATGGGTAGACAGATGGGTATACAGGCTGAACTATTAGGTATGTCTATGCAGGGGGGAATGTGCCCATCACCATGTGTGGGGCTGGCAGACAATGTTTCTACAAGTGTATTGGTATGTTCTGTAAGAATTCCCAGGTATGTAGTAGAGGTGACAAAGGACAAGGTTGTAGTCACTTCTTGGCCACAGCCAGCTATCCAGAGGGAGAGAGTAGTAGGACCTGTGGGCTTGGGACCACAGTCGCAGGGGTCATCAAGCTCAACTGGCATAACATACTACATAAAACGTTGTTCCACATCCTACTTTGGTGAGTAGCAACTGGGATCTTAAAAGCTTGCAAGTGGCCATGTATAGATGCAAAGATGGGTCTCTCCTCATCTAGAGCAAAGAAGAATGAAGAAAAACAAAGATTCATGGAAACAATCAGTCCAAGTGACTGGTACACCATGCAAATCGTAGCCTATATGACTATGAGACCAGAAGAATTAGATGGTGCCCAGCTACCACTGTCAACCACTTGGTGGGGGATCTATGTAGGAGATCCTGGATAGAGTGGGAGAACAATGTGGAACAAAATTCAAAATCATTTAAAAAAAAAAAAAAAAGGGACCAGGTTTGCTGGTCTGACAGAGCCTGACGGAACCACTGAGACTATTGCCCCTAGCTGCCCTTCAGGTCTGGTATATAACCCACTCCTGAGACTTCCAGCCCAGCCAAACAAAAGACAGGTATATAAAGTGAGTATTTACATTAGGTAGGTATACTCCTTGGAGAGAACAATCTTGGGAGAATAGAAGGGCTATGCACAGGGAGACAGCTCGAGGGTCAGGAGTGCATGGAGGGAAGGACACAGGGAAGAGGTAAGTATGGGGAGGAAGTGGGAGAGAGGAACTGTTGCATTGTGGGAAATTGTAGTCAATGTTTTGATACAAAGTGTATGTGAGCTGTGTATGGAAAGTGAGTTTGCTCTGTAAACTTCCACCCAAATCACACACACACGCACACACACACACACACACAAATGCTTCTTGTGCAGGAGGAGTTAATGAGGAAAGCGACATTCCTTGAAAAGGAAGGACAAGAGAGGCACTGAAGATGCCACATTCCAAAGAGACAGTCTAAGGACATTTACTGGGCTCCAAGCAAGAATAGAAAAACTGAACATTTGGAAAGCTGTGATGGACCGCCTCGTGCAGAATCCAGAATGCCAACTTTTGCAAAGATGCTGTGGAGCAGCACATATGGTAAAATGGAGAGAAGATTTAAACTTAGTTGGGACAAAAATATTCTGACTTTTTACTAACCTACATTTAGACTTCTCTCTTCCTGGATAAGTATCTCCTCCTCCCCCCCTTTTTAAAGTTTGATATAAACATAAAGCTCAATTCAAGTTAGAATTGATTTCCTGGGTACAAAAAAAGGAAGACTGCTGATTCGAGAAACAAGTGTTTGCTGCAGGTGAAAAGATCTGGTTTTAAAACGTCTCTTGTAAATGAGCTGATACTAGAGAGAAAAAAGAAAAATTGAATGAGTGCTATTTAAACGGGCTGAGTTTTACTCAGTTAATGCTAAGCACATTCAGTCATTCATCCCTACTTCCCCAAACCCAGCTCTGGATGACTTCCCTTAGTAGCAAGATACACGCTCACCTTTCCGGGCCAAGGAGGATACCGGCCGAGTTTCCCCCTAGAGAAAACACAGAGTCAGCAGTTGCCCTGGGAAACCCAGTCCACCTCCTTCAACCCATCAACCTGCAATTCTCACTTGCACCCTAGTGCCGTAACAAAAACCGGCCACGGGTTCTTCATCTGTATTCCAAGGCCCAGCCCGGGAGGGCCCCAAACCCTCAGACATGGAACGGAAAATTGTACACGTGTGTACATAAGGTAGGAGCACTCTTCGGGTGACAAAACGTACAGAAAACAAAACCATCGAGAGCACTAGTCCAGGGCCTCCCAGTGACCGCGGTGGGGGGCAGGTTCCTCGGTAAACACAGACTTATTTCCCTCTACAAAGTCTGTTTTAAGTCACTAGGAGACCAGTCTGGTTTGACGAACGCTAAGAGAAGCCTTCCTCCGGATCGGGAAACAAGCTACAGAGCTCGAGGGAGGCGGCAACAGTCCGTCTTGGTCTGAGCGGTTGTCTGAGACACAGAAGCAGACCAAGAGGCACCCAAGAAAGCACTGGTCACTGCCCCTCCTTCGGTTGTAAAGGAGAAGTGCCCCCTCCATGTCTTCACGCGGCAGCGCCAGCACTCCGGTTTCGACAGCACTAGCCGAGCCGCCCGTACAAGTCGGTTCCATCCCAACGCAGGTTTTGACGGGCCTGCCCCGGCGAGCTGCCCCGCGGGCTACTCGGCTTTCCGGGAACCACAGCAAGACACCGGGCACCTGGTGGCCGCGGAAGCCGCGAGGCGCCAGAGGCTCCCACATCACGGTGGCCGCAGGCGTCCAAGCCTCAGGGAAGCCCTCTTCCGGGTGGCCTCGGGGCTCAGAGCCGGGCCCCCAGCGGCCACCCTCGGCCTCAGTCCCCCGGGGCCAGGCTACCCCTTCCGCCGGCGTCGCTTCCAGCACTGGTACCTCGTCTTCCCGGTTCTCCGTAGCCTGGAGCGCATAGAAAGGTAGCTCCCGGGCTGGCCGTGAACCCCGTGCCCAGAAGACCAGATCCCCCACGCCTCTCGCCTGTCCCCCGCCGCCCGGACTCACCACACCAAGTCGCCGAGCCGCAGACTCACAGCCGCCATCTTACCACCCAACCACCGCCGACGCACTGGCCGCCGGGAACCTCAGGTCGCCCCGGCACCGCCCATTGGAGTGGGTCGAGCCACGTGACAGGGGCCGGCTGTCAACGGCCACGCCGCTGTTCTGACGTCACCGCGCCCGCAAGATCTCATTGGCCTGCAGAGAGGCACGTGACTCGGGCGCCGCGGTCTCCGCGCGCCGGAGCCCCGCTACTCCCGGCTCCTTCCCCCTCCCTCCGGCTCGTGACAACGAAGCGGCAGAGATCTGAGGCGGTGGCGACGACGGTGCCGCCGGCGGAGCGAGTGAGGGAGCTGGCCTCGCGGCCCGCTTCGCTTCCCGGACCCTGTGGGACTCCAGTCCCCCTCCCCCCGCGGCGCTTCCGTTACGGCCGTTAGCCCCGCGCGCTCTCCGGAGCCCTTCTCGAGCCTGAGGGGCCGGCCACCCCGGTCGCGGCGCCCTGGAAGCTCCCCTGACGGACTTCGCCGCGGCCTGGAAACCGGCCGTCGCCCGAGCCCGAGGTCCCGCGCCGGACGGGCTTTCTTCGGTCGCAGCCGCGAGGCCCGAATCCCTCTTGTCTCCACGCTCCCGGGAGCTCCGGAAGCCCCGCTCGGCAGGCACGCGACAGGTCCACTCACCCGCCGCCTGGGTTCTTTGGAGCGCTCCTTTTCCCGGCCGGCGTTCGGGCAGCCGCTCTCGGAGGTCTGGGTCCGGCGCAGCAAGTTCCCCGGGGCGCCCCCTGGCAGCCTGCCCCGTGGCCCCTCGAGTGGTTGTCGGACCTCGAGTGGGCATTTCTCCGCCGGCCCGCGCGCTGGACGGCTGACGAGGCTTCCCGGGCGCGCGGGGGCCGGCCATGGGCCGCGGCGCCGGCCGGCTGCCCGCCGGGAGGCATGTCTGGGAAGCCAGCCGCTAGCAGCGCCGCAGCCTGGGGTCCCGGACCGGCAAGAGGACAGGCGCGGGGCGACGTCTGCGGCCCGCGGGGCTGTAGCCTGCGTCGGCGCTGGGGACAAAGGTGCGTGGCTTTGTAAGGACCGGGCTGTAGGACAAGTCCCGTTTCAGTTTGACGCTTGGACACAAGTTGCAATGGGGCTGTTGCGCCCAGCGTAGTTTCAGTATGGTTAAAATGAAACCATTAAGTGGAAACGGTTAATAGCAGGTCAGCCCCAAGTAGCCGACCAAACGTCCATACGCCAGGGAAGAAATGTAATTTTTAAAAAGATCGCAATTACACAGACTCCAAGGAGTCGTTCCAGCACTCAAGTTAGAGCCGGAGTTTTCTTGAGTCACCGACGGCGGGGAAAAGGTGGCAGCCCCGCATGCATTTCCTGAAGTCATTTTGTTACAGGACTCTCTGGCTGTGAGTGAATTTCAAGATTACTGGTTGTCCACAGCATGGGGTTTGGCTTGCGATTTCTCTGAAGTTATGTGAATCTGTTTCAGGAACTGTCATTTGCAAACCCCTCCCCACCAGAGACAAACTGATAATTCAACACACTTTGCTAATTTATTAAAATGGTATTTTAATAACTGGATAAAGAATGTTGTTAGGTACCGTTGTGTGGATTACAACTCATGGCAACCCCATGTAATAGAGAAGAGCTGCCCCCTAGGGTTTTCTTGGTTTTAATCTTTACAGGAGCAGATCACTGGGTCTGTCTCCCAGGTAGTGCTGAGAGGGTTCCAGTGCCAACCTTTTTATTGGCAGCCAAGAGCTTAACCATTGTACCACCAGGACTCTTGGGTAAAAAATAAAAAACCTATTGCCTTCAAGTTGATTCGGACTCCATTCAGGACAGAGTAGAACTGTCCGCATACAGTTTCCGGGGTTGTAATCTTTACAGAAGTGGACTGCCACATCTTTCTCCCACAGACACCCACTGATGGGTTGGAACCGCAGACCTTCTGTTCAGCAGGCAAGTGTTTAACCACTGTGCCATATGAATCTTAAATCAACATTGTATTGGACTTAGAGGAATCAATGAACATGGCAAAAAATATATTTTCTACTAATTGTGTATATGTGTGCATGTGTATATATACGTAATTATCTCAGAAGTTACAGCCAGTGCACTAAGACATGAAATAAATAAATATGCTTTTTTTGGGACAAGAAAGACAAATTATCATTTCAGTGGATGATAGGATTGTGTAGTTGGAAAAAAAAAACCAAGGTAAAAACCATAAGAATTCAGTAAAAGGACTAATTACAAAGTCAGCATATAAAATTCAGTTTTTCTGTTTTATCACTAACTGGTTTTAAAGTACAATGGGGAAAAGATCCTATTCACCATAACCAAAACCTACAACTCCTGGGAATAACCCGAGAATCGAAAGGAAGCTTGAGTAAATGGGGGTAGCATTTCTAGGATAACATCAATTGAGGCTTTTAAAAGGAGGAATGCTTTTGTGTAGGATACTGTATGTAGCATACTATTCAGCTTGTTAAAGTTGTGTATTTGAAAGCTTGGATTTTCTTAAGCTTATAAGTTTTCCTCACAAAGATGGTTTTATTTACAAATCTAAGAATTTTCATATAAAAAAATTACTTGATCCTTGGCAAAGGTTCCATTAAGATACCAGTTTAACAGATTAAATTCTCCTGAACAATTATTCCTTTTAGAAATGGCTAATTAAATTTCTTTAAATGTTTTAAACTGCATTCAACATTTACATGGTTGATTCTTTCAAATCTCTGATCAGTGCCTGATTGATGCTGGGAAGAAACCAAGTTAGAGCCTCACCTCACACCTTATGGCATAGTAAATTCCACTTGGGTTAAAGAGTTAAATGCAGCAAATAGGTAGACTCATACAAGAGCTGCTTGGAGAAGGACATTCTAGACAACGAAAGAAATGGGAGTTGTCATAAGGAAAAGAGCTCATTCTTAATTGCATAAAAAGTTAAACTCTCTTTCATCCTGTCTCACTCTAAGCAAAGTTAAACAGGAAATAGCAAACCAGGAAAATACTCTCCTTGTATCAAGAGCCCTTACAAATCAATGAAACTATAATCTATTGAACTGTTTCCTTATTGCTAGACCTTCAGGTTGCTTCCATCATTTTTCCAGGGCTTCCAACTGCAAGTTCAACTCCCAGCTGAGAATTTGCATTTCCACTCTTAACTAGATTGAGTGGGAACCTACAGAATCTATGTTTTAACAAGATCCCCAGGTGACTCTTACAGATCCCCAGGGATCTTGTTAAAAATGTAGATTCCGATTCAGTCCATTTGGGGTAGAAATGCAGGTTCTGAGCAGAGGGGTCAAATCAGAATGAATTGGTTCAAAGCCCTGTGTTTTTCTTACGCAAAGCTGTGATGAGTATCTTTATTGATATGGTAGAAAGTTTGAAGGAGAATGTGTATTTAAAAAGCAGGACGTATATCCTTAAAACACTGGAAACAGAAGTACCATATGATCCAGCAATCCCACTACTATATATCCTAGAGGAATAAGAGCCATGACATGAACTGATATGTGTTCACCCTCGTTCCTTGCAGCACTATTCAAAATAGTAAACAGATGGAAACAGCCTAAATGCCCATCCACGGAGGAACGGATCAACAAGCTGTGGTCCATACACACAATGGTTTACTAGGCAACACTAAGTGACAGTGGTGAATCTGTGGGACGTAATGTGAGTGAACTTAGAGGTCTTTATGATGAGCAAAGTTAGTCACTAAGGGAGAAGTATATGAGACCACTATTGTAAAAAGTCAAGGAAAGGGTTTCACTGAAAAATGAATAGTCTTTAATGGTTACCAGAGGTGAGTGGGGAAAGGTGGAGTAACTTGAGTGAAAGGCAAGTTAAAAATATAAAAAAGCTGGACACAAAATTTTATGCTTAAGTGTGTATGTGCATAAGCCTATAAACATACAATCTGTATACGTGGTATTCATTTGCATATGTTGTTGCAAACCTTTGGGGTTCCGGGATTCAGAATCCGTTTTGACTACTCCCAAGCAACGTTGAAGGTCTCTGGCTTGTAATAATTTGTTGCTTTGCTGAGGCCCACATTTGGGTGGAGAGAGGCAGGTGCACAGGAACTCTTGACTTAGGAAGTGAGCCTGGTCCTGCCCTTGACTGTTAGGAAATGAGCCTGGCCACACCCACCTGAGATAGCCTTATCTTATCCTGGCTGTAGGCAGAAACTTGTGAGGAGCTGAAAACTTTTTTATTGTGAAAATTGGCCCAAAATGAAAGTAAACTGCTGGTGATTAAAGAGGTTTTTAAGAAATTGGTATTCTTTGCTGAAAAAAAGAAAGCGTTGGGTAAATTTGATGGGAAACAGTTGTCTGCAGTAGGATCTGCAATTTTGAGGATTCTTAAGTATTAATGTTAAAGTTCCACTGTATAGAAAAAAGACTGAAGGGAAATAAGGCTAAACAGGAATGTCTCCAGATGATAGGACTTGGGGGGTGACATTCATAGGTGTCTATGAAAATGTTTATATTTCAAATGAATATTAATCGAAGCAGAAAAAAAAAATCCGTTAACGGTGATTAAACTAAGTTCAACGGTGGATTCTTCCTGGTAATGAAATTCTTGTAAACTTGAATCTGTGTTTTTGAATGGGAAGGTGATTATTCTATCATCTTGATTTGACCTGGCCCTTCTTTTCGTTGTTAACAGAAGCCATGCAGTGACCACCGCTAAGACTTGTTGGTAGCCATGTCGGAGCCCCACAGGGTCCAGTTCACCTCTCTCCCAGGTCCTCTGAATCCTGCATTTTTGAAGAAATCCCGGAAGGAGGAGGTTGGCGGGGCAGAACAGCCTCCGGACTCAGAGCCAGCGGCCGCAGCTGTGCGAATCACACTCACCCTCTTTGAACCGGATCACAAGCGCTGCCCAGAGTTCTTCTACCCGGAGCTGGTGAAGAATCTGCGTGGGAAAGTGAAAGGCCTTCAACCTGGAGACAAGGTACCCCCAGTGTCACTCTGTATATCCAGTGCCTGTCTGTTAACATGTGCAGATGGGACTTCCGTGGGGTGGAAGCACAACTAGGGAGGCACTGACTGACCCAGGGTCAAGTTCCCCACCCCAGAGCATGAGCAGGCTTTGCTGCTTTGCTTCTGGGCATGAAGGGATAGAATTCTTTCTGGAACATTCTCCTGACTTGGACTGGGAAAAACAATGTCTGGGATATCCAAAGCTCATTGAAATTATGGCTCATTAATATTTTGGGGAAAAAAAAAGGAGCCGTGAATTTTCTAAATTCTCCTTGTCAATGAGACTGTCCCTGTCGGTTCCAGTGAGGGAATTCTGTTCTGTGCTGGGTGTTGTTCTTTCCTTGAGACTTGCACTCTGCCTGATGTCAGGGGCAGATAAGCCAGACACAGACTGCCCATCATTTCTAAACACAGGGGTGGGTTGCATAGTTCTTCACCTGGCTGGATACAAATCTGTATTTGCCCCCCCCCCTTTTTTTTAATTTTACTTTATTTTTTTGTGTGTCAGAATTGACTTATGTAACCTTAGGTGTTTTGAAAACAAACCTGGCTGGTTGGTTTTGCTTTCGTAGTGTAGAGCTTTTCACACACATAAGGAAGTGGAGTGGATTGCCTAAGAAGCCTCCATGTGCATTCCTGTCACCCAGCTTCCACTATTACTAATGTTTTGACAATTTATTAGCCCCCTTTATTTTTTGAAAATGTTTTAAATTATGTGCATCAGTGCACATGTGATAAATGAACAGAGTGATGGGATTTTCACAAACTCCAGATACCCATGCAAGCTGTACCTGGATCAAGAATAGAAACAATGACCAGGACACCCAAAACCTTCCTCATGCCTTTCAAAGACTCTGCCCCCACCCTCCAGGGGCATCACTACCCTGATTGCTAACAGCTCTGATGAGTTTTACATGTTTTTCTATTTTCTGCAAATGGAATCACAATATGTGCAGGAGTTATAGGTGAGGAGTGTTTTTAAGCAACTACTATATACCCACACAGGAGCTTTGGTGGCATAATGGGTCTCAGAATAGGCTTATGGAAATTTGTTGTGACTTATTTTGTGTGTGTGTGTGTGTGTGTGTGGAAATGGTCTCTTTACAGAAGAAAGACCTCTTGGATCCTTTCAATGATGAAGAAAAGGAAAGGCATAAAGTGGAGGCCCTGGCCCGAAAATTTGAAGAAAAATATGTAAGATTTCTCTTTTGGGCAATGACAACCTCATTGGGTGGGAGAAGTTTCTAGCCATTTTCATCTCCTTTGTTGTTGTTACTGTTGTTGTTATGTGCCGTCGAGTCGGATCCGACTCATAGCAACCCCTCCTTGGGTTTCTAAGGCAGTATCACTAAGGAGGAAGATTGCCCAACCTTCCTTCCGAGGAGTGGCTGGTGGGTTTGAACCACTAGCTTTCTGGTTAGCCGTCAAATGCCTTAGGCACTACACTACCAGAGCTCCTTTAGCAAATTATATTTGTTTATTTTTTTTATTAGGATTTGGGTGAAGATTTACAGAGTAAATTCACTTTTCATACAGCAGTTCACATATACTTTGTCTCATGTCATTGACCAAAATTTACAATGCAGCAGCTCCCCTCCCACTTCCTCCCCATAGTTACCTCCTCCCAGTGTCCATCCCTTCATACTCTTCTGCACCCTGAGAGGCCCATTGTCTGCCAACCCTGTATATGATCTTGGATACACTCTCCATTTAGACATACATAATTGTTTAGCTTGTTCACCCATCTATCCGTCCCTATACCCATGTTTGCTTTCATTGACAACTCAGTATTGTATTTCCTTTAGCAAATTATAATCCAAAGCAACCTTGATCTGGGAATGAGTGTACAGCATGGATAGAACACATACAATTATGAAACAAATGCATTCATGTACGGAAAATGCATCTGGTAGGAAATAATTGTGTGTAGCTAAGGGGACAGATGAATGAGAGGGACTTTGAATAAATGTTTGGTATGAAGAATAAAAAGCCATTTACTTCAATCTTCTATATTAAGCCATTTTATGCAGATAAAAATCTGTTCTGTTACAAAACATCTTCAGGAAAAGAGGTTTTGATGTGTGCATGTGTGTGTGTGCACGTGTGACTGGTCCCAGTGCTTTACAGTCTCTAATAACTAGCTGAGAAAGTTCAAAGCAGCAATTAATTCTGTGTGAGTATTCATCAGAAAGTATGCCCTATTGTTTTTAAATTTTAGGGTGGAAAGAAACGTAGAAAAGACCGAATACAGGACTTGATTGATATGGGGTACGGTTATGATGAATCCGATTCCTTCATCGATAACTCGGAGGCGGTAAGTGTTCCGTGACAAGGGCATATCAGAACTGTGGCGCTGGGTTCTCGCGTGGTGGCTGCATAGTGGAGGCCGGCCTGAGAGTGGGTGTGCCCTCTTCTCACTGTGAGGAAAAAGAAGCACTCTCTCTGGGCCTTAGTTCCCTCGTCTGTAAAATGATGGCCACATTTGTCCAAAAATCCGTCCAGTTCTGGCAATCTGTGACTGGTGGACAGGAGTGTCTTGGCATACTCCCTGAAATGTGACTTGAGGGACACGGTGGCATCTGCCCTCTGAGGACCACTTTTTCACCTGTGGAATATAGTGCCGGAATGTGGAGCTGACTGTCTGTTTTCTCCCTTCAGTATGATGAGCTTGTTCCTGCATCTCTGACCACCAAGTACGGAGGATTTTACATTAACTCGGGGACGCTGCAGTTTAGACAAGCTTCAGAATCTGAGGATGACTTCATTAAGGAAAAGAAGAAAAAATCCCCAAAGGTTAGAACGTTGCTTGCTTTTGGTTCTCAGAAATGCTGCCTCATGTGACTGAAGTCAGGGCCCTTGACAGTGCAGGATGGCTTGGGCGTTGCATTGTGGGAGTGGGCTGTGTATCTCCCGCCGAGGTTGGCGACTCCCTTCTCCCTTCTGGCCGGGACAAGGTGACGTGCACTTGGAGGGCTCTGCTCAGCTCCTGGGCACTGTGTCCACATCACACTGGCATCTGCACGGGATCAGCAGGGAGTGGTTCCTGGAGGTGGTCTCAGGGCGGGGGTGAGGGAAGGTGCACCCCCCCATGCTGCCTCTGCTATGGACACATAGAGGACTTCGGTTCCCAGCGTTGTCGACCCACTGAGAACAGACCTGCCTTGAGTTCACATTGCGTAAACATGTGTCTTCACTGCCTTTGTGCTAAAGTGAGAGCCAGGGTCCACATGCTCTTGTGGAAGCTCGTCTCAGTCTGGAAGGATTTCCTCTCAGGCTGCAGGGTGGCCTAGTGCTACCTCAAATCCCCTGTGTCTCTGCGAGACACTGGCCGTGGGAAGGCTGTGTGGCAATGCGGCGGGTGTGTGGTGTTGTGGCTCAGCGTCCAGGGACCGACCGGAAAGCTTTTGCTTAGGAGGGCGAGGAGGCCGGTGTCAGAGTGTAGCCCAGGCGGGGCAAGGCCAGTACTGTGGCGTGCACTTGCTCCCTGAGTCAGGGAGCCGCGTAACTGTGCCTTGTCTTTAATTCTCAGAAGCGGAAGTTGAAGGAAGGTGGTGAGAAGATAAAGAAGAAGAAAAAAGATGACACTTATGACAAGGAGAAGAAATCGAAAAAGTCCAAGTTTTCCAAAGCCGGGTGAGAGGCAGCAGCTTCTTTGCTAGGATAAACTGTGAGCCGCTAGGTCAGGCTACCTGGGAGCTGACTCGCCCTCCTCCCTACAGCTTTGGAAGAGGCCGCAGGGCCTGGCCTCCCGTCCTCTGCCTGCCTCCGCAGTACCACTGTGGGTGGTCAGTGCTCTCCGTCTGTGTGTCCGATAGCAGCGCTTTCTGTGTGCCACTGCCATTGCGGCAGGTGTCTGTCGCTGTGTGATGCTGGTGGTCCTGTCTTCCTGGGCGCGCTTTTCTCTGCCCCAGGTCTCTTTCTGTCTCTGTGCTCTCCTGTGTCTGCTGTGGCCACGCCTCCTTCTCCTCCCTCAGCCTCCCCCCAGCTGCTCTTCAGGTTGCTGCTGTTCTCTGCTGCTCCTGCCTTCTCCCTTCAAGGTTTCTCCTTGCCCCCTTTTCCTTCTTTTTTTCTGGCGGGGGGAAGCGGGGAGGAAGGGTTGCAACCTTTTATTTCAGCCTGGCAGTGATTTTAAAACCCATTGGATATGTAGCGTTATGTGACAGTGTGCTGCTAACCTGTATTAACTCCCAAGCTTTGGTCTTAGCAAGAACAAGCTCTGTATGCCAAGAGGAGGGAGGAGTGATAACGGGGTGCTCCGTTGCTCTGGGAGCAGGGGTGAAGGCCCTGTCTGCATTTCCCTTTGGAGGTGCACTGCAGCCTTGGTAACCAGTTCCCCTTTTTCTTGCAGTTTCACAGCCCTCAATGCCAGTAAGGAGAAGAAGAAAAAGAAATATTCTGGGGCTCTAAGTGTTAAAGAGATGCTGAAGAAGTTCCAGAAGGAGAAGGAAGCTCAGAAGAAGAGGGACGAGGAGCACAAGCCTGCTGCGGTCTCGTCCATGGAAGCGCAGGGCCTGCGGGAACTGGAGAGCACCCCCGACCCCCTGCTCTCTCTCTTCGGCTCCACGTCTGACAACGACCTGCTGCAGGCGGCCACTGCCATGGATGCGCTGACTGATTTGGACTTGGAGCAGCTGCTCAGTGAGTCTCCAGAAGGAAGCCCCTTCCGTGATGCAGATGATGAGAGCGATTCCCTTGGGGTGGGATTGGACTCGGAGTTCAGGCACCCCTCCTCCCTCCCTGAAGGCCTGCCCGCACCCCTGGAGAAGCGCATTAAGGAGCTGGCTCAGGTATGGTGACACCGTGTGGCCGGGCTCTCCTGGAAGCGGTTCGCTGGGGCAGATTGACGTTGGTTCCACACCGCAGGAAGCTCTATGCCCAGAGAAACGCTTCCTTAGCAAGCTGGCAGTGACAGTGTAAGCTTGTTCCGTGTGCTCGTCTCCCTCCTGACGGGGGAGCTGTAAGCTTTGCTGTCAGGCCTCATGCTCAGGCTTCCCTGGGTCCTTCACTCCTGAGAAACCTACTTCCAGGGAGATTATCTGTCCTGCTTCGTGCCTGTCAGCTCCTCTCCCACAAAGTCATTTTCCTTTTGTGCCATGGACTGTCCCTAACATGGGCAGCAGCCAGCTGAAGCGGAGATCCACCCTTTAATCTTCTTTTGAAAGTTTTAGAAATTGACGAGAGCTTTGTACACCTCTCAAGTACACTAGTGTAGGTGCTTAATTGCCTGTGTTTCAGTTTCGTTGAATTGCGTGTTATCCATGTTAGAGTGATTGTGGGAATGCCACATTGTGACAAAAACAAGCTTCACCTTAAATGTGGTCCACGCCCCTTTACAACCGACAGCAACAGCCTTCAGATACAACTGCCGTGGCTGTGTTTTCCCCCGAGGCTGGGCAGTGGTCCCTCTGGAGCTAAGAACCGTTCAGTTCTGTAATATGGTGCTATTAGTTACGATGGCATTTACCTTTTAGTTAAAATAATCCCTTACCTTGGGTGTCCTGACTTAGAGTGCATCTCCTGTGGTGTTTAGACCCGACGGTGCTGAATTTCAGTGATTCTACCCCAGTGTTGTGTACAGTGTCCCTTGGGTCTTAGGACAGGGTAAAATGTGAAGAACCACTGCTACGTGTGATTTTCTCCCTTCCCCAAAATATTTGAGCACCAGTTAGGAAGCGTATAAAACTTGTTACTCAGCTCTCTAGCTCACCTTGGTCAGCCTGTGTGTGGTGCTGGCCATAGAATTCTGTTTGAACGTAATGGTTTAAGTAAACTGCCACGTCAGGGACTCAGAGTGTGAAGACAGAAGGAGGGGAATCTGAGTGTGGCATGTTTGAGCAGACAATTCTATGTTTGCTTTCAGAACTCATGTTAAAAAATAGAAAGTTCTCCTTTTTGTTTCAGTCCTGATGGTTTGCAATCAAATTGTTCTGTACCTTCTGATTGACTTGTTAAATGAGTAAGGCCTGAGTGACAGTAGCATCTTTTTTTTTTTTTTTTTTTTTGTGATTTGGGTGAAAATTTACAGTGAATTCACTTTCCATACAGCACTTCACATACACTTCGTCTCATGACATTGACTACAATTTCCCACAATGCAGCAGCTCCCCTCCCACTTCTTCCCAATAGTTACCTCTTCCCTGTGTCCATCCCTCCATGCACTCCTGCCCCCTGAGCTGTCTCCCTGTGCAAAAGCAGCCCTTCTTTCTCCCATGATTATTCTCCCCAAGGACTATATCTACCTCAGGTAGTAGCATCATTTTTAAGAGAAAAGTCAAAACAGAATTCTTGAATGGGTTACCCCACCCAAGTTGGGTTGCAGTTGATAACTTCTGCTCATTATTCTGCTTTCTAGAGAAACATAGGGCAGATGTAGTAGAAATGAAGTGGTATAATACAAACGAGCATTGGATTGTGATGCAAGAAACCCTTATTTTCTGGAGTCTGCTTGATAGGCTACTACAAGCTGTCGTCCTTCACCTTTTGTTCAGTTTTGGTTATCTGCTTTGACACAATGGAGACAGGGTTTGGCATCCCATAGTCAAGGTAGACTTAGGATGATGAGGTGGTAACCAGGGGAGATTGACGTACTGGTTTGAAAGATAACATTCGAGTATGAAACTGATAACTTTAGTTGCCACCTGGCCCTTCGCCTGTCAGCATTGAGAAGCTTTGGAAAATGGAATGGAATGTATGTGGAAGTTACCCATCATCCCAATGACCTGAAACAGTTTTCATTTGCGTATTCCTTTCTAGCCTCTGTGTGCATGTCTTTATGCAGCTGTGATTGCAGTTGTGAATAATTGTGTCTTGCTCTTTTCACTTAATAAATATTGTTAAAAAGCCCTCATCACTTTCAACGGTTGCATTAGAAAGAAGGCTTATTTTACAAAATTATTTAGTGCCACACCGATGGGTCCCCGGGAGCTCCTTTCAGACCGGGGCATTGCACTTGGGGGCTTCAAGCCTCCCACGTAATGTCCTTCCTGAGTATGCCCGTGAGCGTTCAACCCAGATCCTTCTGAGAATGTGCTGGGGAAGGGTCGCCCAGGAAGGAAAATGCACACGGACACAAAAAATTGCAGCTGATTTCAAAAGCCAGACGTGGATATTTGGATCCTTAAGAAGGAGCCCTGTCCCAGACCTTGAAATGGACGAAGGATTTTTGAAAATTTAAATTTAAACTTGACGTTGGTAACTAAGATTAGCAGGGTATGTGTTTCTCACTTTATTTTTCATTCCTCTTCTTTTTTCCCTACTTCTTTTATTTTATTATAATACAAGTTAGATTTTAAATCTTGGCCCTAGATGATACATGTATCATTTGCTGATACATTTCTATTGCTGTCTGGAAAACTGTCCTAAAACTTAGTAGCTTGAAACAGCCATTTACTTCTAATTCCATGGGTTGCCTGGGTGGCTCCTCTTCTGGTCTCACTGGGCTTGCTCACCGGCTGCATTCAGCTGGCAAGTTAGCTGGGCACTGGGGTGGTGGGACCTGTCTCTCCCCTGGGCTCTTATTTTGGCCTTCTTCAGGGCAGCTTGTTAAGAGGACGAAAGCAGACGCTATTGTGTGTGTGACACCCTTTCTACCCTGCTCTCTCGGTCAGAGCGAGTCAGAAGAGCAGCCCAGATTCGAGGGCTGGGGCACTAGAGGCACCTCCCCGAGGGGAGGGCACACACTGGCAGAGGGAGCTTGTGGTCATGTTTTGCATTCTACCCCGACACACCCTGACTGTAACATGATGTGATCTGTCCCTTAAAGAAAAACCCTCTATTAGTTGGAATTAAAAGTTAAATCTTCTAACTGAACAAGATAGGTAAAACTTTAAAAAGAAAAATTAAAAAACTTCAGTAAACTCAAGAGGCTATCCAAGAGGAGCCCCTTGGTGGACGCCTGGGGATGTTGCTCATCTTCTTCCTCACATCAGCTCAGTTTTCCTTTCTTATCCCTCAGTGTCATACATTTTTATGGGTCCGTAAATCCAGGGATTTGACTTCACAGTCTTGCTTTGTCTGCTCTGTGTATGCCCACTGGGGTCTTTAGTCTTGGTTGTTGAAACACCTAGGTACTGAGGAAGCTCAGGGTTGTCTTGATTTGGCAGCCACTTTGCTGGTCCACACAGGTCTGCCTTGGCCCTCTGTAGTCAATTATAAAGGAGCTCTGGTGGTAGAGTGCCTAAAGCATCTGACTGCTAACCAGAAGGTTGGCGGTTCAAATCCACCAGCCATTCCGTGGAAGGAAGACTGGGCAATCTACTTCTGTAAGGATTTACCGCCTCGGAAACCCAAGGAGGGGTCGCTATGAGTTAAATTCGACTCGATGGCAGTGAGTTTGTTTGTTTGTTTGTTTTTTTCAGTCAGGCATAACATGAAAATGGTACTAAGAGCAGAAAGAAGCAGAGACACTAGGTCACCTGCCCTTCTGCTCTACCTCCTCACTGCTTTCCTTCTATAGCTGTAGGACCCCTGCACCACAGAGACACCCAGAGAGGGGGTAGATCAAAAGATAATGAAGTGGAGGATGAAAAACAGCCAGTTTGATCTTTTTTAAAAAGGAAAACTTGCCAGATTTGAGTTTGTTTAAAAACGGGAGCACTGTGTAAGGTTCTGAGCTAGGTGCTAAAAGGCAATAAGTGACATTTCTTGCAATAGATAGAACAGTTCACTAAAAGGCTATCGGAACTACCGTATTTTCCCCACATATAATACACACACACACACATAAAATGCACATAGGAAACTAACACGTGAGGGGGTTGTGGGATTGGGGAAAAAATGTATAGTGTATATTATTTACATAAAAATACAGTATTGTGAACATAGTGACAGAGTTTAGTTTAACTTCCTTTCCTACTTAATTTAGAATTGATCCATTTATTCAACTTGTAGAGCCAAAATGTCTTTTATTAGAGTTGAGGGACCCCCCCAACCTCCGGAAAAGTAATAAAAAAGGAAGGAAAAAATAACCGTTTAAATAAAATTTTTTCAATGGACTAATTATCTTCAATATAAAAACAGACCTCAGTTTCTGTACAACACAAGAAAAAAAATAATTTTTTTAAAAGATCTAGATGAGAAGCTTTAGAAGTATTGGAGAAATGGCTGATACCTAAAAATAAAGTTTGAATCAAAACAAGCTGTGGATGGGTCTGACCCACAGGGGCAGTTGAAATACAGGTTCAAGTGATTTGGTTGGATTAACATGAAGGTGCTTCTGGGCCTCACAAAAGAGTGACTTGACCTTGTTGTTGTTGTTATGTGCCGTCAAGTCGGACCCAACTCATAGCCACCTCCTTGGGTTTCTGAGGCAGTATCGCTACTGTTGCTCAAATTAAAGTCATAATTCCAGTCCATTAAAACTGCTAAGGTAAAATTCTGATACTTCTGAAGGTAAAAGAAATTAGTAGATGAATGGGCTAAAGAATCAAGCCTTCCCTTATCCACCTTTCATCTCTTGTGTCTGGGTCGAGGGATCTTCAGAAGCTTCACTGATGCACACCTTCTCCAAGTTACTTATTTTACTTATTTTCTGGGTAAACACTACCCTTTTGATCTCATATAGTTGATTGTTCTGATCAGTGTATACCTTCCTCATGTTACTGATCACCTTATAGGCCTATTTATCATTTGGCTGAAAGTTGCACCATGGGGGTTGAGTTTGGGGCTTGAACACTGTCTAAGGGCCATAGTCTTGGGGCCTCCACCAGTCTCTTATCGGACCAGTAAGGCCTGTGTTTTGTTTTTTTATTTTAATGATTCTCAGTTTTATGCCACATTTTTCTTTTGCTCTTCCCAGGACCTTCTGTTGTGATTCCTTGCAGAGCAGTCATTAGTGGTAGCTGGGCACCATCTAATCTAGATCTGGTTGGTGGAGGCTGGGGTTCATTTGGTCCATTAGTTCACTGATTACCTATTTCCTTGCATCTTTGATTTTTTTCACTCTTCTTAGCTTCAGACAAGGAGACCAACAATTGCATCTTAGATGATGGCTGCTTTTTTTTCTTTAATATTTTTTATTTTTGCAGTGTTCCCTCCCTGCTCACAAGCTTTTAAGACCCCAGTTGCCACTCACCAAAGTAGGATGTAGAACACTGTCTTTGTAGACTGTTGCGCCAGTTGACATTAGTGTCCCCTGAGACTGTGGTCTTGAGCCCCCATGCTCTCCCAAGTTATTTTTGGTTGGCTTGATACTAAGCTTTCCTTACTCTGGTTTGGGATGTCTGTCCATATGCGTGTTCTCTTAGCAGACACTAAGTATCTTTTGTGGAACTGGCAGCTGTGGGCAGTATATCGATGAATAAGATTTGGTTCTTGTCCTCCTGAGCTTGTTATTGGTGAGTGGATTGGTAATACATGAAGATGGCTGACTGAGGTCCAACCGGGGTGAAGTGAGCACTGTGATGTGTGGACGGCCATGCAGCTGGGCAGGTAGTCGGATGAATACCCAGACTTAGGAGGTAGGAGAGAAGTCCTGGGGGGGACCCCATGGGAGTCAGACTGCAGGCAGCAGGGTCACCTGGCCTCATGGCAGAGGTGGCCTTCTGGTGAGCCAGGACACAGAATTGAGGACAGCCGAGTTGTTGGGTGGCGGGAACCCTTGGAATGTGGGGTAGGGTGGGGCTGGAGTGGACAGGTCCATCCTGGAGGACCCTAAAGGCCATGGGAAGGAGTTTGGGTTTGATTCTAAGCTTGGAAAGAGTCTCAGACAGATCCTGAAGAAGGGAGTGGGAGGATTTAGGAAGTATGGGAGTGCTGTCGCTGGAACTGGGCAATAGGAGGAAGAGCAGATAGGGGAGAAGCTAATGGGTGTGGTATCGAGCAGCATGTGTTGGCAGAGCAGTGGGTCACCCTTTTGTAGACATCTGTTAGGTGAGTGAGAATTCCGGTCCAAAGCGTAAACCGAGATGGGGCTGCCAGGGAGGTGCAGAGAGAGCCCAGAACATGCATTGAGAGGAAGGCCAGTGCAGGGAGGGAGGAGGGTGGAGGGGGCTAGCAGTGTGCAGTGTCAGCGGTGGATGGGACAGGACCGATCCCTTCCCTCGAGACGGCCCCCTTGGGGTTTACTGTCATTATTGCCTACTGGGTCTGATTTCAGAAATGTGATTTTGCCTCAAGTGTCAGACCAGCACCTCTTGAGTTTAGGTCAGTTGTTCTCAGCCCTCTCTGCACATTAGTCACCAGCGTCACTTGTAAAGAGTACAGCTTGTGGGGTCCCGTCCCAGAGATTCTGATGCCATGTTTCTGGGGTGGGGAAGCTCCCCAGGAGATTCCGCCAAGTTGGAGAACCACTGGTTTCTGCTTGTGCAGGGCTCGCTGGCGGCCTCTTGCCCTCCGCTGCACTTGCGTCAGGGCTCTTGCAGCTTGTGGTCTCGGGTGCTGAATGTGTGTGTGTGGAGAGCAAACAAGACAGTGGAGTGCAGTGGCCTCCTGGAGGAGGTCCTAAGGTGTGTTAGTCATTGCTATGTGCTGGGTGCTGGAGTTTGTCATAGAGTGCTGTGGCACGAGCAGATGATAGATTTGCAAAGGATGACAATGTCCTTAAATGCTACATGGTGTGCCCCTCACGTCCCCCCGGGGAGAAAAAGGCCTTCAAGTCTTACAGGCCTGATGAAACCCTTCCTTATTTTTGTTCTGCGGAATGATGGAAATTCCAGCCCCCACTTTTGCTGAAGGGCACTGGTTAGTCGGCCTCTGTACTACATGGAACCTCTTGGTTGCTGGGACCTTGCTTGATTTTCTCTGAGGTGACTGTGGTTTAAGTCTGGGAAGGACCTGGATGGGCCATAGCTGCTTCTGCAGCATTGAAGAAGAGCCAGAGCTCCTTGATCCCAGGCGTGCCTCCTCTGGGATGGGGGCAGATAGGGGAGGTGGTGAGGGTTTCCCTGACAGGAGCTCTTCAGGGCTCGAGGACTGTTGTGCCTGTGGGCGAGTGTGGGGTGTGGGGTAAGTGCACTAACACATGTTCCTGTCTGATGAACCAGGCTGCCAGAGCTGCCGAGGGGGAGAGCAGGCACAAGTTCTTCACGCAGGGCATCAACAGCATCCTGCTAGAGTGAGTATCTCGTTTGCCCACTTGTTCGCTCCTCTCTGCTCTTACCAGGCCTGGGGAGAATGGCAATAGATGTACAGACCACGTGGAGCGCAGCAAACTGAGCTCCATAAAGGTGACACTGACCACCCAAGGAGAGAAAAGAATTATTGCTGTTCTGTTGAAAAAAAAAAAAGAGAGAGCCTTGGTGGTGCAGTGGTTAAATGCTCAGTTGCAAACCACGTGGTCGGTGGTTTGAACCCACCAGCTAGAAAAAGATGAGGCAGTCAGCTTCCGTAAGGATTTATAGCTTTGGAAACTCTGGGGCACTTCTCTGCCCTATAGGGTCGCTGTGAGTTGGAATTGGTTTGATGGCAGTGGGTTTTATGTTTAAAAAGGAGATGTTAAATTTCTGTCTGCAAGAAAAGATTGGCCTTACTAGTCTTAGGCAGTGGGCGTTATGACCACACTGTATATGACAGTGGTGGGCCATTGGAAGATGGCTTCTCAGCAATTAGGAGATAGAAGAGAGAGGTGGTGTTTGCCATCCCTGAGAATCCAGCCAGATAGGAGACAACTTGGTGCAGCCTCAGGGCCCCCTCTCGCAGGCACGCCTCTGGCTCCTGGTTACTTACTCTCTCTCTGCCCCCATTGCCACCACACGGCTGCCATGCCGTGTCTCCCACACACTCGAACCTCTGAGGCCCGGACCCTCTGAGCTGGATTAGGAGGGTGGACCACACGTGTCAACTCCCAGGTCGGCTCTTGGTGTCTGGCTTTGCTTTGTGCCTGGGCTGTTCTCCAAGTTGTACCGTGTGGAGAGGAAGCTCACTGCCTGACGACTGAAGATTTGGCACGATTCAGAACAGATGCCAAACCTTGGGAATCTAGCCAACGGCCTTGCCTGGTGGGGCTTTGTCTGGTCCCTGGGTCAGGAAGGAAGTGCAGGTTGTGGAGAGTACCCAAGAATGGGCACAGATGAGAGCTTTGTGTTGACAGGCTACCTGCTTGAGTGTGCGTAGTACAGAAAGCTCATCCACGGAAGTGGGGAAAGTGGAAGGGTAGGGACTTTCCTGTCCTCATCATCACGGGTAAAACTGGAAACTGGGAAAAAAGGGAATGCTGCTGGAAAGTATTCCTGTCAACTCCAAAGAACTTAGGACTCTCCTGGAGGAAAGCTTTTACAGGTTTTCATTTAAGGTTTTAGTATTTCAGTGCTTGTTCCCCGGGGCTCTGCTTTCCTTTGACGTGGTCTAATCTTTGTAGTGAGAGCCCTGACCCACCTTACCTGGCCAAGGCCATGACCCAAGACCAGGAGTTCTTTTTGTTTGTTGGTTGCAGAAGATGTGTTGTTTGGCCATGTGGTTACATCATGTGACTGACCAGAAGGGTTTGACCTGCCTCTGGCCCCTGCCCTCCTCCCTGTGGTGGGCAGACTTCATGGCTGCAGGCCGCCCCTGACCCTGCTCTCTTCTCCAGCATAGAGGTGCAGACTCGGGAGCTGAGCAGCCGGACCCGCTCGGGGGTGTACGTCTATCTCGCGTCAGTGCTGCCTCGCAGCAAGGACACCCTGCTGAAACGTGCTCGGAAACTTCACCTCCACGAACAGGTGGGGGCTGGGGCGTGGGGCGCCCGCTTCTGGGGGCGTGCCGAGGGCGAGGCCATGTCTTCATAGACGCCGTATCTGCTGCGGCACTGCCTTCCATTCGATTGGCCTTGTGGCGTGTGCTTATATGAGAAATGATGGACAAACCTGATTTTGTGGTCTGTGATGCCCTCCACAGGGCGGGCGTCTGAAGGAGCCTCTCCAGAAGCTCAAGGAAGCCATTGGCAGGGCGATGCCAGAGCAGGTGTCCAAGTACCAGGACGAATGCCAGGCACACACGCAAGCAAAGGTTGCTAAGTAAGTGCCCCTGTCACTCTTGCATGGCTCTGCCAACTTTTCCCCTCACCTTTTCTCCATGTGTATCAGTACTTAGCGGTGTTTCCTAATGAGGCTCTTGGCTTTCCTATAGCATTTCCACCATCTTGCTTAGAAGGCCCACTTACCGGAGAGGGAGCAGCTTTTGTGTGGTGGCCTTGGGTCCCACTTTGTTCTCTTTGTCCGGTAGGATGTTGGGAGAGGAGAAAGACAAGGAACAGAGAGAACGAATTTGTTCAGACGAAGAGGAAGATGAAGACAAGGGGGGCCGGCGGATAATGGGACCCCGGAAGAAATTCCAGTGGAATGATGAAATCAGGTGTGCCCAAACTGGGACCTTGCCTTCATTGGAGGGTTTGTGGGGCCTGTGTCTGAGCGTGTCCCCATATTTCTAAAGAAGGTTAGACTCGTTTACTTTCATTGGGGCTGGTGGAAGCAAGTGATTGAAACCTAGAAGCAGCATTTGCGGGAGTCGGACGTTTCTGATGTCTCCCTCTCTCGTAGGGAGCTGCTCTGCCACGTAGTGAGGATGAAGCTGGAGAGCTATGATCCAGAGAGGAACAAGGCGCAGTCTTGGGAGGACTACGTGAAGGCCTTTCTGGATGCTGAGGTCAGACCTCTCTGGCCCAAAGGCTGGATGCAGGCCAGGTGAGGGCCAGTGAGCAGTGTGACGTGAGGTAAACCTTCATGTACTCAAGGACTGACAGCACGCTGCTCTTGTGCCAGGCCACAGGGTATCATCGATAAGATTCAGGGTCCCAACCCTGGGCGTCACTGACTGACTGGACTCCAATCTCACCTGCATACTGACAGCTATGAAGGGGTGGTTGTTCTCTAGAAGAAGGGGAGTGTTTGTGGAGTTTGGCCTTTGTCCTTCTTTGTCGGGGTGACTGCATGTTCTTCCCATCTCTTCCAACTTAGCGATAATGGCTTCTACTGGAAGCTGGGTGAGGGTTTTGTCTTGGGAACATCTTAATGTTCTGAACAGGTCTTATGTGCTGACTCCTGTTAGAGTTGGGAGCTGCTGACTTCTGTCTCAGAGGCTGTTTTGTAGCCTGTCACTTTCATTCCTTGAATGGAATATGAAATAGCTGGAGGGAGTTGTCTTGATTGGGTCTGATCCATGTGTGGACACATGATGGAGAGTCTCAGTGTCTCTACTTCAGATGGCACTGCTGGACTCTCCCGAAGGAGGGAAAAGACACGTTGTGGGTCATTGCACGTTGTTCTGTTTGGAGAGATGAGAGTAGACAAGAAAGAACAACATTGCTGCCTTCAGCGAGGGGGTGAGGGGGTGATCACTATGATAAGAACAACACTGTTGCCTTCAGTGAGGGGCAATCACTATATAAGAACAACGTTGTTGCCTCAGCAAGGGGGACCACTATGATAAGAATAACACTGTTGCCTTCAGTGAGGGGCTGTTGCCTTCAGCGAGGGGGCAATCACTATGATAAGAACAATGAGGAGAGGGTGATCACTAGGATAAGAACAACACTGTTGCCTTCAGCGTGGGGGCGATCACTATGATAAGCTCAGGAAGAGCACAGCTTTTCTCAGTAGAGACTTGCCTCTTGGCTTTTGAGTGGCCATTACAGCTCCGTCAGACCTGCATGCCAGGCAGTCCATTATCTCCTGAGTAATGTCCACCAACATGTAGTGGTGCCAGGGCTGGGAGAACTCTAGAGGCGGGGTCCCTGCGCCTGGGGGGCATGTGTAAACCGCCTGTGCCCTTTTTGCCCTTTCAGGACTCTGTTTAAGGAGAGCCGGCGTGGCCATGGGCACCTGACATCAATCCTGTGAGTGTCTTGGGGTTTTCACTTCTCGGGGCCACTGTCATTTTGTCTTGTGCAGGCATCCTCTAAACTCATTCTGTGTCCTTCGTTTCAACAGAGCCAAGAAGAAAGTCATGGCCCCTTCTAAAATCAAGGTGAAGGTGAGTCAGCCTGCTTGGCCCCTGCTGTTCCTTCTCAACTCTCCCCTGAAACCTTTTGGGTTCCATGGCAGCATGTTGAGCTTTGCTATGTCTGGGGACAGCTGTTAGGGATGGCCTCAGAGGCCACCCAGGGGGCAGCCTGGTCCACTTCAGTCCACAGCCCCTGGGGGGACATAGTGGGGGAAATGAGGTCTTGACAGCGCTTTGAGAAGGGAAGCCGTCTGCAGATGTGAAGGCAATGCACACAGGTTTTTGTGGAAGCAAGCCTAGAGCTGCAGAGGAAGGAAGGGTGGCTTTGGTGAGTTGACCTGGCAGAGTTAGAGGGAGGTGCGGTGGTTGGAGGAGGAAGCCTGAGGAGAACCACCTTAGTGTTGCTCAGCCTCTCAGTGTAGTGAAAACTACTTGACCCAAGTTCTTGTGAGAGTAAGGTGGGCAGAGCTATTCACGGTGGGTGCTGAGATGCTGCTTGAGCACTAGGGACGCAGGGGCCACCAGGGAGACCCAGTTCCTGCTACCTGAGGAGAGTTTTCCTCCTGCTGCACCCGGGTTGAGGAGATAGGTCTGGGGAGAAACGGAGGAGAAAAAACAGGCTTGTTTCAGGCCGTGTGTCACTGCCGACTGCAGCTTGGAGCGCGCAGAGATAGTGTGCGTGCCAGGACCAGAGCATGTCTTTGCTCCAGTCTTGTGGGGTACGTGTACTTAGCAGAGTAGCCCAGTCCCTGCCAGCAACTGTATGACAGGGTGCTGTGTGGTAGCATGTTAAAGTCATAGTAGTCTGGTGCCTGCTCTCCTCCCTCACTGGCTTTGTGTTTGTTTGGGGAGGTCTGCTTCTTTGAACCTCAGTTTTTCATGCTGAATCTTCACACAAGGCCAGTGTTGGGACCGCTGGACAGTTCCAAACACCAGCATCTCTGCTTCCTCCTAGGAGCCAGCTGCTAAGCCTGATAAAAAGGTTTCCGTCCCATCAGGCCAGATCGGTGGCCCCATCGCTCTGCCTTCTGAGCTGCAGGGAGGAAGCTTGAGCATGGGGGCTGTGAACAGGGAGCTCTCCTCCCAGGCCTCCGGCAGCCTGGCAAATCCCGTGCCCATCGACCTGGAGGACTCATTGGATGAGGACTTACTCCAAAACTCAGCCTCCTCACTGGAAGCCATGTCCAAGGAGCTGGCTACGCTGAATAGCAGAGCCAGTGGGGGCTCTGAATTCACATTGCCTGCACCCTCAAAGGCACCTGCAGAAAAGGTCGCAGGTGTTTCAGGCACGGAAGAGAAAAGGAACTTTGCAAAGCCCAGCCCTTCTGCTCCACCACCCTCTAGCTCACTGCAGTCGCCCCTCAATCTTCTGGCTGAACAGGCTCTGGCCCTGGGGCAGTCCTCTCAGGAGAAAAAACCAGAGAGTTCTGGCCACAAAGAGCCGTCCTGCCAGGCTCTGCTCAGCAAGAGCCTGCCAGAAGCACACCAGCCCAAAGCCAAGCACCACAGCCTGCCACGGACGCCCCATGGGCCGCAGGCAGTGGCACCAGTGCCCAGCCCCCAGGTGAAAGTGTTCCACGCAGGCTCGCAGCAGCAGAAAAGCTTCACGCCCCCAGCTCCGTTTGTCAACAAGCTCCCAGGCCCAAAGGCGTCCTCCCCACAGTGCCATCGCTCCCTGCTCCAGCTGGTGAAGACCATGACCAAAGGCCAGAGCTCTCATCCCTCCCTGTCAGCCGCCTCTGGCAGCGCTCTGGCCTCCAGCAGTGGCAGCTCTCACAAGAGCCCAGCCTCGTCCTCCACGTCCCTGAGCCATGCAGTGAAACAGCACTCAGCCAGCCCGTTGGGGCCACCGCCATACAAGAACAGTGCCTTTGCTGGCTCCATCTCCAAGCACGTGGCTTCTTCCAGCAGTTCTGTGTCTGGAGGAACGCCAGCCCAGAGCTCTTCTTCTGGGAACTTGCTCCCAGGCACACAGCCTCCCTCCACGGGACAGTCGGCCAGCCGGCCAGTCCCCAGTTCAGCAGTGAAGAAGCCTCCCATTTCCCAGAAGCTAACCCTGGTGGCACCACCAGGGGGTCCAAACGGAGACTCGAGTGGTGGGACCCAGGGGGTGGCGAAGTTGCTGACCTCCTCCCTGAAGCCCACCGTGGTCAGTAGTGTGACATCGTCTACCTCCTTGCCAGTGAGTACCCTGGGGACAGCACGCCCTTCCAGTGTCCAGGGGATGGGGCTGCTGCCTTGCTCTGATGGGAGAAGGGGGCCTGGAAAGAAGGTTGGGTGGGGTCAGTGAGCTTGGAGTTGGGGGGGGGGGACCACACTTCCTGGTGGCAGGGATCCAGGGGAGCCTGAGGCTTCTCTTGGGAATGAAGAGCAAGTGTGAGGACCAGTCAGCACCCCAGCCTATGGGGGAGGTCGGCCTGGGAGGAACTGACGGAGCCACACACCCTCCATCCTGCCCACCTCTCCAAACAAGTGAAGGAAACTACCGTTAGCTGTGTGGGATGCTCGTGGCCCAGGAACTTGCCCTTTCTAAGGGTGAGTCTGCGGTTCCTGAAGGCGCCTGCAGCAGGTCAGCCGAGGGTGCCTTGGCCCAGTCCAGCCACACAGCTGCCTCACCTGGAGCTGGGAAGCAGGTGGAGGAGGTGGGGGAGGGCCTTTGTTTTTCCCTTTCCTTTTTCCAATATGTAAACCAGCGATCTGGTTGAAAGACGAAATTGTAGAAAACTATGTTCAGAGAAGGCTTGTTTCTCTCACTCTGTTCACCCCTACCCCACCCTGAGGTAACTGTTTCCATTGCTTTATTTCTCATTTAGTGTATTTCACTGGTTATCCTTTTATTATTATTCTTTTTAATAAACAAAGATTGATAATATATATAGATAGATAGGTCTGGTTGTATGTATGTGTATATCCATGTGTGTGTATGTAAGTGTATACATACACACACATTCACATATGTGGAGATTTGCACCTTTGTGGATATCTGTAAGGAGCCTGGTGGCACAGCAGCCAAGCATTTAACTGCTAACCCAAAGGTTGGTGGTTTGAACTCAGCAGCAGTTCCATGGGAGAAAGATGTAGCAGTCTGCTTCTCCAAAGATGGACAGCCTAGGAAAGATGCCCTAGCCGTCAGCTCTGCTCTGTCCTGTGGGGTCGCTATGAGTCAGAAAAGACTTGAGGGCAACAGGTTTCTTGTTTTGTATGTATACTATTCTTCCTTTTCCTTCATACACAAAGGAGTCATATTGAACACCCAGATTTTGAAATCCACACTCTGTCCGGGAGTCCCTTCCTCCCCTCTCCTTGTGGCTGCAGAGCAAGAGGGGCCCTGGGTAAGAGGCGCTGGACTCGCGGGTGGTTTTGACTGTTGGCTGTGCTTCCTCCCCAGAAAGGAACCAGCGGGGCCATGCTGCTGACCAGCACCTCGCCCTTAAACCTGCTGTCTCCGTCCTACAAGCCCAGTAGCCCCAAGTTGCCTGGGGCCATGAACTCAAACTCGCTGGGCGTCATCGGCTCTGTGCCGTTTCCTGTCCACGTGCTCTCCTTCCCTGCTGACCCCACTGCCAAAGCAGGGGTCTCCAAGGATGCCATCGTCACAGGCCCCGCCCCTGGGACCTTCCACCACGGCCTCAGCCACAGTAGGTCTTCCCTTTCTCTCCATCACTGTGTGCTGTGATTCATGTTTGTGTCTCTGGTGTGTGGCCACGGGGACGTTCTCTGGGCGCCGTGCTGAGCCCCTGACCCAGTGCTGGTCCCAGAGGCCCTCAGGGCTCTTGGCAGCTGAAGTGGCCTTCCGTTCTGTCTTCAATGTGTGTGTTTTGTTCTCTCCCCTCCTGTTTTCTCTTAGGTCTTCTGGCTGGCTTGCACTCCAGCCCACACCCTGCAGCGCCCCTTCCACACGCTGCCCTGTCCACCCATAGCCCGCAGAGCCTGCCAGGTAATGGCCGATGGCCCGTCTGTCCTGTGCACTGTGCGTCATGCTTGTCTGTGCCAGGTGTTGCAGTGTCTTCGCCTCGTCGTCACTGTGCTGTCTTCTGGGCTTTCCCTGCGAGGCTCTGGCTCTGCGGGTGCAGGGGTGACGGCCATGCCTTCCCTGTGAGGCTCTGGCTCTGTGGGGTGCAGGGGTGACGGCCATGCTTGCCCTGCGAGCCTCTGGCTCTGGGGTGCAGGGATGACAGCCATGCTTTGCCACTGGGACTTTTTCACTGGTCCCCACCTTGGACTGTCACTGGGTCACCCTTGTTTCTTAGATTGTTGCCCTTGTGAACAAAAGTTGTTGTCACAGAGGAAGCTGTGGCCTGAGGAGGCGGCAGAGGAGCTCCCAGCCCTCAGCTCTTACTCTTTTTTTTTTAATAAAGAGTAGCGGGGCCATGGTGTGTCTGTCCTCAGGGCCAGTTGAGGCACTGTGAGGCTTTAAATTCAAGCCGTTAAGTCCTCTGTGAGGTGCTCTGAACTTAGTTTAAATAAGAGGGAAAGTCCAAACAGCAGAGGGAGGGGACGGGGCGGCTCAGGAGGGCACAGGAAGTTCCAACGCTGGCTGAGGTCTGAGGAGCAGCTTCGGATTCAGTTCGGATGGAAGGCCTGAGATGTGCACGCGGTGGGGAGCATGGCTGGGGCCCGCACGTTCCCTCTCCTGAGGCGTGGCAGCCTGGGGCAGTCAGGAGCCTCGCAGTCCTGGGCGCCGACACCCAGGCAGCGCGTGAGAAGACAGCACCTGGCTGTCCCAGCTGGCTCCTGTGATGCGATTCGCCTGTCCTCGCGAGAGCCTGGTTCTCAACACGCCCTAGGTGTGCAGCTGGTGCTCAGCCTCGTGGGGTTTGTTGGAACTCCTGTTTTGCTCACTGCTCTACACCTGCTCCCCAAACGACTGGGAGTTGCTGCTCTTAGAGTGGATCCCCAGGTACCACCGGTGCGCTTGAGAGACCCCAGGCACGAGCGGGTGGCAGCCTTGAGCTGTCTGCCTCTAACTGTCGTGTCACTTTGTGCCTGTCCTGGGGTGTGGGCTCTTCAGCTCCCATGTGGCAGTCAGGGAGGGGAGTGTGCCGTCCCAGCAATGCCGGGCCCACTGCTGGTGGGAATCTCCCATGTGAAGGTTCTGCCTCTCCCAGGAAGCCCACTGAGGGCTGAGTTGTGCCTGTAGCCTCTCTTCTCTCTGGAGAAGCAGTAACCTGCAGCTGCTGGCCCCACACATGGGACGCCCTAGAATCAGAATGTAACATAGGGATGACGGTACTGCCTAGGTGGGTGCCTGTCGCTGTAGAGGTTGCACAGCCTCTGCTTGCTTTGGGAACGTCAGCTTTTCTGAGGAGAGAAACAAAATCATCAAAGAGCTGCTGGCTACATTGCTGCTTATTTGTGGTATGTTTAGTTTTTTTCTAAAAAACCAAAGATTGTTTGGTTTATACCATTTTTTACCCCAAAGCCCCAGCTCTGCCTTATGGTGGGCAGAGCTGGGTATTAAAAAGCTATCAGAAGAGCAGTGATGCTAACACAGGTTGTCTGAGGCAGTGGTATCTTGTTGGGCTGTGCTCAGGTTGTAGGTTTAAAGCAAGTGGCTGTCAGTGGAAAGGCGCCTGCTCGTCTCAGCTCTGTGACTGTGTTGGCTGTGCCTCCTCTCTTTGCTGTCACTCACTGCACCAGTGCCCTGGCAACTCTGTCTCCATAGGCCCAGAGGAGCCTTGGATGGGAAGAGAATGATCACTGCTGCCTTGAGTTCTGGGTGACAGCCAGGCCTGCCATCGGCTGCTTATTGCAGCTGGAGGACTGAGTGGCCCGGGTCACCCTGAGGGTCACTGCTCTGAGTGCCCATCTTCACGTTGCTCAGTGCCATGTGTGCAGACAGCAACTGCTGGCGCTTTCTGGCCTGTGCCTTAGCACACTCAGCCTTCGGGGCCCTTTGCACAACCCGAGATCCTGAAGGTCGGTCGTGTGTTCTTTCTGGTTTACTCTTTTCCAGATGCATCTCAGCTTCATGGGAAAGGGCCTGGTGTACCACGGAAATTGTGACCTCTTCGCCAGAAGATTTGACCAGCGTAGGTCTGGGTGGAGCCGGAGCGTGTAGGGCTCAGAAACCACATTGTCTGTGCTCCTTCTGTAAACTGGCTTTCTTACGGAGAAGGCGTGAGTCGTAAGGGAGCCAGTCTGGGCGCAGTGACGCTCCCACTTAGGGAGCAGCCCACGGTCCTCCAGAAGCACTTATGCACCTGGTGCTCAGGCCTCACTGCTGGGTCCCCGGACGGTCGTCGGGGTGTACTGGGCCCTGTGTGAGCCATGCTGACCAGCCAGTGGTAAGGCACATGAGCGTGCACACCTGTGTTTCCAGTCTGCCTGACCCTTTGCCTTCGGTCAGAGTACCTCATGGTGTCCTAGTGGACAGGGCTCCTGGCCACAGTGGAATCCCTGGCATGGCTATGGTGTCCATCCACCTACCCTCAGGCCATGTACTCGACAGAAGCCCGGGCTGAAGCCGCAGCAGGGAGACGACTGGTCCCTAGGAAAATGCTGAGAACAGTGGGTGTGTGCCCATTGGGGGCCGGTGTCTCCTCCAAGCCCACAGAGTGGCTCTCAGAGCAAAGACCTTTGTAGATTCAACCCTCGTGACAGGATTTCTAAAGAGACTTCGTTTCGGCTGTTTTCATCGTCCCCGTGAATGCATCAGATGGAGTGGGACTGTGGCTCGCATGTCATGTAGGAAGACATAATCCCAGTGCCTTTATGGTGGAGCAGAACCCGACCGCGTGTCCATCTCAGCCCTGCACACGTCTCAGACGAGTCCTTTTGAAAGATGTGTCTGTAGTCCAGATGTAGCCAGTTTGATTTTTAACAGTTGCACATCATAGTATGTGCTGACCTGACTGGAAGGTCATGTGGCCCCAAACCCAGTTTTCCTTTGAGCCTGGGCCCCAGCTCCGAATTCCTAGAGTTTATGTAGATGGACTCCAGAGCCCCAAAGCCTGCCTTATAGTGGCCAGAAGGGATGAGGGGTTTCATGTCACAGGAGACCATTCCACTTAGTTCTCTTCTTAGAAAGCACTTAGGCGGAGCTGCAGTCAGGCCCAGGAAGTGTCTGTCCTGTAAACACAGGCCTTGCCGCCCTGAGGCTCCCAGGGGGTAGGGCCGTGCATTCCCTGAAGGGTAACACGGGGATGAGCTTGGAGAGTAAGTCAGAGACAGACAAGGGCGGTCCTCCCAGATCCCAGGGCACTAAGCTGTCCGTGCTCGGCTGGTGGCACTTCCCAGGTGTTTGAGCACAGCCTGTGCCGGCTGCGCCGTGGGCGTGTCGGGCCGGCTGCGCCAGCGAGGCTGCGGCCCAGTGGTCAGCGCGCAGCCTCCTCAGAACGCCCCCCCGTGAGAACATGGTAGCCGCTCGTGCTGACCCGGGACTCGCGCTCAGCGATTCGCCGCTGTGCAGAGGCATGCTGGCCTCTCACAGCTGCCCTCCTGGGGAGCCAGGCCTGTGTCAGCTCTGGGCCAGCCCTCTGCTTTTTTTCAATGTGGGCTTTGCATTGGGCTAAGTGGATACCTTATCCCTTTGTAATACTTTTTGAAATTTGGATTCCAGTTTGTTTACAGAATAGTCTTAGGTAGTAGCAAAAGAGCCAAAGAAGAGATTTGTGTTGGTGAGCTCAGAGCCGCGGGGAAGGCTACGCAGCGCAGGTTCTCCAGGCTCGTGCGCCACGAGCCCCTGGCGTGGTCCTGCCCTCCTGCACGCGCTCCCCGGTACCGTCCAGGGCAGCCCGAGCGAAGACCCTCCGTTTTAGGAATCTAGCGATGCCTCTTGCCTCAGGGAAATGTTTCTTGATGGGGAGTTTGAGATTTCTTTTTCTTGTTGACGCTTTATTTGTGGGAGCGGGAGAGTGGGTGACTTAAAAGCCACAGCAAGGCAGAACTGCAGGCCACAGCTCACGGAAGGTGGCGGCTCTGGCCAGGGGCCGTGGTGGTTCCTCGGCACTGCCCTTTCTGAGGAGTCAGAGGGCTGTGGCTTTTATGCAGCAATTATGATGATGTTGGTGTTGTTAGGGGGTGGTGTGGAAGTTGTTAATCTTGTATAAAGTAACTGAATAAATTGTTTCAAGGTTTCCAAGACATGTTCTCCCTTTTTTCTTTTTTTGCTTTTACCTTATTTGCGAGTAATCCTCCTGCAGGAGCCGTTCTGTATGTAAACAGCCTTGTGATAGCTGTTTTGGCCAAAGCCAAGAGGGAGTGTGAATGTGGGGGACACATGCTTCATGTTTCAAAAGAGGAAGAACACGCTACAGTGAAATGAGAATCAAGCCAGCAGGTTTTATTTTGCACTATAAATAGAGCCCCCATACTGCCATTTTCTTACGTAATACACGGCTACAGAGAACCAGAAGCTCGGTGGGTGAAGGTCCACTGTATTGTGTACTAAATACCCATGAGATAAGCAAGACTTGTAAGGCACTGAGATGCAGGCTAAGAGCAACCATCCACTATTGATTCTTGTCATTTCAGAACCACAGGACATTGTCTGGGGCGTTTTCCAGGGACATGTGGCTGACAGTTCACAGCTGCTGTGCGTGTGCTCGGTTAGTCTCCCTCCGCCTTTGCTGCCAGAGGGCCCAGCTGAACCTCGTGAGCAGGGTCACTGTAGGAGGCAGCTCTGACGAACAGCTGGTTCTTGGCCAGAAACCTGGGGAAGTGAGTGCTGGTTGGGACCCAGGTGGCCCAGTCCCTGGGAGAAGGGAAAGGTGCGGAGGAGGAGGACCCCTCTGCCCTTGAGCACGGCCATTCAGTGTGCCAGGCCTGTGCCCTGTGGAGCGGGTTCGTCCACCCTGGTCATCTTGGGCTTTGGTAGGTTTTGAACTGTTTGCAGGTGTCACACAAGGAGTCTGATGAAGAGAGTGTGTGGGAAGGAGGAAAAGGAAGGGCATCGTGGCCATTAGATCACTCAGGGTGCAGCGGGTCACCACCTGGTGGGATGGCAAGTTGAACATGAGTCACCATCCACGAGTCGTGCTCTGAGCAGCTTGGTGGTGAGGCGTGGGTATGTGCAGTTGCAGAAGGGCATGGTGCAGGTGGGGTACAGGGAGAAGACAGAGTGCTGGATAGGAGGCGGCCAGCACTGCAGCCAAGAGGAGACTGGCGGACGTGCCAGGCCTACTTCTGTCCAGACACCAGGACAGCCAACTCCTGGATGGACATGTCCTTGTTGACATAGCGGTCATACTGGGCAGGGTTCAGCCGGCCACTCTGGAGGGCCTCCTCTATGGAGAACTTCTTGCCAGACTTCCTGTCGTGGATCACTGAGGACTCCCCGTTGGGGCCCTTTACTGATATCTCCTCCCAGTCACACTCCTGGTTCCGTAGCTTCACAAACATGTTCCAGTCGATGAGGCCCGCCCGCCGGGCCTCCTCCGGGGACAGCTCGCGGCCCGTGTCAGGGTCGATGACCACGATGGAGCGCCGTAGGTGGTTCTCCCGCTGCTCCCGCTTGACGGCCACGCTCCCCAAGCGCCTCTGCAACTCGTTGATCTCGACATCCTTGTCCTTGGAGAGCTTCTTCAGTTCTTCCAGCTCTCGCTCCAGGGACCACAGCCTGGAGTCCAGGCCGGGCCCAGCATCTACGGCAGACGGGCTTCCTAGGTCCTGCTTCTCCATCGCCACCATCTCGATCTCTGCCTGCAGCCGCCTGGCCTCCAGCTGCAGGTTCTGCCGCTCCAGCTGCAGCCTGTGGTTCTCCTCCCTCAGCAGGTCCAGCTCCTTGGACGACTTGGAGTTGTGGAATTCCAGCTCGGCCAGCTTGGCCTCCAGCCGGCTCACCTCTGCGTCCAGCTGCCGTTTGCTCCTGCTCTCCTCTTCCATGCTGCCCTTGAGCTTCTGGATCTCGCGCTCCATGTCCCCCTTCTCCACCTGGACGCTCTCGGACAGGACCACCTTCTCCTTGACCTCCATCTTCTCCAGGTGGAGCAGCTTCTTGCGCAGGGTCTCGAGCTCGCTCTCCAGGACCTGCCGCCGGTGCCGCTCCTCCTCCAGCTGAAGCTGGAGGAGGGCGTGCTCGCGGGCCTGCTGGGGGTCCGGCTGCAGGACCACCTTCTGCTTGCGGGTGACCTTCTCTCGAGCCTCGCTCTCCTCCTCCTCCTCCAGGCTGGCCAGCCGCTGCCTGAGGCGCTGCACCTCGAGCTCGGCCTCCCTGCGTGCCTGCCTCTCGCGCTCCAGCTCCTCCAGCTGCCGCTCAAGCTCCCCTCGCCGCCGCTGCAGCCGCCGCAGCTCCCCGCGGAGGGTGTCGATCTGCCGGAGCTCCGCGTCGATGCTCTCGGTGAAGGAGTCCACCTCGGCCCGCAAGCCCGGGTCCTCCTCGTATCGAACCACCTCCTGCTGTACCACCCTCTCCTTAACGTGGGCAAGCGCCTCTTCCTTCTCCCTAATCTTCTCCGCCTGCAACGCCCTCTCCCTCTCGAGGTCCACCTGCTGCTTCTGCTCTTCCGACAGCTTGGCCCGCAGAGTCTCCACCTCCTCCTTGGTCTGGGGGTCTTCCTGGAACTGGAGGATCTCCTGGACCACCTCTTTGGTCTGCACCTGGGGCCTGGCGTCTCTCAGGGCCTGGATCTCCTGCTTCAGCTGGTAGATCTCCAGGCCGCACCTCTCGATCAGCCTGGTCTTGTCGACAATCTCCTCCCTGAGCCGCTGCAGCTCCTGCTCCAGCGCGGGGTCTGCCTTGTACTTGATGACCTCTTTGGTCACCTCTTTGACCTCCACCTGGGGGCCTCGCTCGCGGAGCGCCTCCAGCTCGCTCTGGTAGCTCTGTAGCTGCTCCTCGGCGCCCCGGTGCTTCCTCTCCTGCTCCACCAGCTCCAGGCGCAGGTCGGCCACCTCGCTCTCGGCCTTGGGGTCCGGCCGCACGATCTCCCGCACCTTCTCCTGCACCACCACCTTGGCGTTCTCCTCTTCCAAGGCCCATATCTTGCGGAGGAGCTCGGTCTTCTCCCTCTGGTTGGCGTGCGCCCTGGCGGCCTCCTCCTCATACTGGCGTTTGAGGTCGCCGACCTCCCTCTCGGTGGCCAGGTCCCTCTCCACCTTGAGCACCTCCTTGACGGTTATCTTGCCCTCGGCCATGGCCCGCTCCTTCTCCAGCCGCCTCAGCTTGTCCTGCAGGAAGCTGAGCTCCTCTTCCTGCTTTTCCCGCTGCCGGCCCTCCCGCTGCTGCTGCTCCTGCAGCTGCCGGAGCTCGGCCTCCAGCCGGGGGTCATTCTGCAGCTTCACCACCTCCTTCTCCGTGACCTTCTCCCGCACCCTGCTCTTCTCGGCAGCCAGGGCCGTGATGCGCTGCTGCAGCAGGGCCACCTCGGCCTCCCGGGTGCCCTTCTGCCTGCGCAGCTCCTCCAGCTCCCCCCGGAGCCGGAGGACCTCGTCCTCCTGGGCCCGGTCGGGCTCGATGCGCAGCACCTCCTTGACCACGTACTCCTGCCCCGCGCCGGCTCCGGCCTCGCACTCGAGTGCCCGCAGCCGGGCCTGCAGGGCCTCCAGCTCCTCCTGCAGCAGCTGGTTCTCGCGCTGCTCGTCGGCCAGGGTCCGCTGCATCTGCTGGAAGCTGTCCTCCAGCGCGGGGTCCGGGATCTTCTTCAGCACCTCCTTCCTCACCACCGACTCCTGGGGCTCCCGGCTCTGCAGAGTCAGGATCTCCTCCTGGGTACCCCTGACCTCGTTCTCCAGCTGCTGTCGCCGCTGGGTCTCCTCCTCTAGCTCCTTCCTAATCTTCCACGTCTCCGTGGCGCCGGAGCCCGCCTTGCTCCCCCGCAGGGTCTCGGCCACCTGCACTTCTGGCTGCTGGCAGGAAGAAGACAACACACGGTTAAAGGCGAGGTGAGTGGGCAGCCTGTGCCCCGAGGAGAGCTGATCTGGGCCACCTGGGAACAGGTCAGACCGGTTGTCCGGAGACCCTCAAAGGGGAGCCCCACACGCCCTGCCTCTGTTGCCGTATCTAAGGTGACTTTTGGAAAGGGTGCATCGGCTGCCCCGGGTCTCTAAAATGCATCTAGTTATGTACGTTAAAATCATCGAAGTGTTTGGAGCGAAACAGCCGCCTCCCACCTCAGGCCCCATTCCCAGAGGTCCTCGTGTCATCCTCGGAGACAGTTCTGGGCCCATGCAGCGCGTGTGCCCTGTTTACTTCTACACAACTGCACTGAGTACATGGAGGTCATTCCCCAAGGGCCCAGCAAACAGCTTTGTTTTTTCACAGCTAGAGCTTCCACTGTATGGATGGGTGGGCTGTCACTTGCCTAACTAGCCCCTGGCTCATGAATGTGAGGTGCTGCCAGCACCTTGCTGTCACAAACTAATGCCGCTGTAAATGCTACGGACTTTTAAACTCCCGGGCACTTGGCACGTGTTTACTGACTTGAGTCCACAGGAACTGTGGCTTGCCGGGCACTTGCTCAGCTGTGGTCAAGAAACGGCAGTGAGGGGCCGTCCCACGAATTCACAGGCTGTCTTTTTCTCACCCGCTTGTGACAGTGGTTTCAACGGCATCTCTGGCGAGATCGGTTACCTGTCTCAGGAGATTGAGCGCAAACTCCAGATTCTGCAGCCTCTGTCTGTTGACGGCATGGACCTCCGTGAACTTGGCAGCAAGGGCTGCTTCCTGCAGAGAAAGCATTCCTTAGCAGCCCGGTCGGCAAACGGGTCTGCAGGCTAATCAGGGAAGAGCCAGAAAGCACAGACACAGTCAGCCGCAGCGTGTGAAGTCTGGCCTTTGGCTGCTAGAGGGATAGCTGCTGCTTTTTTTTTTTTTTCCTTAAAGATTTCAACATCATTTTATTGTCCAAATAGTTAGGCTATTGCCCCAAAATCACATGTTGAATTGCTTAAATTTACCTCATTCATTTTTTTAAACATTTATTCTGTTGTTGAGAACACACAGCAGAACAAACATCGATTCAGCCGTTTCCACATGGACAGCTCGGTGACCCTGATCCCATTCTCCGGTGGTACAGCCCTTCTGCCCTCCTTTTCTGAGTTATTCCTCGTCCATTAACATCAACTCACAGCCCCCTAAGCTTCCCGGTCTGATCTTTTTGAGTTGCTGGCTGTCAATTTTATTTCATACATAGTTCCTTTTTAATTTGAAGTTCATTTCGATGTCATCATTTATTTTATTTTTGTTGCTGAGAATATACACTGACCACACTACTAAGTCTTTTCTTGTATAATTCATTGACATTGATTGTGTTGTGCAACCATTCTCGCCCTCCTTTTCCAAACCGTCCCTCCATCGACATCACGGCCATCGACACTTTCTATCTCATTTCTGGCACTGCTATTGTCACTTTGATCCCATACAGATAGTTCTTCAAAGAGCATGACGCTGAAGGCAGACACAGCTCGTTTGTCTCTAATACCACCTCTATCATACCAAAATTTCCCCAGTCTGAATGTAGTTGATAACTCAATGCTGTTCCATTCCTTTGGTTATCTGGGACCCAATACCTCAGTTTTAATGTGCGTGGCTCTACGCTGTGTTTTACAAAATCTGATCGTCGTTAAGAGTGGGGGGATGTGCCTGGGCCCCACTATAGTTTCGTGTTCTGGAGAACAGGTGGATTCAGAGCCAGAAGACCCAGGTGCACTCTTGGCCCCAGGACTTCAACCCAGGCTCTCTGCCTCTTGTGAACCTTCACTGTCAAGTGCCTGGAAAGCTAGTCACGTCTGTCCTCCTCCTATTGCTTCACAAGGGGTACCAAAGTGGGGCCTCTCAGATCCAGGGCCGCCCTGGCCCTGGGGGTGGTACTGCCCTCGAGTGACCTCATTCTTCTTCTCCCAGACCTACCTGCACCCGGGAGGGGGTTCACATGGCTTCTCTCCCTGCTGTGTGTGCATCTCAGGGCCTGCCTGCAGTGGCCTGGGGAGCCGGGAAGGGCCTGCCAGACACCTTCCCTACTCTATGTGCAACTCAGGGCCTGCCTGCAGAGGCCTGGGGAGCTGGGCAAGGCTCCCCCAGACACCTTCCCTTCTGTGTGTGCATCTCAGGGCCTGCCTGCAGTGCCCTGGGGAGTTGGGCAGGGCCCACCCCACCTACAGCAGTCAGACACCCACAGAGCTCACCTCTTCCTTCACTCTGGCGGCTGGAGACTGGAGCCTGGCTCTCTTGCTTGCATGGGTGTTCCTTCCACTCTCCAGGTCGAGCAGGGACCTCAGTTTCTCGGCTTCTAACTCGTAGTCCTGGGTGAGAAAGCATTCCAGAGGGGAGACAAGGCTGCTGAGACGAGACCAGCACGTTCTCCCACCCTTCCTACTGACCCAAGACCAGGCCTCGGCCACGGGGGTCCCAGCCTTCACTGTGCCACTTGGTAATCCACATGGGTGGTTCTCCCAGCAGCACCCTTCACTACCGCCCAGGAGAGGCTGAAAATGATCCCTGCGGCTGCGGGCTCAGTGACACTGCTGAGCAACATGCAAGATGAAGGAGAGGACTCCCCTCAAGCCCTCCCACCCCCCATTCCTGCCCTGACCTTTCCCACATGCCTGGGGGTGCTCACATCCTGCTTACTCTAGAAAAACTCAAATCCACGGCCATGGAGTCCACATTCTGACTCACAGCACCCCTACAGGACAGGGTAGCATTGTCCCACAGGGTTTCCAAGGCTATAAATCTTTACGGAAGCAGACCGCTTGTCTTTCTCCTGTGGGTTTGAACCGCCAACCTTTTGGTTAGTGGGACAATGTGCCACCAAAGCTCCCTGCTTTCTCCAAAGCAGGCGTCAAACCTGACGCCTTTTCTCATGTTGCCACCACCTAACCTTTGTGTCCACCAACTTGAAACTGTCATAATCCACCTAGTGGACGTGATGATTCACCTGACCGCTCCTCCACTACTGGGCAGTTAGGTTATTTCCGGCCTGTTCTTGTATTTTTGTTTCTTGTTTGCTGTGATGAAAACTGCTCTTACAACCATTTTGTTTACCCTGCCTTGTGGCATAGTGCCTAAGGCATTTGACTGCTAACCAGAGGGCTGGCGGGTCAAACCCACAAGCCACTCCTTAGAAGGAAGATTGGGCAATTTACTTCCATAGAGATACTACCTCAGAAACCCAAGGAGGGGCCTCTATGAGTCGGATCCGACTTGATGGCTGTGAGTTTGGGTTTTTTGAGGGCCTTGTTCTTTGGCACTTCTTTCTTTAGGGTAGATCTCCCCAAAGAGTTTACCAGTGTGCGCAAAGCCTATAAACCCTTTTGTGGCCTTTGGTGCCATGTGCAGTGCCACCAGCACGGTGGGGGCCTGCCGGAGTCGTATGCCGCTCCGAGCTTGCACGGCACAGAGCTCGCACAGCATACAGAGGGCCCCTGCTGGTGGGTGATGGGCTGAAGTCCTGTGTCTCACCTTCACGGCCTGCTGGTACTGCTGGGAGTCGGCAGAGACCTTCTGTACTTCCTGCTCCCTGCTGGCGATTTCATCCAGCAGGTTCTGTAAAACAACAGGGATTTTAAAAATCAAAAAGAAAACAAAACAACGCCAAAAAAAAAAAAAACCCTCTTGATAGAGTAGCTGGATTCCTCAGAGTCTGAAGTTATTCTCTCTTGCATGAAGTATGCTTCATGGTGGTGAAGCTTGCCTGCAAACCAAAAGGTTGGCAGTTCGAACCCACCAGCCTACTCTTCAGGAGAAACAAATGGCAGTCAGCTCCCGTATAAAGATTATAGCCTGGGAAACCCAACGGGGCAGTTGTGCTCTGCCCTCCAGGGCTGCCGGGAGTCGAGTCAACATGCATTCCTTGCATTCGTGTGTTCAAATGAAAGTCATCCCTGAGGCACAGTGAACATGGGCCAGGAAGATGTGCCAACAAACTCATCTTCTAACTGTTCGGACATCTTAAATCATCTCTTTCAATCTTCAGATAGTCCTCTGGGGTCAGCACCATCTCCAGCTGCGAATGGGGAAGCTGAGGCACAGTGAGGGTAAGTAACTTGCTCGTGGGGACTCAGCTAACGAGTGCTGGAGCCAGGCTCTGCGTCTAGGCCATGGGATCCCAGTGCTCAACCCCAAGGCACTGCTGCCACCTGAGAAGGCAGGACTCCAAGCTCTGGAAACAGGAGACTTTCGCCACAGGGGCCACTCTTGTGTTTCTGTGCCACTCAGCCAGGCTTCACCTAGTGTCTGTGGGGCTAGGCCCTGTGCTGGACACAGAGCACAGGGGAATGCGTGAACACGATTCCAGTCTCAGTGAGGCGCCAGGAGCCAAGGAGGACCAAAGTTCATGAGGACAGTTGAGCCAGGTTCTGCCTTGCTCCTGCCAAGGCCATCGGCCACCACTGTTTGCCCCACTTCCCGAGGATGTAGCTCCCCTCCATGAGAGGGGCTTGTTGGCCTCTGATCCTGCCCCCCCGTTGCCATAGTACCTGTGCAAAAGCAGCCGCCCTACCTTCTGATTCTTCAGCTTGGTCTCCATCTGGCTGAGGCTGTCCGTCTCCTGGGGCTCATAACTGGGGATGTTGGACAGGAACTGGAACATGTGGTCATAGCCACTGCGGTAGTTGTCGTAAGAAGCCTTGGCGTTCTGTAGGCTCTGGGACCTATGGGAGAAAAAGCTGCTTAGGCCTCTGCCACGGGGAGTAGATACCTCACTGGAAGCCACCTCTACTCATTTCTTCAAGAGGGAAGAAAAGCTCATTTAAGTGGGACTAACCTAAGCTTTTACCAGAAAGCGATCAGTTTACTATGTTATGGAATGCTAAGTTGGAGCACTCACAGCATCCGTAAAGAACAGGGTAGGTCTACGTGCTGTTGTTGTTAGGTGCCATCAAGTAGGCTCTGACTCAGTGAGCCTGTGTGCAACAGAACGAAACACTGCCTGCTCCTGCGCCAGCCTCAAAATACTTGCTACACCTGAGCCCATCATTGCAGCCACTGTGTCTGTCCATCTTGTTGAGGGCCTTCCTCTTTTTTGCTGACCCTCCACTTTACCAAGCATGATATCCTTCTCCAAGGAATGGTCCTTTCTGACAACGTGACCAAAGTAGGTGAGATAAAGTCTGGTCGTTCTCGCCTCCAAGGAGCATTCCAGCTGCACTTCTTCCAGGATGGATCTGTTAGTTCTTCTGGCAGTCCATGGTACTTTCAGTATTCTTCACCAACACCACAACTCAAAACCATTGACTCTTCAGTCTTCCTTATTCGTTGTCCAGCTGTCACATGCATATGAGGTGAATGAAAGTTATCTTGGCTTGGGATAGGAACACCTTAGTCTTCAAAGAGACAACTTTGCTCTTCAGCACTTTAAAGAGGTCTTTTGCAGCAGATTTGCCCAGTGCAATACATCGTACTGACTTAGAACAATAGCCACAGTACAGCGAGGGTCTAAAATACATCATGAATCAAAGGAGAAATCATAAAGTAAAACTGGGAAATCTTTGGAACTCTTGGAAAATAAAAACACCTCGATTTGTGATACGCATCTAATGCAGCACTTAGAGGAAAATGCATAGCATTAAAATGCTTATCAGAAAAGAAGAAACATCTTAATCTCAGGTTCCACTTTCAAAAAGAAAAAGAACAAGTCACAAAGAGCAGAAATCAATGAAACAGGAAGCTAAGATGACTGGAACCAAAACCTATTTCTCTGAAACAATCTTTTTGAATCTGATATACACCACACACAGACTGACTCAAGAATAAAAGCTATAAACTCAGTAACAAAAAAGGTAATGAGAATGAGAGAGGGGATAATCCCTCAGCTCCTGCAGATATTAAAAGGATAAGTGTATCATGGACAACTTTATGCCAATAAATCCAACTTGGGAAGAGGGGACTGACTGATCATTGTTTAACTTTCTTACTGTGTTATTTAGATGAAATGAACAAATTCCTTGAAAGACACAAACTACCGAAGTTAATGCAAGAACAATTAGGTGACCCGAATGGTCTTCTATCTATTACAGATTGAATCTGTACTTAAATACCTTCCCACAGAAAAAACCACAGGCCCAGATGGCTTCATGGGTGCTTTCCACCAAGCATTTAAGGAAGGAAGGAAAACTCGATTCAACACAAACTCTTCCAGGAAACAAGAGGAATGAACTCTGAGTGACTCATTTTATGAGGTCAGCGCAGTCTATGAGAGAAGTAACAAAACACAGTATATATATATATATGGTACAGTGTCATCCACATGCTACCTGTCTGTCCATCCATCGACCGATATGAGCATCCCTGCTCGTACAGCATATCTTAGGGAAGATACACAAGGACCCGGTAACCCTCTCACCTTGAGAGGAGGGGACCGACTGATCATTGTTTGACTTTCTTACTGTGTTACTTTCTTCAAGAAGAAATTACTCAGAGAACAAAACAAACAGCCTTCACCAGGTTCAGGAGGAGCACCAGCTGCCAGGCTGACCCACTCAGCCCGCCACCCCCGCCCTCGGCCGACTCACCCACCTGTGGTCAATCTGCTGGTGCAGGTTGTCGAAATGCTGGCTAAGCCTGTGGACCTCAGCCTCTTGGCGCTCGAGGTCGGGACAGTGCTCCTGGAAGCGGCTGGCCAGTGAGCTTGAGCACTGCTTGGCTGTCTGCAGGTTCCGCTCGGCCTCTCCCAGGAGGGGCTTCTTGGCCTGTAGCTCTGAGGCCATGGCCTGAGCAGGCAGGGAGGAAAGACGGATAGGTGCTGTAACCAAAGCTGCTGGCGCCCAGGGCAAGCACTCTGCTCGACATGCTGGGGACCCACAGAAGCCTCTGGGCCTCTCCTCAACCTTGGGGGCCATTCCTGCTGCGTTCTGAGGGAGACTCAGGAGGCACAGGGCCTGCGGGAATGCCGTGGAAGGAGAGAGCCACTCCTCCTCTCAGCTGACGTGCCATGTGGACACATGGGCCAGATCAGCTGTTCGGCGAGGCGCTAGAAATCTGCGTGTTTCCTTGGACCTCTGATTTCTGGAGTCACAGGCCCCATGAACAGCTGGGATCTGGGCTGTCGGCCTCTACTTTGCACCTTCCAGTTGGACGCTCTGGAGGCTTTCCCAAAGAAGCCCTGGTGGGGCAACAGTTAAGTGCTCATTAAGAACTGAAAGGTGCACAGTTCAAACCCGCTCCTCTGGAGCGGAGACCTGGTGACGGGCTCCCGTAAAGATGGCAGCCTAGGAAACCCTTTGGAGCCATTCTACTCTGTCACATGGGTCACCACGAGTCAGAACGGACTGGATGGCAGTGGGTTTGGTTTGGGTTTCAGGTATCCCCAAGACGAACAGACTCGCCACTGTGGTAACTGGGGGCCTCAGTTTCCCCTTCTGCCAGGGAGGTGGGGGGAGAGCATATATCATATAGTTCTGTCATGGAGGTGGGGGACAGCATATGCCAGATAGAGCAGGGCTCCCCGACTCACAGCTAGCTGCTGCCTCTTGTCATCCAGGGCGCGGCCACCCTCAGGCATCGTGTCATCCTGGGTCAGCTGGCTCTCGTATGTGGCCAGTAGCTCTCGGCACTGCTGCAGGCTCTTCTCCAGTCGGTTGGCAATGTCAACCCTGAATACAGTGGTCAGGATTGAGGGGTGCCCTCCTAGCCTCTGCCCACTGCCCCGGCCTCCCGCTGACGGCCTGCCACCCACTTTTCCTGGGCCAAATTCAGCAGCTGGGCCAGGCGCTCGTATTTGCTGTTGGTGTCGTCCACCCGGGTCCGGAGCAGGGGCACACTGCTGCTGCCCGGGAGGGCCTGGATGAAGGTCTCACACTCGGCCGTGCTCCGCCCCTTCTCAGGCTCGATGCGCAGCAGCTCGTTGGTGATGTTCTGTGGGGACCAGAGCCCCCGGGTCAACACGGGCAGCCCCCCCCAGGCAGTCCCCACCCTCCACTCCTCCAAGGACACACCCAGGGTGGGCACAAAGTGGGGACCACCATCTGCTAAGAGGGCAGTGGGAGCAGCGGGGAGGCTCAGTGGAAATGCAGAGGCCTGGCCCCACCCCTGGCAGCTGACGATCTGGGGCATCAGCCCAGGAGCCTGCACTATTATTACTACTTTTTTGTCACTATCCATGTCCAATCTTTTTTTAAATTTTTATTGTGATTTGGTGAAAGTTTACAGAGCAAACTCATTTTCCATACAGTAGTTCATACACATTTTGTTTCATGACATTGACTGCAATTCCCCATGATGTCACAGCTCTCATCCGCTCCGTAGTTATCTCTTCCCTGTGTCCTTCTTTCCTGTGCACTCCTGCACCCTGAGCTGTCTCCCTGTGCAAACACTGCCCCTCTGTTCTCCCGTGATTGATTTTCTAAGGAGTGTATCTACCTGATGTAAATGTTCACCCTACACATCTGTCTGTTGTTTGGCTGGAAGCCACAGGAGTGAGTTCAATTCCAGACCTGAAGGGTAACTAGGGCCCAAGTCTCAGGAGGAGCCTGCATCTTAACGAGCACCCAGGGACGCTGCCACAGGTGGACTGGGACTTCCACAGTAATGACAGCAGCCAGCACGTGATACTGCTGAGGAGTCCGTTCTAAGCACCTCACTCTGATGAGCTCAGCTAATCTGCGGGGCAACCCTATGAGGGAGGGACACTAACTGTCCCTATCTGTCTGGGTCCTCAGAGCCTGTGCAGGTGGAAGGGACATCCCTGCTACCGTCATGACGCAGGACTGCTGGTTACGTTGGACCTGCCATGAATGTCCCCAGACCCCCCTGGGGCTGAGACAAGGCCAGCACAGAGCTCCCCTGGGCCCAACCCGGGCCCCTGCCAGGCAGTACCTTGAGGTCCTTGGCCCGCTCGGCACTGTCCTGCACAGCCCGGCCCTGCTCCAGCGGCGGCCGGAGGATGCCAGTGATGGCTTTCTCCTGCCGCTCCAGGTCACGGGCCACCTGGTCCAAGCCAGCCAGTAGCTGCCGCCCCTGCAGGTCAGATGCATCTGCTGGAAGGAAGACCGGGTCAGGGCTGGCCGCAAGGAGTGGAGAGGCCAAGGAGGGACTGGCTGGGCCTCCCCAGCCCCTGCCACCTCCCCCACAGCACAGACCCCGGTCCAGCCCCTCCTGGCCTCCTCCCAGAGCCATGGGCCAGTGCCCAGCACCCACCTCCAGAGTTCTCTGCCTTCAGCACCTCATACCGCTGCTGGAGCGCCCTCTTGCTCCCCGCTGCTTTCTGCCGCACACTCTGGTACTGGCTGCCCAGGCTGGGAGAGCAGAGGCGTGAGCTGGGGCTACGGCACCCGCCCACGCACCCATCCGCTCAGAGGCAGGTTTCTGTGCTTATGAGTGGGGCCCAAGAAGCTGGCCCACGCCAGCTCCCTCCTGTGCCCTTGTACCTGTCGGCCAGAGCCAGGGCCTCAGGGTCAGTGGGGGGGATCATGAAGCAGACGGCTGGGGCAGTCAGCCTGTTCCCAGCACTGTCCGTGAGCTCCCAGTTCTCCCCGCTGTTCTTCTGTAGGGTGTAGCTGTAGCCCCGGGAGATCAGGCCCTGGAGAGCACAGGCAGGCCATGCGGTCAGAAGACACAAGGCCCGCCTGGGCTCACACTAACTCCCCACCCGCCCCCTCACTCTCAGACCGGGGGAGTCTTCCCCTGTGTCTCAGATATGCCTAAGACATGTCACCATGTAGAGGGCTGTGAGTAGACGTCAGGGGACCTGCCAGTCCAGCACCTCACCTTGATCTCCTTTTGGGGAACCCCGCCCCCCCCCACAGTCCCAGTCCATGACAACTCTGGGTAGACATGGAACTCAGGGCTGGCCCAAGGGAGAGCTGTGTCCCAGCCACAGTGGTTGGTTTAGAGTGGATCCATGACTCAAACTGGGCCAATGAGCACCTTCCTTGGGACTCTAGGGGAATCGCTGCGCCTGCTGTGCTGGGAAAGCTAAGGCCAGGACAGCTGGGGGGTGGCTACATCTATCCCATGAGAGCGACGCTGACGTGGGCGTGGCTCGGGCTCCTGTGTGTCACTGGAGGACCTGGATGCAGCCGGACTGCTGAGACTTCCAGTGCCACGACAGCAGCAGGTCTGGCCCGAGGGGCACGGCTCACCTCGTCACTCTCAAAATCACAGAGCGCCTCCACAGGGATGGGCTTGAGCGGCGTCTCCCGTCGGTACTTGAGGGGCACCACCTGCCGCCCTCGCTGCTGCAGGCCCCGCACCACGTCCTCGTACTTGTCCAGCGCCTTCTCCTGGTCCTGACGGAGCAGGGCGAGCCGCCTGAGACCCCAGCCTCCCCAGGACGGAAGGGTCGGGGACAGGGGCCCCCATCACTCACGTCCAGCTCCCGCAGCAGCATCTCGATCTGGTACCGGTCCTTGAAGTCGGGGCTGTATTTCTGGTTCAGGTCCGAGTCCACTTTCCGTAACAGCTCCTGGGCGTCCTTCACGTCTTTGTGGAACTAGAGGACCAGGTGGCCTCATTACAGACAGGAAAGCTTAGATGCCCCTGGAGCTTCTCCTGGCGCTGGCTTCAGGCTTCAGTCCTGGGGGCTCCTACTCCCCTGACCCACAGGGCCCCGCCCCACCAGTCCTCTGACGCTGCCTCTCCCACGCATCACGTTCTCAAATCTCTACTGTGAGCTCTGGCTCTCTTCCCCACCCCATTCCTTGTCTGTGCCAGACCGTGCCACCTTGACAAAGTCACCTGGCCTATTTTTACATCGGATTCCCTGGATGGTACAAAAACAGTTCATGCACTTGGCTGCCAACCAAAAGGCTGGAGGTTTGAGCGTAGCCAGAGGCACCTTGGAAGTAAGGCCAGATGGTCTGCTTCTGAAAAACCGACCGCTGAAAACCCTAGGAGCACAGCTCTATCCTCACCCACACGGGGTCGCCGCGAGTCCACTCGATATAACTGCCATTCTCCCATCAGGACCGTCGACTCTCAATCAGGCAGTCATCCCCGCCCACCCCCTGCCCGCCAGTCTCCCCTCTGCTCCGAGCTACACACAGGTCCCCAGGAAGCTCACAGCCCAGCAGGACTCAGACACTCAAATCCAAGTTCCCCCAAACTGCCTGACCCTAAGAACCACTGCAGCTCATTAAAACACCTACTCCTGCCTCCCTACCCCGGTGACCGGCGGAGTCAGACTGCAGCCCCAGCTCCCCGGGCTCCTGCCTCCTTCCCCCAGTGACAGGCGGGGTCGGACTGCAGCCCTAGAACCCCTGGCAGAATGCACAGGGTACCCCCCGCACGCCTGGGGCCCGCCCGTGTCAGCCATTAAAATTACGGGCACCAAGAGCCCCTGCAAAGCTTTTGGAGCGAGGCCACGAGGGAGCCCGGTGGGTCCTGGGTGCTCCCACAGGTGGCCAGGTACCTGGTGGTAGTCCTCCATGAACTTGAGGTGGCTCTCCTCACAGATGAGAAGGTTCAGGTACTCCTTCCAGTCTGCGTGCACGGCCTCCATGTGTGCCTGCAAGGAAGTGGGTGCAGGTGTGCTGGGCCGGGCGCTAGGGTGAAAGGGAGCCCGTGGTGGGACGGCAGACCCAGCAAACAGTGGGTCAGAGGGGGACAGCTGGGAGCTGCCCCGGTGTGGTCCCCACAGAGGCTGCCATCTCCTGCTTAGGGGTGAGAGAATGGGCAGGACTTGGGGTCACCCTGGGCCAGGCAGCAGGGGTGGGAGGAGAGGGGTTATGTCCAAGAGGCGAGCAGGGTTGCCCAACTCGGGTTGTGCAGAGCTCAGAGAACAGGCAGGAGGTATACGTGCCCAGACAGAGGCACCCTGTGGGCTTCACAGGTCCTGGCTGAGGGCCGGATGTGGAAAAGGCTGAAGATGCTGAGAGAGAGGAAATCTCAGAGCAAGGAGGAGCCAGCAAAACGGGCAGACAGAGGGGCGGAGAGACGGACAGACAGACGCGGATGCAGCACACAGGACCATGACCTCCAGGGACTCCCAAGCACCAGGCAGACAGGGGGGCAGGACGTCCCCACCCGCTGCGCACCCACCTCGATGGAGTTCCTCCCCGGGTGCTCGGCCGCCAGCAGCTGGTCCCCCTCGCTGTGCAGCTTGTTGACCCTCTCCTCTTTGGCCTCCAGGTTCCGGTGGATGAAATTCTGCAGCACAGGGCATGGGGGGACTCAGCACCCTGCCTGGCCGGTCTGCTCGCTCCGGGGCCCCTGCCTGCCCTGGTGGCTCCCTCCTGGGTGGCTGCCCCGAGCCGCAGGGCCCACCTCATACTGGCGCCGGCGGCTGGGGTAGTCGAGGTTGCGGTCGCTCCAGTCGTACTGCAGGCGGCCCTTGGCCTGCTGGTCCAGCCAGTAGAGCTCGTTGGTGCAGCGCTGCATGTAGTCCTGCAGGGTGCTGAGGTGCTGCTGCCGCGCCTGCGACAAGGCCTGCGGGCGGCGGGGACGATGCTAGCACAGGTGGGCCCTGGCACGAGTCGCCCGACCCCTCTGAGCCCCGTCCGTTCACTCAGCAAATGTTTACTGAACATCTACTCAGTGCCAGAGGTCACCCCAGGCCCCGGGATACAGCAGGGAGCAAAACACACAAAACCCTCACAGCAGGCGTTTCAGCAGAGCCTCAGTTTCCCTGCCTGTAAAACAGGGCGAATGACAGTGCCATTCTCACAGGGTGTAGGAATGGCATAAAATAAACGGGCAGTAACGCCAACAGCTACGGCTTCTGCTTTCATCTTTATCATGAGCCTTCAGAGAGAGCCGGAAAGAACAGCAAACTGCTCCCCACTGATGTCTGAGAAGCGGGGGGCAGGAAGGAACGGGCAGGGCGGAGGGCTGCTGGCATTTCACCCGGTGTAATAATAACAGTCGCATGCACATGTAGTCCCTGGGTGGTGCGGTTAACATGCAGCGTGTGTGGGTCCTGCAGACCGGCTTCTTCCACTTAGCAACATGCCCTTAAGGTTCCTGTGGCTTTTTATGCCTTAACACCTCATTTCAGCTCATGCTCAGCTGCTAACTAGAAGGTTAGAGACTGGAGTCCACTTTGAGATGCCTCAGAGGTAAGGCCTGGCATCCACTGGAAAACAAGCCACTGAAAAACCTATGGAAACCTGTTCTCCTTTGACGCACGTGGGTCAGAACGGACAGCAACTGGTTCACTGCAGATTTTGGCTCCGTCAACCCCTGAAACGCCGTAAGCCGGCCTTCAGCCTGCCGCCTGACCTGCAGGTTTCCGGTTCATCAGCCCCTGCAACCACGTGAGCCGGCAGACGTCGGCTGTCGTCTGACCCATGGATTTATGACTTGCCGGTCCCCACAAGTGCCTGCGCCATTTCCAAAGTAAATTTCTCTCTGTCTCTCCACGCCTCACTGGTTTTGCTCCTCTAGAGAGAACCCAGACTAACACGGGGACTCCTAAGAAATGCATCCTACAGACAAGGAAACAGGCTCCCAGAGCCCAAGGAGCTGACTGAGGTCCCGCCACGGACAAGGGAGGGAGCTGAGATTCCAACCCAGGCAGCCAGCTGTGCGCCGCCTGCGGCTGCTCTTCCATGTGGCCCCTGGAGTCTCACAGCTGCAGCATCTGGGACACTTGCAGAAGGAGGCACTCAGGCCCTACTTAAGCAGTTTCAAAAAGAAAGCACACAGCATCCACACAGAGGGACATTACTCGGCAATAAACACAACAAGCGATTAAACGACGAAAAGGCAGGGAGGAATCTAAGGCACACTGCAAAGTGAAAAGGAGCCCTGGTGGCGCAGCAGCTGAAGCACCTGGCTGCCAACCAGAAGATTGGCAGTTCAAACCCACCAGCCGCTCTGTGGGAGAAAGATGAGGCAGTCTGCTTCCGTTAAGATACACACCCTTGGAAACCCTACTCTGTCCTTTGGGGCACTGTGACAGCAATGTTTTTTTTTTTTTGCGACATCCAAGAAGCTAGGCTGAAAAAGCTACAACCGTATGATCCCAACCATAGGACGTTCTGGAAAGGTGAAACTACGGAGACGGTGAGCAGGTATGTGGTGGACAGGGATTCTGGGGAGGGGGGATGAGTAGAGGGTGCACAGGGCGTTCTCAGGGCACGAAGTTATTCTGTAAGATTCTGTCATGGTGGATGTGTGACATTACGCA